GGTCCAGTCATGCTCGGTTGCCGTGTGGAATTATGCAAGGCCCAGTTTAGAAGATGAATATTTAACATCTCTCCATTTCGGATGTGTGACTTAATAATAACAACACTATCAATAGGTCAACAACCATTCGGTAGAACCGGCTCGTATTTAATTGCAGTAAACTAAAGTCGATGTTATTTGTATGGTGCAATTAACTGCATACTGTGCAGTTCGTTCGTTCAGTAGTTTTCTTAAAGGGAGTGCGAATTTCGTTGTTGTTTGCGGTGCCGGTTAATGGTGTACGCGATCCTCGGAGAGGCGATCCATCTGGAAATATTCGTCGGCTTGAGAAGTGCAGATAAAGAGGAGCGAAACCAGCTTCTTCTGACTCTCTCTCTCTGTCTGTCTTCCTCTGACCACGCCGAAAAGAAGGGAAAAAAAGCAAACAATTTGCGCAGCCGACACAACATCGGCCAACGGATTCTTGCCTGGAATGCAGCAAAATATTCGATTCTTGTACCTTCCTAAATTGCTCGACGATATTTTAAATACTAAGCTTGTAGGAAAAGTAAAGACACGAACATACATCTGGTTCTAAGCAACTTGAATATAACTGGATAACTGTGAAATAATCATTTTAAACAGGAAAATATAGGCACATTTTGTTTTGAGACCAAGAGGTATTCTATATCTTACATTATTTAGTAACTGTATTATTTGGAACTTGTTCTGGAGTAATAATATTTATCTAATTGCTGATTAAATCCAGACAAACATTTCATTTAAAAAAATCTTGTAATTTTGAGTATAAAAGTTGGTGAGTGCGTTATACAATACTTGTTAAGTTTTATCTCAATTTCACTATACTTGTGCAAGTATTTACGAATGAAATAAGAGATATTGCACTCCACTGTAACTTGTAATTTACTTGGCAAGTATTATTCAGTGAGTGGTCTACGTTTACTATTCAGTATGAACCGATTGTTTCAGCTCAATTCAGTTAGTGTTTCCGTTCATTGAATGTGCGAGGGTAGTTTTCCTTAGATGGGTGGGAGCAGTGGAAATAAAATGGAATAAAGTGAAACGTTTACGATGATAATATAAATGCATTAGTTTAAATTAGTATTGCACTATTTTACAACTTTCGCAGTAACATGAAAAGTTTTAGTGCCTCGGAGGCCGCGGCGCGAGTTTGGCTTGGCTTGAACAAACATCGTCGCATTCAATTTATATTAATATCGTTGCCATCCCCTTCCGCTTCCGGTGTGGACCAGTCGAAGTCAACTGCTACTTCTTATTTGGTGTTTCTTGCATATTCGCAACGGGAACGAAAAGAAATGCCGTCATTAAATTCAAACAAAGTTTGCTCCGTCTATTTACCTATCGCACAAATATTTGGTTTATGCTCCCCAGCATATTTGACAAATACAAATTTTCCATATTAAATTACCAACAAAATCAAGGAATCGTAGCAACTTTGTACACATACCAGTGGTTGCTCGATTTAACTTCTGTCGTTCAGTTCCAAATATTGAATGTTCTCCCAATTTTAAAATCTCACCTGATATTCTAAGATGTTTCCGAAAATATTAATGTATAAGTGAAAAGTCGCAAATAGAAATGTGCATTTCTCAAATGGATTATAGCAATTGCAATTACGAATGATAATTTGACAAACAGAATGACGTAAATGCAGATGATTTCTGAGTCATGTGAAATATTTTCTTAATTGCTTTAATACTTATGTATAAGAACTAATATCTGGAACATATGAAAAATATATCTTAACAATGTGTTTGTTATAATATGTATGTATGGAAATATCGATTAATGGTGATTTAAAGAAAATAACAAGACAGCAAGTGAGTCGTGTAATCAAAGTCTGAGTAAGACTTCAAATAATTATAATTTCGAATATGATGCGAGTCATCGCGTTTCTCAATATTACAATCATTTATCCAAGGATTTCAATACGTCATCAAAGACAATTGTAGCTTTAACCAATTCTGTTTTTTTTAAGTTTAATTGTTTGAAACGAATTGTGCTTGCATGAAAATGTATTAAAAATAGTAGAATCATGGTTGAACATTGCTTAACGAAGTATGAAATCTATTTTTCTTCTAGACTTATCCTAAATTTATAGGAATGCAGTATTTCACTCGTTGTCACATACCCTACGTTCCATAAGTTGTACCCCACTAAGTCGATTTCTCTACGTAGCAATTTTCTGCTTATAATCCGATAAAATACGGTTATTTGTTTTCATTGGATGCGATGGTGATTTTCCGTGACGTTGGTGTTTTCTGTAGTATTTGGCAGAGTCGGACGGGGCGAAGAAGCTCGGTATTAATTATAGCTCCTTTTGTTGCGATTTAGCGTGTGTCTGTGCGAGTGTATAAATATTTTTTTCCCTAATTGGAAACCATTCTTGGAATGCCGTGAGACGGATTCAGCTCGTCTTGCGTTTGAAGAGAAGAGAGGCTGTGGAACTAAAGAAATGATTCTAAATAGAGAGACGACGGCAGGCGCTCGCTCGGATGGAGAAGAGAAGAGAGCATCAGGCAATTGACCCGAACTCTAACCGCTCCGACGCCGTCTCTCTTCGGTCCACGGCAACCTCCTCCACATCCGTCCTTCTTCCGCGGCACGGAGATGGCGGCGATTATTGTTCCTCGCTCTGGTCTTTCCTTCGTCTCGTCCTCCTCCTTCAGCTCCTTGCCCTCCGCTCACTCATTAGACACTACCTACTAGTACTACTACTACCACCACACTCGTCTTCAATAGGAATGGAAAACAGCGACTAAAATGGGCAAGAAATTGATCACAATTATTTTTAATTATTCCGATCATGGTTGTCGGTGATGATCCAAGAAGCACCGCGACGCCCGTCGCAACGACGAACAAACGAACGTGTGCTCTTGCAGTAAAATTAGTTGGTTCTCTTTTAATAGTTACAGCAACGGCGGGAGAAATTTATGTGGAACTTGACAGCACAATGCATTTACAAACGGAACATTAAGAACGGAATTGTGCATGCGGAATATTCTTATTTCTTTCTTCTTTTTTTTCCCTCTGTCTTTCTCTCCATCTTGCAATTTCTTCATATCGCTTCGGCGGCTGTTTCGTAACGTGGACTCCATTACTAATTCACGAAGCGTGTGGGTTCAGAACCGAGCAGATTTACATATTTATTGGTGGCGCGATTCTAGGCATCACGTCTCCCGGAGAAACGAATATTATATTTGGAATGTTTATAGTTTCAATCTATTAAACAAAAAACATTTCATTGAATTCATAGAAATATTGTGATATTTAATTGAAAACAACTTTATTTGTATTTCAGAATCAGAACGTACCCTAAATACTCTCATTCATCATCCATGATTTAAATCATATGTATATTATAGTTTAAAACTTACTTTAGAGGTGCATAATTTAAAAGTTGATAATAGACTCTACAATAACGAATTTTACTTGAAAACATTTTCAATATCGTCAATATTCGATTATCGAATTAGGAATAATTTTGTTTGGAGACGAACGTGGATTATTGCATTTTACGCCCTGCGATTTAACGTTAACGACATTCTGCATCTTTACTAAATTTTCCAATAATTCAACGTTTACCGGTAGGAGATTTACATTTTATTTAATTGAGTTGTGACGACGAACTTGGTGCATCGGAATGCGATTTGAAAGAGGAAGTAGATGCTGAAATTAACGAATGTACTTCTGTTCATGGGAGTCTGCAGAAAACCTTCCCAACTTCCTGGAAAATTTTCTAAAATAAAATTAAAACAAAGTTACGTAAATTTTTAATCTCCTATCGGGAAACATTTAAATATTGTAGATAGTCGCAAAATGCCATTAATGGTAAATTGTGGATGTTTCTATTCTATATTTGTTGAGACAACAAATGACATCGCAGAATGACGGGGGTGGATTCTCTGATATAGGGCACAAGAATTTTAAATTGCCGCAATCGTTTTTTGTTTGCTACCCTTTTATTTTTGTTATTTTAATTCGAATGAATTATCGAGCAGGCGGCATGTCGTCCTGTTCGCTTGGCGAGAGTCGTCAAAGGAAGAACTGTAGGAGGAGCCTAGCCGCTGCAGAGGTCGTGTCCGACGACGATGGAGCCAGTTTTCGAATTGCACACGTACACATACATCTCGATCCAATTAAAACCGTTTTCGAACAGAAATTGCATTACGAAGAGCCCGCCATTTCCACGGCAACCTTTGTTGTAACCATGGCAACCAACAAACAGTGTCTATCGCCTCATTATAATATACAAAGTTCTGAAAGGTCTGAGTAGTATGGGAAGCTCGCACACACCTTATATCGTCCATTTTTCTTTCCGGGGTAGCGAAACGGTCGTTTCGGCGGAAACGGTTTCGATTGGCGCTTTGCGCGCGCAATTTAAAATTGTCTTTGTCCGTCCCTAAAATGCATGTGTGCTGTGGCTGCGTTTGTTCTGTTTCCTGCTTTCCTCTCCTTGTTTTTCCAAGACCATTCAGGTTATTATTTTCGCTAGCATCGATTTCCTCAAACTCACGTATTTCTTGACTTATTTCTCACATTTATTTGCATAGCAAAGTTGTAGCCTAATTCATCTTTACATGTACAAATAATCGCAAATTAGATACAAATTTATACCATTATTTAAATTCACCAATGCATATTGAAAAAATAATATAAATAAATGCATTTTTCTTTTTGGGCAATCAAGTTTCTTTTTGTGCGTTTAAAATAGTATTTAGTTCGATTAGTCCGGTTTCGAACACTTGTTCGATAACGCGCACTATGCGAGGTACTATTGTATACATTTTTTTGTGCATTATAATAAAGAAACAAATCTTTATTCATTTATTACTTAATAAAAATGTAGTAACATATTTTTTATTAACCGATGTTACGTACAGGAATATATGGGTTAATTGAGTAGACTCTAACAAATCGTTCTACTAAAGAGCATTTCATATTTTCTTTTTAATACAGTATATTTTTGTCTTTTTCAGTTGTCCACCAGTGATCGGTTCGATTTCAAATAAAATGTAAGTAGTCATAAGCATTTCGAAGCAGGAAAAAGTTTTTAATTGGATACAATAAATAGGCATCAAATGTGAACTCCCGCGACACGAGTGATTCAGGAATTATTCGTTGTTATGCAACTGCAATTTTATGATTTATTTCACTATTTCAATGACTTTTTTGTTTGTTTGCTTACATATCTATTATAAACTACATTCCCTGGCAATATGAAATATCTCAGCGATTGTTACCATTCTGAAGACGTAAGAATAAGATCAACGGGTAAATTGTTTTTCGTGACCTTTAAGTTGTCATGACTTACAAATTAGTAATTTAAAGGTTACATTTGTCAGCTTCGAGTGAATTCAACCATGTGTTGTTTTACTAATAATTATAATATATATTTAAAAAAAATGCTAAAAGAAACTGCGCCAGTTTTGCTAAATAATATTAACTATTATTTGTGGATAAGCAGTTGCAAATACTACGAAAATCACACAATGCGATAATTGAAAATTAATTTAAGTAAGCGCGTGCAAACAGAAAAGATAATGTTTAAACATTTTCTGTGTAATTAATTTGCAATTGGTAATGTTTTAAATAGTTTTTTTTACTAGAGAAATGTTTATAGAAGTCAACAAATGAGTGGCGTATTTGCTTTTAGGGGTAGAGTAAATAGAAGCAGTTGCGTTTGGTTGGTGGAGGGTGTTTAAAATTGTCGTGAGGGGGCGCGGGGTCCCGCTTTGTTCTCCCACATAGGATATTTTTGTTCGTGTGCATGTAATGTCGATTGTGGGGGACGATTAATATTTCCTCCTTTTTTTATCCAGCGTAAGCCCTGCACGAGGCCCCGGAGATTGTGTACAGTGGGCAAAATATATAGATGGAAAATCAATAGGGCATAGAAAGAGGAATGAATCCCTCTGTTGGGGGGACGAAGAAGGCACCCCTTCTGGGTTATCTCGCTCTCTCGCACACACGCAACCATATACGTACGTGTGTGCGCGGATTATGCCGCAACGGCACGACATCCATTTCATACAGAATTTGTATCCTCACAAACGTACGGGGCGCTTACAAATGGACGCCATCTCGCTACTAATAATAATAATAATCATAATAATGCTGTGCGCCGCAGCCATTCGCCGCCATCTCGCCACCCCCCCAAGGGGCTACTCTTTTATGCCACCGTTCCACGACACGCGTTCTCATTTCGCGATCGCCATTTACACAATTTCGTAAAACAACTAACACAGGATTAGCAACGATAATCTAAAAAATACCATACATAGACATAGAAATGCCTCCAAAATCCAACTTTTTTTCAAGAGTGAAAATTTAATTTAATACTTTGGCTTACTTGCAGCAGTCAACAGAACTGAATACATATTTAGATAAGTTCTTTGGCGATGCGTCTCTTTAATGACGTTAATTCGCCAAGTGCGTTTTCTTATATGCGCTCTTTCCTCTTTTTTTTTATGGAGGAGATGTCTTCTCGACCGTGAATTCATTTTGTAACACATGCTAATAAAATTCAACATTATAAATTGTATATATTTTATTACATCCGTAAGCACCATTAAACATAATAAGTATACAGATTTAAGTATTTTCTAAAGAAATTTTCAATTTTGCTTACTGAAATTAATCATTGTTACGTGATATTTAATCGTATACAAAGTTTTAAATAATGATTTGAAAATTATGATGAAAATTAACGTAGTGATTGTATTTAATGAATGAATGATTTCCTGAATTTGTTTCATTTTAAGAAATGCAAAACATTTCGAACGAACATTGTTTCATTTACTTTAAGAGGAATACTTTGATAGATTCGCAACTTGTCTTCTCCTGCTACTTTTATCGATCAGGCTAATTAGTTTGTAAAATGTAAACAACGGGTTGATTTTAATTGATAATTAAGTAAAAAGTCGAAAAATAAATTGCGTTCGTTAATAAAGTATTCGATATTAATTAATAGCTTTTGTTGAAATTATATATGATGGTTGTGAGTTAATCAAGTGTGAATGGTGTAACTTATCTTATGGATTAAATTGATTAAAAATTTTAAATGAATAGTAGACAAAGAAGTAAAAAAAATATATAACAAAAAGGCAAAGAAACTTATTTACGGCAGTTTGTATGAACACCATTTGGATACGGCTGGTTTACGACCTCGTAAAATCGCTTTTATATGCAAGCGGTGCATTCGATTCAATTTTTAAATATTACATGATAAACCAAAAGTGAGGAAGAAGGCGAAAACATAAATGAAAAGGTAAATAGAAGCGTATCGGCGTTGCCAAAAACAAAAAAAAATAACGAGACCGGTTTCAATGCTGACCATTAACTATCATTGAAAAACAAGATGAATTAATAATAATAATAATGAGTGTTGCCAACTTGATGATTGCGTTCGTCGATTGATAAAATAAAGCAGCCACCAGTTTATCAATTTCGACGACGAATAATCGAATGCAAAGTGAAAGTCGCTAGAATTTATGATTGTTACTGGATTCGATGTTTAATTCATTACATTGTGCCGAGACGCGAGATTTTGTTACCTGCTTCGGTTTATCGTTAATTACATCTTCGAAGCCGAGCCGCTACGAACGTTCTCCGCAAATAAAGGCAGCAGACGTAGAGGCAAGAGAGGAATTCTCGAAAATAAAAATGCCGACGTGGCGGACAATAAACCTGGGCAAAAGGTAAATCCATTTTCTCGGACGGTAATCGCATTTGAGAGCGCGTTTTGATGCACTTCCTCGTTTCGTGCCATTACTTAACGACGATAATTAATTAATTCATTTATTATTCGAAACGCTGGCGGTCTATTCGATTTTCAATGAAACGATGTTAAACAAATCCTCATTACGACCCTGCTTTGAAATTCTTTGACCATCCTTTAACCAGATGCAAATTATTGCAATTTCAATATACAAGATTAATAATAAAAACAAAAGGCATATCAATTATCGTATTCCTCTGTCACTCTCTCTCTCTGAGTGTGTGTCTGTTTTTTTATGTGCCATTGTTGTAATTTGCGAATGTAATGCATGCAGTCGCCGCACGCAATGGTAATAAAATTTTGCATTATAACAGGGTCGGTGGGGAAGATGCATAAAATTAAGGGTTTATAAACCACAATATGCAAGCTGGCTCTGGCCCCGTGTAGCCACGCCGCGCGTCTCTGCTTTCCTTCTCTTTCTTCTCCCTACTTGCATTGCATACGTTTTTTGTTCGTGGAACCGTGTACGAGAAAAGCAAATTGCTAAATGTTGCAATTGCGATGTGTCAGTTAATTGGCGGACCGTAACGATATTATTAAACCTATTGCCAACAAAGCGTGCGAATTGTTTCTTTCAGTTTCGAGCAACACAACAATTATCCTTGCTACGTATTTGGATGTTACGTACCTCCACCCTGCGCATTATATTTACATTCATCTCGATACATACAAAATAGATTTTTCATTATCACTAACTTGTACAATCTCTGACTACGCACATTACTTATACAAGTTTAATACCTTCACTTATTAATAATTTTGCGCTCTCCTAGTATATTTAATATTGACCACTTATTTTTCATTTTGACATACGTTTCATAACGCGACAAACCTAATTTGTGATTAATTAAATGTTTACAAATGCAAGAAATATTTTTTACATGTTTTGATTTGATAGGATTTCTATCACAACTCTTTTCATGCATATTCGATGGGTTTCAATCCAATCAAAGACATATTTTTAGTTCCTGCGCATGCAAGTATACAGAAATAGTATATGCGGATGAGTTTCATTTTACGAATTGCTGATCAGAATGAAATTATTCGTAACATTTTAGAAAGAATTATGATTTAATATAAATATGTATATAAACATAGTTCATGTCCGTATTCTTATTATTAGTAGATTCTTTAATATAATTTTGTGAATTATTAATACATACTAAATCTATTTAATCCGCCATTTGTACGAGATGTATTGTAATTTAGCGAAAAAAGTGGGATGAGGAGTTAATAAAGCGAAGTGATTTGGCGCGCGCTGCTCCAAAAGGATGCACGTCAGCAGCCTCCCTTATTTGTCCCTTATTCTCCCATCTCGTTCTCGCATAGTATGCGCTTAAGGTGGAATAATAAGGACAAAATGTATAGTTTTGATGCGCACATATAAAATATATTTTACCTGTGGTGCAGAGGAGAGAAAGAGAGCGAGAGGCAGTCTCTTCTCGTGAGCCGTCCGGTGAGGGGCACAGCACAGATGAGTGAAGCCTTCCAACGCAACGGAAGAGTCGAAAAGCGGAGAAGTGGAATAACACAAACACATATGTACGAGAGGAGCTAAAGAAAGAGTAGAAGAAGAAAAAAAGAAGAAGTAAAACGGGACGACCGCAAGAGAAACAGCAGAGAGGAGAAGAAGAAGCAAGTGGACGACGACGACTGGCGAAGAGTGAACGGGAATGAAATAAATAAAAAAGAAAGGATAAACAAGATCGGAAATACCTAACGTGCGGTGATCAAAGAAGGCTCGAGGAGGCGGAGGAAAAAATAATACGAGAGAAGTGAAGAAACAAAATAAAAGGGAGGACGAAAAGAGTGAAAAAGAAGAAGAAAGGATCGAAGATCGCGCAGAACAGGCTCACCTCATGTGTACGTTTATTATGTGCGCGATGATGTTCCTGTGATCGTTCAAGTGTTTTGTGCGCTATTTCCAGCAGCGAATTTCGTTTAATAAGGAAGGACTAAAAAATCCGCAATGCAAGGTAATTGTAATTTACGTGAGTTCCATTGGTTTTCGGTCTTCTAGGTATACGCGCATACCATCATCTATATTTTTCTTTCACTTTCGGAGCGAAACTAATCGAAATGATTTTACCTGCTGCTCGTCTGTTGTTATATAAGTTGCATTGAATGCGGGAGACAGAGAAAGGAGATGTACCATTACGAAAATGCAAACGGGCCCCCCTGTTGCCCGCCCGTATCTGTTTTTCGGATCTTGATAAAGAATGCTTCTTCTCTCGAATGGAAACGTTTTTCTTTCATTTGCTCGAGTGAAAAGAGGACCTCGAAGTCCAGAAAAAAGGTTCATCACAAAAAAATAGCCGTGAGACGAAAAAATAAGAGCGCAAAGTTAATCAATGATGGTGATGTGTGTAACAACCTTCAAAGATGCTTGTACTTATATGTAATGAGATTTGATGATGATATATATATATATATGTAATTAAAGCATTTTTAAATTCTACAAACGCGTTAATATGCAAAACATTGTATACATCGAATCATATTTCTGTTTCTATTTATTCACTTATATTGTGTATATTTTCATGCAAATTTAATTACTCTATTCTGTCGGAAACGCTTCTTGATTTTATAAACATTTGGATAGTTGTTGGTAAATACTTTTATAATTGCAATTGGTTAACGAAATTGAAAGTTTTTACGAAAGTTTAACACATTGTCTGCATGAAGTATTCTAAATATGTTTCAGTTTCGAGTGATATAGAATATAATTACAGTTTATTATACATATAAACAAATAAATCATATTGTCCTTTTTTATGACTTTATTTAAAAATATTACTGCATGAGAAATTGACATATGAAACTAGTGCAGCTTGTTATATTATTTATTGGTATATGTTGTTTCGTATCTCGATTTTGCTCTATAGAGTTTCCATTTGATATTTCACTTCATACATGTATTATTGTCTACTTCACCCTAGAAAAATGTAGTTGTTCGTCTGGATCAGTCCGTCCCGTCCCATTCCGTCTAGCGTCTCTCTCGATTGGGGCTAAATTTTTCGAGGGGCCCCGCTCGAAATGCAAAACCTGTTTTGTCCTTTTGTTACCTCTCTCTCCACAATGGACGACAGGCATATTTCCGTCACTCAAAAGCGATGTCGATAGACAGAACTTCAGCGTTAAAATGGAATAAAATAAACGAAAATACGCGCATCGAATTAAATATAAACTAATTAAATTTCTACCTCTATTAACTGCATTTCGAACCGTACGCATATCCGGAATGGAATTATTACATTTGTTCGTGAAATGGAAGCGAAAATAAATTTCCAAACGAAAAAAAAATCCAAACTTTTACCTTTTGTGTTTGCTTTCTGCAACTACGCCCGAATTCCGAAAATAGTTCGGGGTTAAAATTAGAAAAGGAAACTTGCTCTTGTCCTTGTAGTCTTCTCTGAGGTTCCTGAACAATTTCAATTTGAAACCAGGAATTAAAAAAATATATAGTTTACAATTAAAATATACTTGAGTAATCCGTAATACAAAATTTAATGAAAAATATAATATACTTTGGAAACATGCAGATTTAAATACTTTCTTTATAGAATGTTAAACGTTTAGAAATAAGTTCATGGTAATTGTAATACGTGAATAAAAAATTAATGAATTTAAGCTATTATTTGCTGAAATGAAGGACAACAGTTGTTGCTCGTAATTAAATTTAAAAAAAACTATTTTAATCCTTTCAACTTATTGTTTGATTGATTTTGATTGTATAGTTTGATAAATAATTAAATAATATAAAACATGAAAGCAACAAAGGGATATTTTGAAATGAAATTATACATTTCGTTAGCGTTATTGAAAAGCACATTTGTATATTAATATGATCAAAGTGTAGCAGAAATAAAAACAAATAATTTGGAATTCAAATGAAATGAAAAGTTTTCTTTTTGTTTATTCTCTATAACAATGATTATTATTATTATTGAATAATTTGTGCTTAATTGAATTCCATTGTATGTTTTGTTTGTAATATTGGAGGTAGCGGATAAGGTGTGAGTGAACCCACCCGATCTGAACTTGACCCAGAGACCTTGGCCTTGACCTTCGCTCCAGATAAAGCCATACCAAGGGGCTTTATCTGGTGTGGGAGGAGGAGACGGCAGCGGCGGCGGTGGTGGTTAACAATCTCCAGTCGATTAGTTCAATCCTTCGTCTCCCTCTCCTCGCAGATTGCTTGTATTAATGTTTACAAACATCAAATTATCGGCTAATTAATACGCAATTATTCAACCGAGCTGACCTCACCATAATCGTAAATTAATTAAACATAACGCGTTAGATAACGTTGATTTATGTATTTATTGCTGTGTGATATAACAAACCGATCGGTTTATTATTTGTATGTGATGCTCTCTGGTTCAGTGCAAGTGCCCGGAAACGCGTCTATTCTAAGTTTATACTTTGTTTCCAGGTTTTCTCTTCCATCTACTATACTGATGTACCTCTGCTATGTTTTTTTTTCTTATTCTCTTGTTGTTGTTGTCCCTTCTTCTTCGTCCGCTTTGAAGAGAGAGCAGCTGCGTCTCGAAATAGAGGCATTTCCGGACACGCAATCCGCGCTGTATAAAAATATTTGAATCTTCAAATGATGTTTACCAAAAACCAGTCGACTCTTGATTACATTCTCATAGTCAGCATTTACATTTCGTATTTTTCTTTCTATTACTCTTCTTTTTTGAGACGGTCATTGTTAGGATCGGCGTAAGAGAAAAGTAGAGGAAAAACCAGTTGTAGAGAGGAAAGACGTTTATATTTGAAACTACATGAAAAGAGTATGATTCGTGTAGGGAAGCTGAGAGCAAAACGTTGTGTTTCGATTTCTATGAAGTTCTGTTTTCTCGAAGGAGGAAAATAATTTTCTATCATTAATTATTATTCAGAATCGTTACGACTGTTACGAATCGTACCCGGTTTTCTACCCATTTATTCTCACGCCGTCTTTCTCTTTTGCTTTTTATTTCTCTCCACCTCAACATGGCTTCGTTCACATGGTGAAAGTTCCTCTTCTAGAATCAATTTAAACCTCCATCTATACACTTAATTTCATTTAAAGAACGACTCAACCTTTCTACAGCAATAACACATAATAATACTTATAATAAAAATACACAAATGAGTTTTCAATATGCGGGACACATTTTGTCTAGTATACTAAATATGTAAAACTATATGTATAAAACCATTGCTAATGTAAATGCGATTGAACAACAACAATGCAAATGATTTTTGATCATTGGAGATCTCGGTAAAATGGAAAGTGAAAGCTGCGGAAATTGATGGGAGATGATGATGATTGCGCGAAATCGAATGCACGTGAAATACGTAATGCGATCGAGCATAAATGCCGCGAATAAATTAATCATAATTAATGTTTTAACGCGCTATTGATTTCTTTTAGCATTATTTCAGCCATACCAGAGGCTCATCCACTCGAGCACGTACATATATTGCACACTCATTCATATTTATATATTTCAATAAACATTTCACACTCTGCGCTCCCAGATTTTCATTGAGGTAATTAGTGATTTTTTTATGATTAGGAAAGTTTTAAATCTCTTGAAAATTTTGTATCTTCTTAATAATTAGTGATTTTGTTGCATTTAACAGATCATCTTCGTTCGTCATACAATTTGTATGCACTGAAATAAGTTTTTTAGTATACGTCAACATCAATTCATATATATCTATTATTAATTTATTGGAATTTTATTAATTCATTAATTGATTGAGATGTTTTCGAACTAAATTAAGAATCGTCGATGGAGCTCGAAGATGTGTGTTCGTGATGGGAACTAAGTCAATGGCGCCTATTTAAAAGTTCCCCCCCAGTTCAATGTCAATGTTGTGAACTTGAAAACATGTTCGGACTCGGCCATAAACAACGTGGATCTCCTTCTATTATTAATCCGACGATGCGAAACGATCGAAATCAACTTATATTAATTACACACAGATCTCTGTTTACTTTAGCAATTTATTTATTTTTATCGTCGTTGATTTTCAAGGATGTGTAAAAGTGTAGGAAGTTATGAATCAAAATTAATTGTTTATTATATATTTGATTTTGATTTTTTTATGTATCTTTATTTGGAAATGATGAAGTGGAATTTATTGATACAAACATTCATTATTTATGATATATTTGCAATCAATTTTAACTCTACTCTTCAGAGCAAGTAATCCTATACATTTTAAGTAGCATTTAGTAGAATTCAGTTTATTGCTGTAATGAGTTTTCTAAAATGATACAATATTTCTGTCGAAAGACACAACACTCAAATAATAACTAAACTGTTTATCCAAACATGAAGTAAGAGAGAGAGAAAGAACTGGACGTGTAACGGTCGTTTCCGTGCGCAACGGGCAATACATAAATTACAGAATTAGAAAGCAAACAAACAAATTACAATACCGACGATGTCCACTCATTATTTAGACTTTTTTTCCTGCAGTTTTTTTTTTAATACCATAAATGTTTGGTGCTTTGTTGTAGCTTTTGTTTATTTATCTGTTTATTTCTGGATTCCAGGTTAAACCAAAAAATGGGTTGAATTCTGTGATGTCCGATCCAAAACCGAACTAAATTTTTGGTGAGTTTATTTGAAAACCTAACAGAGAACACATATATGCACACATACACACATATATATGTATATACACACACACACAAAATCCTGTTCAAACAATTGGCAAAATGCGCAACAGGTTGCCAATTGCGGGTGGGCGAAAATGCCGCCCCCGGAATTATTTTAATCTAGTTTATATTTAAATCGAGTCGTAATTAAAATAAATTCGCGTGAAACACTTTTGATAATGAAATTGGAAGCATTCAATTCGTTTATTTAGTTTTAATTTGTATATATACATTTCCTAAATTGAAATAAACATTTACTTCTTGTATATTTAATACACCTATTGATTATTAACTATTATTTATCCAAAAATAAACATGTACATAGTACAATTATTAATAATAGTTTTTTTTTATATTACATTTCATTAAAATCACAAAATTTAACATTTATAAGTAATATACACTATATTTACCAATAAATATTATTGATTTATAATTTAAATAGATTAACTGCCGATTTTACAATTAATATTTATTGAAACTGTTAAACGTGCATAAATATAAAACAATAAAAACGTATTTATATAATCACAACAAAGTAAAAAAATAATAATTAACTGTTACAAAGGGTTATTATAAGTCGTATTAATATAATAAAATATGTTTATACCTATAGTTATACAATCAATTTAATTGTATATTGTATTACCAACGAAGTTTCAAATTAATGCTGCATTATAGGCAACCCAAAACACTACTTTCGTTTTTATCTAATTATACTTATTAGCGGTGTCAATCGCAAGCCCGACAACCAAAATACCGTCAAACAAATTCCCGACGATCGAAATCCCAACTGTATCGAAATCCCGACAACCTTACTCCCGACTATATCGAAAATGACTTCAATAACATTTTTAAATTATTCCGGAACGTAGTCACTTTTAAATTGTTATTAATAATAAATAACTGCAATTAATAATCAATTAATTGTATTTGAGATTATTTCATAATATTAAGGTTTATTATGAATAATTCAACAAAATCAAATAAATTAATAATGATTTAGCACAAGGTGGCTATGCTTCGAAATAATTTAAAAATGTTATTGTAGAAATACTGTCAGGATTTTGATATAGTCGGGATTTCGATACAGTCGGGATTTTGATAGACGGTATTTCGGTTGTCGGGCTTGCGATATAGACCCATTTATTAGACTATAATTGGTTTCATTTGATTTTTTGGGACAATTGACGTTAATCGAGTTAATTAAATATGCGTTTAATATTATATGCAGCCGAAATCACGCAATTTAATATTTATTGTAACCAGTCACATATAAACAAATTAAAAAAAACATTTATGTGATCATATTAAAAATTTAAATAAACTGTTACGAAATGGCATAGTTGAATTAAAATAATAATACGTTTCATAAATACAATTTTTATTCTATATCAAGTTAGTCTATGTAGTTGACTACATTTAAAATATTATAATCTATAATTAATATTATTCTTGTTCAAGGTTATTATATAGTTTTTCGATGGGAAACTATATTTTTGGTTATTAAAAGTTCTATATTTTACACAATCTTAATTGTGGTATGCATTGTTATTTTACATACAAATAACAGTCGATAAAAAAGAGATTTGAAGAATTGAAATAATCTAAACAAATTTGTTTAATTTCGATTAAGTGATATTTCTCATTCTGAATGGTTTTCCGCAAATTCACAAATGTCAATGAGAATTACATTGTTACTGACGTTTATTTTTATTGTATTGTTCACAAAAGTCATGGCAAGAGATGTTCCGTTAATTGTCGAGCCTAAAATTCGTTCGTAAAACTTTTGAACGCTTTCGAATCGCCTGAAAACAAACAAACAAAAAACAGCACCGCTCATTTTCGCTACCCATTTGACAGATTCAGGAAAATAAATTCCGTTTGTCAATTGCGAATCGAGTCTGCAGGCACATTTTTTAATCTGATTTCCTCCCTGTTTCATCTCCGCTTCTGGATGCCCATCCGCGTAGCGTAGCGAGGGCGTGCAATGGATAAGGAAAATGGGAAGGGCAACGATGGCAGTTCCGGTTCCAACAAGTTATCAGCTTCCACCGACCCAGCGGCCCTTCTTGATGCGGCCAGCCTCTTTGGTGGTAAGAATTCTTCATCACTTTTTTTTTACTACGTCTTTTATTGTTTTGCTAACGTGTTTCTGTTTTTGTAATTGTTTCAGCGTATTGGCCTAGGGGCGATGCCAGCGCTGCTAACTTGTTTGCAGCGGCGGCGGCAGGCGGAGCCTACGGCCTGGGGCCGCATCCCTCCATGCCCTTCTCGATGCTGCCCCCAACTTCCGGCCGTGGCGTTTCAGCCTATCCACCAGTATCAAGCGCGGCGGCTTACAGCAATGCATATACAAATACACTGTCGGTGGCGGCGAGCCAAGCCGCTAGCCTAGGCATACCGGCTGCAAGTAAGTACACTACTTTCAAACATCCCAAAGATAATAAAACACAATTCAATAATGTACAGCAGTTTAAAGTTGAGGATAAACATGCCTAAATTTCTAGTTTATTCTTGATCTTCCAGAATCTAATAACTTTCAACTTCTACCTATATAAAATGAAGGTCATATCCTTCATATATGTTAGACAAAATGAACTAACAATAATTCACGTAATATTTTTTTTTATAATTTGTTAAATGGAATCATTTACTAAAGATATAGATAGTACTACATCAATTACTATTACTTAATTGTAATCTAAGATGATAGTTCGTGAACCTGCAGAACATTCTTCACACAATTATGTCTTAATCTAAATATGTGGAGATCATTGTGATCGCTAGTTTGACCTAGTGATAATGAATGATCTTTATTGATCCGACAATTCATTAATTGTCTAAAAATTTTGCGTATTATCTATATATCTATTTCGAGTGTTCAAACTAGAGAAAATATCACTAACATTATAGATCTGCGACTAATATTTGCGTGCTTCGTATTCAATTATCCAAAATGATAATAATAAGTACATAAACTTAGTGAACTGGATTATTTTGCAATATTATCTCAGATCAAGTGTTTAAGAGTTACTACTAATTGCTGTTGTAGAACACTGAACTATTTTGTGCAAGCGATTATGAAATATTAGATTTTGTTTTGCTATAATGTGTGAACAGCATATTCAAGCATCCGCATTGGCAAGAATGTGTGTAACTTGGTAATTGATTTAAATTTAAACGACATGAAGTTGCAGCAGCCTCGTCTGGTCGCCAGTTTCCTTTTTTTCTGATTTTACTTGACAGGTGCGTTGGATTTAGTCGTTTGCCATTTTTTTTTCGTGGGTAACAAAAACAATAGCGATCACGTAATTACTCAGATTTTGCCGCCATTGTTTCACTAAATTAACTTTACAATTTAATTCGCTACAAAAAGTCGAGTTATTATAACAATACAACGAGGCGAAACTTATGTTTTCTATAAAAAAGCAGTAAGTAAATATAACTTTAGGAACAAATATGTACTTATTAAATATGGATATTTCATTTGTTTTCATTAGGAAATTGAATTGTGTATTCTTTATTTTTTCGATTGTTAATGCTCAGAGTGCGCGATTAGAATTCGCGCCACGCGTGTTGCGCGGTTCGGACCCTGTATAACAGCTGGGGGCGCGCACATAAAATCCCGTCACAACCGCCACTTCTCTGTATCATGTTTTGTTACTGCGCTTGTTATTAGCTTTTCGGTTAGCAAGATTACGATTCTTCGAAGATCCTGGGATTCCCAAAACACGCGGGAAGACTACTTTTCACTGCGTTTTTCCATCCGGTTATGATTTATTACGAAACATTTCCATATCCGGATCGGGATCGGGCAGAGAAGTATTAGAGTAAATGTAATTCATTTATTGATCTAGTGTGCCGCCGCTCGGTCCCGCGTCTCTTGTACTCTCTCTTTCCACTAGTACGCGCGCTCTTTCCAATCGCAACCATCTGAATCGGTCACACAAAGAACATTATGTATTCGCACGTACTATTTAGTAGGTTTGCATATGTACCAGTAGCACAAAGGGCGCGAATCGTTTTACTTAAGAAGTGCAACAATCAATCGCTATCGTCTATCGTGAAGATTTCCATTATCACATCTATAGAAATGGTAAAATTGTTAATGTTACTCGGCAGTTTCGGTCGACAATATCCTTTGTCTGGATCTACTTTGAATGTATTTTCTAATGATTCGTTTTCTTTTATCAGGTGCTGCATGGTGGTCCATGGCTTCTCAGCTGGCTGCCCAAGATTATCTGGCAAGACTTCAGGCTTCTGGAATAAACTTCACAGGTCTTGGTAATCCCTCAGACCCTTATGCAGCTGCTCTAGGTCTACCATCACTTTCTGCCGCCCATCACAAGCCCATGAAGAGCTCAAAATCTTCTTCGTCCTCATCACTGCCCAAGGGTTCGAGCCACTCCAATAAAGATAAGTCCAGCTCTCAGAAAAACTCAGCCTCATCGAATAGCAACAAAGCCATCAGCAGTGCAAAGTACTCAAGCAGTAGCAGTGGAGGCAGTCTGACCATACAGCCCAGTCCGAAGATGCACAACTCATGCGGTGCACATTCGAATAACAAATCTAAAGCAAATGACCTCAGGCCTGTGGAAAGCAAAGCCTCCAGTCCCAAGCCACAGACATCCAGTATTTTTACTAGTCCACTAAGTCTAGCCAGTAACTCAGAGAGAATTGATTGCACCACTCCACCGCAAGCAACATCTCAAGGTTCCAACCCATCAACTCCAACTCTGCCTAATAGCATTTTAAGGTAACATTTATTCTCAACAAATTTTATTAACAAGTTGAAAGTGCATTTTTGAATTTCATATTAATTTCATGATTTAGTGCTGCTTTGGAAGGAAGTGGGTGAGATATATTGCAATTATAATTATAACACTAAGCAGAATTATATTGCATATACACAATTTGCCATAAATTCTTCAAAATGCAATCTAAAGAAAGATTAATTTCAGTTTTGAATGTGAAAGATAAACTAAATAGTAATGTTAGTTAAAAAAAAATGCGATATCATTGTTATGTATTTCTGTTTGATTTAGTGATCCAAATTCAATTCTTGGTGGTGTTAGATTGCCGCCAGATACGGAGATAATAAAGTATACGTCATCGATCGTCGGTCCGAAGATCCCTGGAACGACGAACCGTGGCAGGAAGAAGACAATTTCCTTGGATCCACCATTGGTGAGCGTTCATGCGACGCATTCAAGTACGGGAATGTTGATAGAAAGAAACACGAAGCGTCAGAGGCTGGTATGTCGATGTTTGGTATTGTCTTAGGGTGTTTACTCAGTTGAGGTTCCAGGATTCTTCTGGTTCCGATCAGAATAGTACCACTTCGAATTCGGGAAACGATCGGGTGGAGGTAATCAAGCTGCCAGCCACCAACGGAAGTCCTTCCGGTTCGTTCACTAACAGCTTCGGAGAAGGCGAGGCACCTCTGAACCTCTCCTTGAAACCGACAACCAGCAATAACAGTAGTTCCTCATTGAACTCGCTTAGCAATATGTCTGCTAACATTGGTCTGGATAATAGAATATGTAAGTTGTGGTTTCATTTAAAATATCAACTTGTTTAATGTGAATGTCGTATTTGTAGCACGCAGAAAGCCTGGTCCCAAGCCTAGAAAGGTGCTTCAGACTCCTCCAACACTGCCTCCGGGTGCTCCTAGCGCATCGCTGGTACAACTGTTTGCAACGGCAGACTCTCCTCGGCCACCGAGCCGCTCAGACATAGATACACCCTTATGCACTGGAACTACTACGACGGCCAATACTACGATCACATCGTTGCCCGCACCCAATCACAAAGATACTCGCCCCCGAAACCTTGGTAGGGGTGTGAGTAAACCCAAAAAGAACACAGTCGCCTCCCTGCTAGCGCAAAGCAGAGCATTAGGTAAAATAAAAACTTTAAGACAATAACATTGTAAACATTTTATTGTTAATCTATTTTTTAGGAATTAAACCTATGCCCATACTAGATCCCAACGCCTCTATGTCGCAACAAATGTCGCTGCTAAAATCGAACATACTGGCAGCACAACAGTATATAGCAGAAGTAGGAGGTGACGAAAAAACATTAAACAAATTTTTGCAGGAGAAATTCAGGGGTACTCTAAGCGATTCTAGTACGGTCGATGCCTCAACAGATTCTGATAATCTTACAGATTCTAATCAGACTGACTCTGAGCTCGAGTCGGAGGTCGCTTCCGCTAAGAAGCAAAAGCATTACGACGAGCGAGCACTGCGGGTACCTCTTGAGAAAGGTAAGCACATACCAATGATATTTGAATGTACAGTAAAACGGCATATTGTTTTAGGGTGGAAAAGGGAAACGATAATAAGAGGTATTACTAAGAACGGCGGAATTAAGGGCGACGTCACTTACGTCGCAACAGACTCCAGCAACAAGTTCAAGCAGATGTCCGACATCACACAATATCTGGACTACCAGAAAAATAACGACTTGTCGAAGGAAAACTTCACGTTCAGCTGTCGTGTCATCCTCGGGGATTATCTTCAAGCGATGCCCCCAGAATTCGTTCAGGAAGGTGGGGAATTTGTTAGGATGACTGAGGACGAGGTTTCCAAACGGTACGAAGATATTTAATAGCAATATGATTTATAAATTATGTGTGAATTTTGGTATATTACAGTTTGGAAGAGCTCAGGGCGGCTATGCGAACAAGTTTACCAGTGGAACAAAGGATAGAAGTTGCTCGGAGGCAGCAGGCAGCGAGGGCTGCAGCAAGACTAGACAGGGAACAGGCGAGGATAGCGCGAGAGATCGAACGGTCAGAAAGACAGGAGGCGGCACGCAGGGACCGCGAAGTTCGCACCCAACAGCTGATGGAGGTACGTGACTCCTCTTCCCTTCTCAGAAATTGTCACCTTTCGTTGTTACCTTTGTTTTTTTTTGTGTTTTGTTCTCGTGTGTTTTCCCTTCGCGTCGTCGTCAAGGGCCGCAAGCGTCTAGCGTTCACTTTAGAACAGAAAGTTCAGATAATATGCGAGATCGAGGGCGGCAAAACGAAATCGGACGTGTCCAGAGAACTGGGCTTGGCCAGTTCGACGGTCGCCACGATTTGGAAGAACCGTGACCCCATTATCCGTGCGTACGGTTCGAGTCAATGTGACGAGCATAAATTTGCCCCAACCCTCGTTGACACCGATTCGGTAACGAACTTGAAAACCCTTTAGAAATCACCTGATTCGATACGAGTATTTGTTTGTTTATTATTATTATTAATAACATGTAAAGAATGTTCTACTTTGGGGGACGGGCTTAAAGCCAAAAGCTCTACTAACCCTATTCGAAAGCTAAAAGAAAGTCAGAAAGGATATTAGCAAATGTTTGTTATATAATTGACGTTCAGCTTTTCCGCTTCCGTACGTGCCTGTATTTAATTTGTAAAAGATTCATTATTGAACTGCTATAATCGTAGAACTGCATTATACATTTTAGAATATTATTTATAAGTAATTAACACGAACGCTCCTCCTTATTGATCTGTTAGCTGTACAGTAAATCCTCGATTTTACTATCGAAATTCATCAAAAATTAAACGAAGGATTTCCTGTACTACAAAAGTTTGGTAATGAAACCACACTTGAATATAATAATTTTCAATAGCTTTATATCATTTATGAATGCTGCTTCCACATTTACAGTGTTCATGAGTACATGAGTGTACGCTTTTTGTAATCGATTTGCATTTATGGACACTGTAAATTTGAAACTGATTTTAGTTGAATTCCACTACCTGTGCATGCTGTCCCATTTAAATATTAATATTATATTAAAAAAGAACATGTCTTTTCCGTTGCGTTATAGAATTAACTCTTAGGTCGCATGATTTTTAACATAACAAATCACTTAAGTTATTAAGTTCAGTTTTATTTAAAATCAAAACAAATAAATAATTATTATGTCCATTCTAGTAATATCAACATCAATTTCTCGTAATAATTAAATTATTAATTTAATAAATAGTTTTTCCAATTAATTTCAATATTATCTATATTTAAATACTATACTCAAGATAAACTGAATTTAATAGAATTATGTGAATTTGCCAATTGCCAAAACTGATGTTGCATCATATAATGTATTTGAATTTCACATAAAATAACACATTGGATTCGTTCATCATAATTGGACTAAGTGTCCTTTTTAATTCATTATGTTCTATTCAATTTCTATAAATGTATATTCTATGTTGTCATGTTCATTTTATGTTATGGGGTCCTTGTGGTGTGTTGCATGTAATTCAAAAAGGCCAAACGAAAAAGGCAGGAGGAGATCGAGAAGCACAAGCAGGAAGAGCAACACAGGAAACAGCAGGTGGGAAATTGTTGGTTTTCTCAGTCAACCTAGCATTCCATTTGTTACATTTTAATTATGTTTTGTTAAATTCTTCTATAACGTATATAATATTTCTCTTGACTTCGGATATTTGGTTCTTCTTTTTTCAGGAGAGAGAGCTGAAAAGGCAACAGACTGCTATGCTGAAGGAACAGGTATGAAAGAAAGAAAAAAAAATAGTTATTTCGTTTTTTAGTAGATTTAACTTATGTTTCTCATACATAGTGCTTGGATCATTATGTTTTTAATTTATTTCTTGAGTTGGTTTTCTTTAAGTTTTGTTTTCTGTTTTCATTATTTACATTCAAATTATGGATATTTTAAGGTTCGCCTAATGTTTAATATCTAAATCATATTGTGCTATGCAAATGAAGACACCACATTTCTGTTTTTATTGCATACAATTTAATCCACTAGGTGCGGTATTTTCAATTTTGCGTTAACTTTTAGCAATGCACATTATTCAAATAACTAACAATCTTGTTTATTATTTTTGTGTTGAATTTTGATCTTAAAAATCTATATAAATATGAAGTTTTAGGATCATTTATTTACATATTAATATTATTTCTGTTTAAAAAAAAATGCACTGTTCATTTTAACATAACTTTTTATCTAATATCCAGTCGTTTAAATCTAAAGCAGAATATTTTAAACATATTATACGTAAAGATCTTAGATACCTCTTAGTTTCTATTTGTTATGAAGAGCGTGTGAGATTTGTTTAATTACTTGATTATCATTTGTTCATTATTTTTGTTATAATAACATGTATTTTTTGTATTGTTTCTGTTTGTGTTGCTTGTGTATATACTGTTATACTGTTTTTCTCCCGTAGATGTACATACAGGAAATCAGTAAACAGCGAGAGTTGCTCTACACTGTCGAACTGGTATGGCTCACACGTTATAAAAAAAAAGAGATGACGAAAGTTAATTTTGAATATTGGAAGAGATACTCAAAAATCTTTAAAATGAAATTAATCCAAAAGAATTCCACTAAAACTATATACTCTTTCTTAACTATCATTATCATCATCATCTGCACGCAACCATTCCCAAGTATCTTTTCCTATGTGTATTAATTACTCTTCCACTAAGATTTGAATCTCAACTACTTTTATTAATACAATGCCTGCATTTAAAATGATATTATTTATGGTTTCAGTTAATTTTACTAATTCTATTCGAGAGGATAGCAACAAATATTTATTTTAAATATTATATATTGTTCCAAAAAAATACAAAGCATGAACAATTTTATTGTCAAGTTGCATGAACATTTGCTTTTTACTCCTGTCTCTGTCTATTATCTAGTATATTTTATAATTGGTATTGACTATTGTTTTTTATTTTGTGTTCGTTAGGAGCGGGAGCGCAGGCGGCAACATATGTCATTGGTGAAAGCATTGGAGAATCGTAGGAAGTTGGAGGAGAGAGAACGCAAGAAGCAGCAATTGTTGGCGGAAAAACAGGCGAATAAAGAGAAGAAGATGGAGCAGCGTAGGATCGAATTGGAGATCCTTGCAGAGCTGCGAAAGCCGTGCGAAGATCTGGAACTGGATCAGAAGAGTTTGCCAGAGTACGAGCGGATTCCTGGCCTCAAAATGTCGGGCAAGGCATTTGGTGATACACTCATGGTCTTCGAATTCCTTCACAACTTTGGGGAAACTCTAGGTTTTGATATGGAATCATTGCCAACTCTTGATTCACTTCAAACTGCTTTGCTTAGCAATGATGGATCGGCTGAAGCCGAGGAAGAGTTGCTATCAGTGATGACACATCTTATCGTGTGTGCTATCGAAGATCCCGGAATTCCGAATCCTGCTCGTCATACGACTATACTTGGTCAGAGTCTAAGACAGGCCGACATAACGCACACCAATCTCTCCGAGATCCTCAGGATATACTTGTACGCTAATGCTACTGGTGAAGTTAAAGCGCTTACTGGTGTTTCATTTGAACGTGATAGAGAGAAAAGAGTAGCAGATCATCATCAAAATGACTGTGAGATGCAACAGACTCAATCTGGTAAGAACGCCATATATTATGAGCAATTACATGAGAACGAAACTTGGAAGATGTCAGACATGTTGAAGGACAAGCCTTTCCTTGGGTTATCACCAACAGACAAAGCAGCGATTTTGGCTTTTATTTGCAATGAGTTGCTACAGAACAAGGCAGTGATTCGTCAGATAGAAGGATCCTTGGAAACTGTGGCGCATTCCAGAAAGGAAAAATGGGTAATAGACGCCAAAGTCAGGAAGTTGCGCATGCTTCATAATCGTAAAATTAGAACTGAAGCCATGGAAAAGGCGGCACATATAAAATCTGAAGGAGAAGAGACTGGTATGGATTCTCCAGCTTTGCCCAAAGATGATTTACTCGATGAAGAAGATAATGAAATGAGTGAAAGCGAGAGTGTTGGCACGCAACCCGAAGAAGAGGAAGATATTAAATTATCCGGAGAGGAACTGGGAAAAAAGTTGGAGAAAGTTCTTAAAACATCAGATACTCAATTACAGGTTATTAATAGTGCATCCCATCAATTACGAGCGACGTGTTTCGGACAAGACCGCTATTGGCGTCGTTACTGGTCTCTTCCAAAAGCTGGAGGTGTTTTTATAGAAGCCATGGAATCTGCGGATCCAGATATTTTCAGTGAACATCTTCTAAGCGATCAAAAAATGGGTATCAACAGCATTGAAGATATAAAGCATTTAGTTCAAGATGAACCTAATCCGAGCGCAGACAATGAGGTGAGCAATATCGTCAGCAAGCAAGAGATATGCGAGGAGAATACTTGTAAATTAAATGAGGAAACGGACTGCGAAAGTAAAGTTATGGACAACAATGCTAACGAGCATAGGAAGACACCGAATAGGTTAGAAAATGGTGATGTGGAAGACAAACGCGATCATAATTTAGATGAATTACGAAAAAGTGTAGATCGTATCGTTCAAAATCTTGAGAAGAATATTGAATTGGAGAAGGAGAAGGTCGTGGAGAACCATGTAACCATAAAAACTGAGCCAGAGGAGACAAAGAAGTTCAATTTGTTCGAGAAACTTGGTGAATGTATGGAACGCGAGAACACCAAAGAAGTCGATCAGTATGTGAAACCGGAAGTGAAGGAAGAACTTAAAAACGAGATTCTTAACGAATTGAAGACGGAAATTAAAACAGAGATTGAAGAGGATAAACTGGAAAGTGAGAATAGGTGGTTCAGTATTCTGAACAGGGATAGCGTGTCATGTGATACTGTGCATTTAACGGCAGGGAATAGATGGGATAATGGGGTCGGAGCGTGCACTCGCGATAATATTACGGAACTAAAAATACCCGTCTTTCCACCACCAAATTCAAATTGTTCTTATATTGGAAATACGTGCGATAGTCCTGCTCCCTTACAAATCACACCCGAAGAGAGTATTCAGCTGGAGTATATAAAGAAGCATGGTTTGCCGAAGCCCTGTGAGAGGAAAGGTATACCAGTTAACAAAAGATACGGTTGGTGGCGAATTAGTGATGTTGAAGATTTGAAGACGGTATTAGAAAATCTTCATGTACGCGGCGCAAGAGAACGCGAGCTCAAAAGAACATTTGTTTCCACTATGCAAACTATGTACGAACAACCAGGTAGATTGTTCATTGAGGAGGGTCAGAAGGATATGACTGAATTGAGCGCTGATGATTTTGATGTGGTTATGGTGGAAGATGCTCCGCAGCCGGATGAGTCGGGAAGTTGGAACAAAGCAGTAGCTCTACGAGTTGATTTGTTTCTGTTGGAACAAGTGGAAGCTTTAGAGGACAAAGTTGCAAACGCCAGTATGCAAATGAAGGGTTGGAAGGTACCTAATAGAGATACTGAAATACCTTCTTCTGAAGCGGTGAACATAGCGAAGGAGAGGTTGGCATCTTTGGAGGCAGCTATAGAGAGGCGATATTTGAAACCACCGTTGGGTGTCAAGTAAGTACATCATCAAATCCATTGTAAACCGTGCATGTATAATTTCTGATACTTTCAGTACGGGTGATCCCAATTTGGCTGCTATTGCGCAGGAGGCAGCCGGAGCTCCGACTCCGGCTCAGCCCATTCCCGGACCTGATGAGGTTCCAAAAGGTCTGGCCGTGTGGCGCGAGGCCATCAACCGTTCTCAGACATCTGCCCAGCTGGCGATGTGTCTGTACACCCTCGAGGCGTCCATCGCTTGGGACAAGAGTATCATGAAAGCTGTGAGCCCCTCTCTAGTCTTTAATAAACAGAGAGCCCGCAAATATAACAGCAAGCTGAGTGTGGGTGCTTGAGCTTCCTTTTAGTTTATTAACTTTTGTTCATTTATTTTTCATTTTCCAATGAATACGCCAATGACTTCAAACAAAATTATTTTTGAATAGACCAAAAAACAGTTATCAAATTTAATTTTACAAATTAAGTACACAGGTGTAGAAGAAGTAACAATTAATGTATTATAATTTTATTGATACTCGTTGGCGTATCACTAACTTTCTTCGTTTTATTTTTTTTTATCTATTTTTCTCTACTTTTTCTTTTGATTAAATTAAGTGCATATTCTTCTATCCATAGCGCATTTCCGCATAACTGGCTGATATTTTACTAATCAAAATGATATGTGTTTCATTAATTTTATATAGCACATATGGAATGCTCAATGTTGTTATTATATATAAAAAAATTAAGCCGTTAAATCTATGATTTATAACTTTGCAGATGAGTATTTCAGATGATTTATAAATACCTATCAGATTAAATTATATATTATTACACTTCTTACGCGATTCTAACATATTGAATACAGTTTTCTAGAAACATGGCGTCGTCTAAAATAAACTTGTTTTGATATAATTTCATGATAGCAAATGTTAAATTAAAGATAAACTCTCATAGAATTAACGGCTATAATTTTTATAGATTTCCTGTAACCACCTTCAAGATATATCTTTCATCAGCATGTTGTCATGGAAATGGTTTATTAATAATTGTTTTTATATATATTTTTTTTTTAATTTTGGTTTATGGATTTTTTTAAATTAATCTTAGTTTCTTCGTTGATTTAAAACGATGTTAGTTGAAATGCACTAATTTTAATAGTAATTGATTTATCACTCATAACTTTTCTATTTTCGTTTATTTGTGTTTTTTTTTATGAGGCATGTTTTCTCATATTTCATCTTCTTTCATTTACAGAACTGCCAATTCTGCAATAGTGGAGACAACGAGGATAAGTTACTGTTATGCGACAGTTGCGACAAAGGGTATCATACGTACTGCTTCAAACCAAAACTGGATACTATTCCAGACGGTGACTGGTAAGTGATTTTTATGATTATTTTAGTCGTCCCTGAGAAAACGTCCATAATATAACATATGTTTTAATTGTTATTCAAGGTATTGTCATGAGTGTATGAATAAAGCTACCGGCGAAAAAAACTGTATCGTATGTGGTAAAAAACAATCTTTATCAAATACCAGACTAGTAGTGTGTGAGTTGTGTCCAAGAGCTTACCACACTGACTGCATCCGGCCGCAATTGAACAAAGTGCCTCGTGGGAAGTGGTATTGCGTCAATTGCATTTCGAAGAAGCCCCAGAAGCGGGCTATCAAGAAGCAAACTAAAGTTGCTAGGGAGAGTGAGTCTTCCGAGCAACCTCCATTAAGGTATAGCATATTAGCAATCGCCGCATGTTATAAATATAATAATATTTACAGTCCAGCACCGTCACATAGTTCGGCAACAACCAATGAGGACATCACTGCCCAACAAAATGTAAATATTTGTAACCAGAGCGACGTGTCCAACTCCAGCATCCAGAATGCCGGTTCCCCAATTAACCAGCAGCAACAGCAACAGCAGCAACAACAGCAACAGACGGCAGCGGTATCTAGAAAAGACAAGGTTTCCAAGAAGGTGATAAAAGAGCTGGCACCGTGCAAGGCAATCCTCGAGGACCTCGAGTGTCACGACGATGCCTGGCCGTTTCTTCTTCCAGTGAACACCAAACAATTTCCCACCTACAAAAAGATTATTAAGAGTCCGATGGATCTGAGTACAATTAAGAAACGCTTATTGGATTACACGTAATACACATTAAATCCCCATCCAACAATAATATAATTACATAAATTTTAGTTATAAATCGAAGGAGGACTTTTGCACAGACGTACGACAAATATTCAACAATTGCGAGACGTTCAACGAGGACGACAGTCCAGTGGGCAAAGCTGGACACTGTATGAGGCAGTTCTTTGAGGCTCGCTGGAACGAATTGTGCTTGTCGCATAGTTGAGGTTTACTTTACCCCAAGAGACCCTATCACAGGAGAGCCCGACCTCCGGAGGACGGTGCTTAAGGAAGACAGTGCGACTTAAAACCCATACGTTTTGTTTTTATATATGTTGGGAACAATTCGGGCTAAAACAAAGATAAATTAATACAGGTATTTCGAAGTGTGTGATAAAAAAAATACATAATATGTAAATGAAGAACAATGTCTGAATGTGTATACCGGGCTTTCTTAAATGTTGTCCATATTAAGGCATGATCACAGTTATTTGTACACATTATTGCATCGAAACTTAAAACATATTAGAAGAATATAGGCGGAACAAAGGAAAAAAAGCCATGATTGAACGACTTAAATTTTTATATATATATTCAAATTGAAACAAAAATATTGTTTTCTGTACATCTTATTTAGATCAATTAAGTATTTTTTCTACAACATATTTAAAAAGCTTTCATTAATATTTTTTTTAATAGTGTTTACGTTTATAATTTAAGTTATTTATTATTTTCGTCTTGAGTGATTATTTGTTTATTTTATATATATATATGGCTTTTGATGACTTTTGTCTTCGATTTGATGATGGAAAGAAGCAACACGCCTAGTTTTTAATGAAACCATATTTATTAATTAGTATTTTTTATATGTGCTTAATATATACATATACATACATGTATAAATATATATATATGTATATGTATAATTATTTTTTTCTATACATTGTGTAATTAAATAAATATATGTAATAGATCATTCCAGAACAACTCAATGGCGGTACTGCATTTAAATTTAAAAGAAAATAATGAAAATACTAATAAAAATTGAAGATTATATATATATATTATAGTATTTACAAAGATAAAACGTAAATGATATTGAAGTAATAAGTATATAAAAGGAAATAACGTAACTATATAAGACTTTGTATAAATTGTAAATTCTCGTAATAATTGCAGGCTCAAATCTTAACAAATTCTCTGTTTTCCCCCCTCATATATATATATACATATTCGTTGCATATACATCGATGGATATGTGAATATTTTATATGTGAACTGAATCTTAAACGTGAACATAGATGTACGTGTTATCGTGAACGAAAGAAATTTACACAAACTCTCACACACACCTCATTCATTTCGACACGCGAAACGGATTTCAGTAAACGTTAAAGTGGAATTGTGTTTCATGAAGAAGATATGTACATGTCTCGATTTATTTTTTAAATTTTATTTCTCTGTTCTTTTTGTTTTGTTCTCTTCATTTATTTTATTCTTCTTGATGGTAGGCTAGTTCGCGAAATACCGCTATTTTAGCGGTTCCTTAGGACTAGAAGAATTATATTGTAATTGCGTGTAAAATATTTATATTATATTTAATTATAAATGTAGTTTTGTTTTCTTTCTTTATCTCCTCATAGGAAACATATTTATCTGCGCACTTTTATTGAGCTGATTACTTGGTAACTTAAGCAGATACTTACGAAATTAAATATTGCTTGATTTGTTACTTAGATTGTATTAACATCATATACTTAAATGGACCTGAATTTTGAATTACTAAACTGAGACATCCAAATAACTTCAAACATTTGTAAACAAGAGTGAATGAGCATCATTGGCATAGTATATAGGCAACCAAATGACCTCTCGTTATTTTGACAGTTATTCTGAATTGCTCACAAACAAATCCTGTGGTTGCTGTTGTCTGTTGTTTCAGTATTAATGTGACAAATAAAGTGTAATTAGTGAATATTAAGTTCTAAGAATTTAATTCATTACATTTAACCATGGAGAAACTAGAGCAAACTACAAGTCCACATAGGAAACTGCTAACAGCAGCTGTGTCCAGTGTATTGTTGAGCCATGGTTTTGATTCTTCGGATTGGGATGTTCTTGAAACACTTACAGAGATGTTACAATGTTGTAAGTTTATAATCACTTACACTTTATTATTGTAATGAATAATAAATTAATGATTTAACTGTTGTAATATGTAATGTTTTTCAAACACCATATTTTGTAGGTTAAAAATTTGTTTGTTTTTTAACGTTTTAGTTATTGATATATAAAAAGAATCCAAATAAAGTTGGTGATTTTGTATTAGATAGTCTTTCTACATATAATTAAATATTTAATTAATTTATAACATTCCATAATTTTATATGTACAATTATTTCTTTTATTTGTAGTTTTCTGTGAAATTGGTCAATCAAGCAAAAATTATTGTGAACTCTCTGGACGAACAGAACCGCTTATTGCCGATGTTATATTAGGTTTTGTCGAGATGGGTAAATATAATTTGATCAATTTATATTATGTTTTTACTATAAAATTATCCACGTTATCCAGGAATAAATTTCACGCAGTTGAGTGAATTCATCAAACAACACAAGTTGCAAGTTCTGCCTACACTACAACCACAGCAACAGCCAAAGCAATTGAACATGTTACAGGCTGGTACAAAGCAACCTCTACCCAGTCACATTCCACAGCATTTACCATCATTTCCAGATCCACACTCATATATTAGGACTCCAGTGAGTTTCTACTGTTGGCTGATAATTTATTTGAAATTTTTGTCATTAAATATTTTTGTAGACTCATAAGCAACCTGTAATTGATTATGAAGCGATTAGAGAAAAATGCGCGATTCAGAAGAGAGATGTGGAAAAAGCGTTAACGAAATTTTTAGCGAAGACCAGTCAAACGCACAACCTTTTCGAAAATGACGAGTTTATATTCCCTTGTAAGTTTCATATAAATTTTAATAATACTTGTTTTTTAATGACTATTTTATCTAGTGATTACGTGTAAAACAGAGTTTCCTCCATATTTAAATGCTTTGATGCCTCAAGATCAGATTTTCGATGCGGAGGATTTGGAGTACAAAACGGAAGAAATAAATCCGCCTCCGAAGAAAAGGGTGAAAACGGAGAAATCCGAAACGAAAACGGAGGGTGATGGAGAGGAGGAAGTTGTCGAAGAACCACCCGAAGAAATCGAGGATCCAAATAAAGTGGATGAGAACTCTTCACCGGTCGTCGACATCGATAATCCCTATTTGGCAGCCACCAAACTACCAAATAAGTCTTAACAATCGAAATCCTACTCTAGTTGTAAGTTTTATTTACAATAAATTTATTTTTAATGCGATAACAGCTATTAATGGATACAAGTAAAGTGATTGGGCGGATGCAGATGATTTGTAGAGTAACGGTTGGAACAATGATGTGTCCTCCTTGTGCGTTGTCCAACCAATAACCTTTTCCGCCCTATTCTGAATCCTCAGCCACATAAGTAACGGTTGGAAGTAATCTAGCATGGCATCTGCCGAGAGGCGATCCTGTTTTCCTCGAGTTATGGTACGTAAAACGTCCCTCCAATGCCTCGATCTTCCTAGTTTCAATGCCTCGCTGCAAATGATACAAATAAGCATTTCAAATATTTTAATTTAATCGGATAAACCTTAAAATCCGACCGGCTTCACGTGATCTGTATATATCGCATGTGTAGAGTTGTCCGGTATGACCGGCGGCAGAGCACAAAGCTTCTTGGATTTGGAATTCTAGGAGTAGAGCCACGTAATATCGCGTGTAAGGAATGTCCGCTATTACATGCCTTTTCGCAGCAGCGTCCAGTTGCCTTTCATTCCTAGCTGCTGGTGGCACTATGCCTTGATACCTGAGGCGAAGATCCCACCATGCCGAGTTCATTGTTTGGATTCCTCCGCGAAATACGTGGAAGCGCCACTACAAAAGATATGTTATAATTCGTTTGCGAATGCTAACACACATATAAGTAACTTGGTCCACGAGAAGAGCATAAGGTATGAACGCAACTTTGTTTAAAGCCATCGTCATCAAGAAGTTCATGTTCGTTTCATAAGTTTCCGAGTTGTTGTTGAACAAACCCACTCTATGGAAGTGATGTGGATTGAATACGGATAAACGGATTGCGTTAGAAATGGCCTCGTGAAATGCTACGATGTAAATAAAATCAAGTATAATTAGAGTTAATATGAAATGTCTTTACCTGGATTAGCTCCATCCCTGTAAATGTAAGGTTGATCGGCATAAGACATATAGTACTGAACGTGCGACATCTCATGATGAACTGACACAAGATCATCCATGGTGACTTCCGTGCATTCCTTAATCCTTAAATATTCATGTTTTAGAATTATTATTTTACAACAATTAATATTACGAACCTGAAATCCATACGATTACAGAAATCCCAAGCACTCGCAGTGCACTGCACCTTTCTATCCACCGGTTTTTCCAATAAAGAATTTCTCCAGAATTCGGGAGGCATAGGTTTCAAGCCCATCGAAGTGAAAAATTCTTCTGCCATTTGGAATATTCTGAAAATAATCCTTCCTCGTAATTGATTTCAAATTATTTATTGTTGCTAACCTTAGCGGGGTGAATCCTTGCCGGAGAAGCTCATCAGTTACATCGATGTTCTTGACGGCGGGATAAGGCATCATTAGATCAGCTATTCCGTTCCAATCCTGACCAGAAATACTACCTACCAAATGCGCCGGCAGCGGTCCATCCTCTCGAATATACTCCGATCCATATTTGCCCAACAATCTTTTCCTTACGTAAGTGAAGAGCTCTTTATAAAGAGGTAACAGTTTTTCCCACGTCTCGTTCAGCTCAAACTCGAAATGATCGTCCTCGTACTGATGTTTCATTTGTTCACCAGCATCCGAAAAACCTATACAACAAAAACAGATTGATCTATTTTCATTGATTTGAGTTTTTGTTAAATTTTCGGACCGTTCATTCGAGCCGCCTGATTAGCTAACTGCACGTATCTCATGAATTTGTTCTTAACCGGAGGTCCGGTTTTATCGTGCCACTCCTTCCAGATGTGATTCAGCTCTCCAGGATTTCTCGAGTGCTCCATCAGGCGAATCACGTCAGGATCAAGCACCAGATCGCAGTAGCGATTATCTTTATTATTGTAAGGGCACACCCTTACGCTATTGTACATCTCCTTCATCTCGGAGATCAAATGGTGGATCTGAAAATTTTAATATTACTATTCGTGTTTAATAAAATAAATAATTGGACAGCACTTCGTTGTACTTCTCGTCCGGAAGACTTGCTCTTCCATTGGTCGCGAGCATTTTTAGCTGTCGCCTGGTCATGGGATCCGGGAGTCGCGTCCAATCGAACGTAATCGCTTTCTTCCAGGAGAGTTTTTCAAATTTCGCCCGGATCATTTGTTCCTCGATCATACGTCTCTTATTGTAATCGGTCATGTTCGTTGAGTATCGCCATTGGGCGGAGCTAACTCGAAAGCACATACCAGATGCTTCAGAGTCGTACTCTCGAAGGAATTGAAGAGCTTCTCCTAAATTCTGGTTGTGACCCTGCAAATAACATTATTATATTAAATGTCCTATTAATAGTATTCAAATCATTTATATAGTAATTAATGTAAATGATCAATTTATGAACAATATTAAAATGGATTATGATCGTTTAAGATAGACTCCAATAACTTTGAACGGGAATTAATCGTTACGGTATTTAAATTAGAACAAAGTGTGTTCGAGCAAAGCGTGACGACCTGGAATTAACCAACGGGAAATAGTGGAAGAAGACCTCATTAACTGGAAGAAGAGTCCTGTTGTTTATCTTTGTTTCTTTTTGTGCCGAATTGCAGTAATTATACATTAACTCACAGTTGTGCGTCGAAACGTTTCTCATCTAATCGCCGTCAAAAATCTTTTAAAGGCATAGACGAAATATTCATAATAAATTTTCAAATTGAATTCAATGAAAATGTCCACATTTTGTTTCTCTTCTTTTCAATTCATACACACGTTATTGCGATTATTGAAACTCTTGCAAATATTTTATTAGTGACGAATTGACATTTCAGATATTACAAACTATTAAAACAATTTGCTTATGGAGGATATTAACAAAAAAAATCCAAATAATAAACTTGAACTATAATTACTTTTATAGTGAAATTTACGAAGTTTAAGTGACAGTTTCTTAGTATTTTCAAATTAATTGTAGACATGCGTATAAATAAAAAAAAATATAAAATTTAGTTACCTGAATGAGTCTGGTGTCTGATAGAGTTGAGACGATACATGCGAAAAGGATGATGGACCCTAGCTTGACCAAAGTCCGTACTCTACATGACATCTTGACAATACTCTGGATCACTTCTAAGGTATTTCAAGTTTATGGCTTGTGCTATCCTTCTAATGCATCTCATTCGGAATCCAAATAGAAACTGAAGGAGACGACACTCTCTATGACGACTGTGTGACATTAAAAGACGAACGGACGATATCGTTGTAGTTGTTAAGGTGTGTTTTCGAAGAGTAGCGTGACAAATTGTTTTGCACACAGATGCAATGGCTCAAAGCGGAACCGCATGTCGCTTCGACCGTACACACTTCAAGTAGATCATTCCTCGTCGAGGAAAACGTTCGCTCGCCTTCCTTATTTCTCTTGCTCTCACCATTTACCATTACATTTTCGATTGTGCGAAGCCTCTCATTACTTGCATATTCCAACAGATGTAACGTTACTTACTTTGCGTGTCTTACTTATGTTCAAATAAAAAGATACCACTTTCTATTGCATTCTTAAAAGGCTGAGGACTTACCTTCTCCATTGAAGTTTTAATTAGGCAATTAATGAAACTGAGCAACTTGATTTTCTGGATTATGTTACTGGCAAAGCGGCTTTAAATATTCAGTAGTTAAGAAGTTTTAATATATTTTTTTCGTTTTCAAATTAAGTTAAACATGTCCATTTGACAATTAGAATGTAGCAACTATTCGCGAATTTCAGTTTGAAGAACACTGGTTTATATCATAAAAAGTATTTGTATCATTTACTTAACAATAACTATATATGTACAATGTATATAATGTTTTTTTTCTTCTCCTTGGAAATGGTTTTACAATTTTAGTTTATTGTGAATATTACAACTGGAAGTATCATATTTTTCAAGTTCTCTTGATATCTATCACGTTTAACATCTAACAATAGTTAAGCAACATTCATTTAGTAACCCAAATATTACTAAATGAATGGTCGATCTGAGACCACAACAGTACAATTGAAGACAAATTGGCAAAGTTTGGACGTTGCAGGCAATCATAGAATACGATCATTTTGGTCGATTTTTAAAAATATTACTAGTACTGCTATGACAATGTATTAAAAATTGTAAATGTTTTAGTTAGCATGATGTTGACAAATTAGTCAATCTTATTATTGTGTCTAAACAAGTCTAAGCAACATAAAGTTGTCGAAAGTAGAATCATTTAAATACCTTGATGTCATTGACCTCCAAAGCTGGACCTGCCAAGGGCGTACATGGCAAGGGCTATCCCTAGGTTTACAAAAAAAAAATATCTTTTTATAATATACTGAATTTATATCATGATACAAATATTCTATTTATATTATTGCATAGTAATATATTTAAAATATAGTTTTACTAGTTTAAAGATAAACTTCTAAATTGTTTCACAACTATGAATCAACTGATATTAAACTATAATAACTAATTTTGATTGTGAAACAATATTTATGTAACAAATATTTTACATATTCCCATAAAGAAATAAATACAAAATTTGTTTCTGTTTCGCATATTTTTTTGGTTAATCATTTAAAAAAAAAACGAAGAATGTAAAACTAAATAGATTATGCAATTTTGAGATTAAATTGAATATAAAATGATTGCAATTTAATGAGTCCAGAAGGTGACCCGCTTATGCAATACTCTTCGTACGTGGAGGACGTATCAATTTGTGGACGAAACAAAAAAAACCGGTCAATTAGTCAGGGCCAATTAATTCCGTTAATCATTTTGAAATTCATATTGGATGTTACGCCACTGGTGTTGGAAAGGTGCGCATGCACCATCATCTGGGATCTCTAAGGTTCATGGTTCACACGATTTGTGATGGGATGAAGGGAGACGGAAGTATCGAACGTAGTTCGTTTCTTAGTCCCTCGCGTTAACTAAAAACAATATGGCAGTTAATAGTGAACGATAATATTTTGGTATCGTGCACTTGCTTAACGTCGCTCCAGGAAGTGAACAAGTTTTGGTAGTAGATATCACAGGTGTTGTGTTCAGAGGTGCAGCTGATATGAGTGGTGTTCTGCCGTTCACGCCGCCCGTCGTGAAGCGGCTTCTCGGCTGGAAGAAAGGCTCCGATGCCGACGACAAATGGTGCGAGAAGGCTGTGAAGAGCCTGGTGAAGAAGCTGAAGAAGTCCGGAGCTCTGGAAGAGCTCGAACGGGCGGTGTCATCTCAGAACCCGAACACCAAGTGCGTCACGATTCCCAGGTAATAACGATTTGACTCATTACTCATTACATCTCGCTCTCTCTCCCTCATACCTGACCTCGCGTTCAACAACACAAGTTTAAGGTCACAGCATTATGGATTTGTTGTGGCGCCCCCTCCTCACCGCACTCAGTCTGGTGACCTACCCTAAATGTCTGCTTGATGCGCTGCTTACATACCTAATTTACGCACGGCCACTACCTCCCACCCATCCCAATTGCGCCAATCGCATCCATCGAATTCGCACAGAATGTAAACATTCCCATTCCATTGTCCTCGATGAGTGTTTGTTATTTATTTAATTTGGATGTCCTCTTCACAGAGTCCGGCCGACCGCTGATCCCAACATCCAGCCTCGCAAGGGATTACCTCATGTGATCTACTGCAGATTGTGGAGGTGGCCAGAACTGCAGTCTCACCACGAGCTCAGACCTCTCGATCATTGCGAGTTTACGTACTCTCTGAAAAAGGAGGAAGTCTGCATCAATCCTTACCACTACAGCCGAATTGAAAGTCCAGGTTGTACAAACACACTTAATTTCCATAGTGTTAAATACAATGTTTACTTATGAATTTGAAACATAAACAAACTCCAAGCAAATTCAATGCTCTACAAATGGAAGATCATGTGCTAATAGTCATTAAAACACATACTACCATTAAGTATATGATCAATATAATAATTAAAGTTTTGACTGTATTGGATATAATAACAGAAATGACTATGCTAATATTAATGCAGATGATCACTAGAATTTCAAAATTTAAAGGTAGAGAAGGTGGTATTAGAATCAGAATGTATCAAAGACGTTTAGGAGATAATAGCATAAGTACATAATACAGCAGAAGGTATTATAAATATTCTATCTGTAAGAAAATTCATGTTCTCAATCAAATATATTAAAATAGTATTATAAAAACATAAAATTTAACTTTAATATTGTTTATATTAATTTATATTGTGTTTGCAGCCTTACCAGCAATTCTTGTACCAAGACACGCGCTGCTCAACGATGAGAATAATCTGTTTCCTCATTCGCTCGAAGACTTGAGTACTTCCGTACCGGAGAACACTTCTTTTCCACACAATACAAATTCTTTAGGGTACGAGGTTTTTCAATACATTGTTATGATCTAACTAATTGACTTTATATATTATTATTTTTTTAGATTGCACATGCAACACACAGGTGGATATATGGATGCCGTCGGGCTTTGCTCGAATGGGCCACCCACCAACTTGGAGTCACCGCACAATGCGGCTCCGCCGACTGAAACTCCTCCACCCGGATACATGTCCGAAGATGGGGATCCCATAGATCCAAACGATAACATGAGCATATCCCGCCTGACACCGAGTCCACCAGTGGACGCTCAGCCGGTCATGTATTGCGAACCTGCATTCTGGTGCAGCATTAGCTATTACGAACTGAATACGAGAGTAGGTGAGACTTTTCACGCTAGCCAACCAAGTATCACCGTCGACGGTTTCACAGATCCAAGCAACTCGGAAAGGTAAAACAAAAAATATACTTTACACTCTTAGGAATTCATTTCAAGCTAGAAATTGTCTGAAATTAGTAGTTCTAAAATATAAATAATTTCACTGATATTTTCAGATTCTGTTTGGGACTCCTTTCGAACGTTAACCGAAATGTGGTAGTCGAACAAACACGAAGACATATTGGAAAAGGCGTCCGATTGTATTATATTGGTACGAGGAAGCAATACTTTCTTATTTAATCGGTGTTCTAACAATATAGTATTGCTTCGATTTGTAGGTGGTGAGGTTTTCGCTGAGTGTCTGAGTGATTCGAGCATATTCGTGCAGTCACCTAACTGTAATCAGCGATACGGATGGCACCCAGCGACCGTCTGCAAGATTCCTCCTGGCTGCAACCTGAAGATATTCAACAACCAGGAATTTGCCTCTCTGCTTTCGCAGAGTGTCAGTCAGGGCTTCGAAGCTGTTTACCAGCTGACCAGGATGTGCACGATAAGAATGAGCTTCGTGAAGGGCTGGGGCGCCGAGTACCGGAGACAAACGGTAACTTCGACTCCCTGCTGGATCGAACTCCATCTGAATGGTCCACTTCAGTGGTTGGATCGCGTTCTCACGCAGATGGGATCTCCTAGGTTACCATGTAGCTCGATGTCATAGAAACCTCGATATTCGTAAATATCATATATATATATATTTTTATTATAACTATTATCATTATACAGAAATATATGTGTACGTACAGCGTGTAACTATCGAAGTGTGCTGGTCACACCGGTCGTCACGCAACGCGATTTTATAAAAATCGCTTTTCATTTATTATTTATATATTTTTTGTTTTACCGGGAGGAACTATCACTTGCAGAATATCTGTATACGTATTTGAAAACAATATTGCATTTAACTAAATACTGAATGAAAGAATGAACATCCTCATGGTATCAAATGATCAATTTAAATTTTCGTCAGTTTATTTGCTCGTGCCTGCATAATGGTAAAATAATAGAGATAAACAAAAGACATTCGTTTTTTTAACACTACTGGGCAAAATTATATTAATTTAAAAAGCCAAATAGAAATTTATTTTTTATACACATTGTTGATCTCATACACCGCATATACGTAATAATAATAATAGCTATACAGATGATTAATGAACATTTCACAGGAATGCTGCATACTAAAACAAGAAGGACCCGGACGATTATTTTTTGCCCAGAGTGTTATAAAAATCTCAGGTCGCATTCAGCAGCTCGGATTTTATTGTCATTCATGTTTTCACCCATACGCTTTCTTTTATATAAAAAAAAAGTTTATATGTATATTTCAAATAGATATTGTTTTATGTTACGTTTGAAGGATCGCACATCTTTCTAAGAGCGCGTCTTTCCTAATAATATATTTGTTATGTTTTTCCTTTATTATTATTTTTTTCATTCATAGAATGTTTTATATTATTATTATTGATGGATTGTATCAAATGAGTCAAATATTTTTTTTATCTATTATGTTTCATATTCAGCTCATAATTTATCGTTTTTAGACTCCTATAAGATAATATTAATAAGTTTATTACTGTAGAGTGTATTTAAAACAAAGCAAGTGTTTTTATTTTTCGACTGTCGAACATTTTCAAAGCGACTCCAAAAATACTTTGACATGAAAATTATATTCGTTATGTTTATTTGTTAAAAAGAATAATTAAATTATAATTTGAATACGATTTTTGTATTTTCTGTTATTTCATATCTTTGCAATTTTCCATGTACTTTAATCCCTCAAAATTTAAAAAGATCTCAATTCAAATTACATATTGGTACAAAAAAAATACATTTTGTAAGCACTTTTAACTCTTGCAACAAAAAGTAAGTGATTCAATAGTTAAACAAAATTCTTGTATGCTCTAAAACAAAGTTTATACATTAAATAAATATTAATAAAAGCTAAACCTATTGAATCTTATAATTCAGTCTATTCATTGGTTCACTTATATTAACAATAAGGAGCTGTTACTAACATTTTTTACAACAGGAAGAAAAATAATAAGCAGTATTGAGATAATTTATATATTTTCACCCATGCAATAAGGATTTATCACATGGTATTAGCATATTATTGGATTTCTTATCCTGGAGGCCATTGGAGTTGACGTCCAGACAGGACATGAATGTGCAGATGATAGACTGATTGTGCTCCAATGGAACCATCATTGATGACAATCCTGAATCCATCTTTGAGATTCCTTTTCTCAGCAACTTTGCGGGCTGTCAGTAAAAGGTGCCCCAAGAGAGAACCATCTTCATCTTCAGCCTTTGATAGCTGAGCGATTGGTTTCTTGGGGATTACCAGGAAATGTACTGGGGCTTGCGGGTTCACATCATCAAACGCCACACACTGTAAATTACAAGATTGACAGTTTTACTCTACGTAAAATATGTCTCGACGAATTTAGTGAACTTACTAAATCATCTTCGTAGATGAACGTGCAAGGAATCTCTTTCCTCAAGATTTTCCCAAAAATCGTGTCTCCGTCCGGCTTGGCTGTCTGAGCCAGCTGCACTTCGTCCGCCATTTTCACAACGAATGAAATCCAAATGATATGACAGAAATTCAATTCAAATAAACATGTTATATAATCTTATGCTCAGTAAATAATCACAAAATAAATGTACTTTGATGTACAAGTTTCTTCAATTTACTAAACATTTTCAATTATAGATAATTATTTACACTTAAAGAAAGTATATAATTTAGAAATATTGCTATCAAGAAATCTAAATTAGAATTATTACTTATTGAAAAGTACACAAACGAATTAGAAAATGTTAATGGCAATTGTTAATATTAGAATAAAATAACTATTAACTTCAGTAACAGTTTACTTTTGAAATAAACAGTTTATTGGTTCAAGAATTAATTACAAGAAACTCGAAATTTGCATTAAAGTTTAAATGTAAATTTAAACAAAAAGATATCTACAAAATAATAAAGTTTGTAGTAAGGGTTTTTGATTTCTATAAAATATAAACAGTAAAACAATAGAAAATATAAAATAATACTTTATTTGGATGTATATAGCCAGTAGTATATAAATGTAGGAATGTATGTTACAAAATTAACATTTTTTTTTTAAATTAATTGATGCCAGTTGATCCAAATCCTGCAACACCACGATCTGTTTCAGATAACTAAAAAAAATCCATGATTACTTCTCATTCTTATTAAAGTAAATTACTATATTGTTACCTCAGAAACCTCCTCAATTTCTGGATAAAAAATTTGTTCACAAATCAATTGTGCAATGCGATCACCACTCTTTACTTCAAATGGAATTTCTGAATGATTGAACAGGATAACTTTGAGTACCCCACGGTAGTCTTCATCGATGACTCCAGCTGTTTAACACATAAAATTATAAGTTAATGAAACATTACAACCAAAAATATAATATTCATATTTAACCTAAAACATCAATGCTATTCTTTGCAGCTAATCCAGACCTGGGAGCAATTCTTCCATAGCATCCCTCAGGTAGTTGTACTTTCAGACCAGTGTCTACCATTTCTTTGCTCCGAGCAGGAATAGTATAGTTGAATGCACTTTTTAGATCAAAGCCGGCCGCTTTCTTAGACCCCTTGATTGGGGCAAAAGCTTCAGGCACATTTTTTGTGAATTTAAGGATTTTTGAAGACATCTTCGATGAAAAGCTTAGAACTTGGGATTGCTTAAGCTTACTTCGCCAACGGTTGTAACAAATGCGTTTTTTTGACCGTTAAAATATATGCTTTTACATTATTTCCTTGCCGGCAAATTTGAATTTGCAACTTTCCTGCTTATGCTGTTTTTTCAATGTTGTTATTAAATACACATGATTGTTTAAAAACCCATAAAAAGCTGTTATCAAACGAACATATTAAAATTGTAGCACAAAACATAAAATATTAAACTAATTTAAATTTGATTGGAATACAACCTCCCTCTGTTGGAGGAAAACAAAAACTTTATTTTTTATTTAAAATTTAAGCATTTCCAAATATTGTAATCACTTGATTTTATAAAATTAACGACATTAATCATTTGCACAATTCAGAAAATTTTCTCCAGTGCTGATAGATGATATTAAAGGAGTCACAATTATTTATATTACTTTTTATGCACTATTAGCCTATTTTATTTATTCTTTAATTGCTGTGTTGACCTACACAACTCTCTGTTTTCGTTTATTTGTACTTTGTTATCGATTTCTTTCAATTGCGCTTCATGTACCTTAAGGTGCGAGCTAAGTTGCATACCTCTATTCTTTGACTGGTGGGATTGGTTGGGTTTGGGACGGTATTAGAAGAAGGAAGTTATCTTTCTGTTGGTAACATTTGTTGTCAGCTGAACGTCATCTTTGATAACAAAAGGAAGGCGAAAATGCAGTGAAGATTTTAATTTTTAATTAGAAAACAGGAGGTTTCTTAATTAAAAAACCTGTTAAAATGATTAAAGCAATTTTGGTGTTCAATAATCATGGGAAGCCAAGGCTTTCGAAATTTTACCAATACTTTGTAAGTTAACCCAGTACAGGTTAAAGTTACATTGTATTTATGATTTAAATGATTTGTTTTTTTTTGTGTGTGTTTGTAGAATGAAGATATGCAGCAGCAAATCATTAAAGAAACCTTTCAGTTGGTCTCAAAGCGGGATGATAATGTGTGCAATTTCTTAGAGGGTGGCAGGTATTTTTTTTATATGTTATAGTATTTACTTGTCTATTAATATGCATATTTTCAGTTTAATTGGTGGAAGCGATTATAAGTTGATATACAGACATTATGCAACATTATACTTTGTATTCTGTGTGGATTCATCTGAGAGTGAACTTGGTATCTTAGATCTCATCCAAGTGTTTGTTGAGACATTGGATAAATGCTTTGAGAATGTCTGCGAGTTGGATCTGATATTCCATGTGGATAAAGTGCATTACATCCTCAATGAGCTGGTAATGGGTGGAATGGTTTTGGAGACCAATATGACTGAAATCTTGACAAGGATTGAGGATCAGAACAAGTTGGAGAGCAAGGAGGCCGGGATTAGTGCAGCACCGGCGCGAGCGGTATCCGCTGTGAAGAACATGAACATTCCGCAGCAGATTAAAGACATGAAACTGCCCGATCTGCCGCAAGCTATCAAAGACCTCAAGTTCTGACCTCAAGTGCCACAGCATGTGGAAAACTTAGATGTCAATACTTATAGCCGGTCCTTACTCTATGAACCATCCTCTGCAAAATACACATAAAACACAGTTCAATATTGTAAGCAGATTGTTGGTTTTATTTTGTGTTTCTTTTTATTATTACCACCACACATCTCTCCATCTATTTGTAGCTTGATGGAAATTATTTTTAATATTACATTGTTTTTTTTATATATATATATATAATAATATATTGTAAATAAGAATTTTTAAAATGAGCCTGCAAATTCCATTTATTTGTTATTTACTTTGTTTTTAAAAAAATATTTATTTCATGAAAAAAATCTAGAAATGTATACTTTTCTAACAGAATAAAATGATCTAATACACATATTCCAATTAGTGAATTCATTACATTTTCAGGTAGACAGCCTAAGGTGGTCACTAAGTGGATACAAATATACAAGATACACGAGCGCATATTGACGGTCACTAAGACCGTAAATGTAAATAAATCTTGAGGTTAAGAAAATATAATATGCAATCAATATCAATTTGCATACAAGTTCATAAACCATTGCTTAAGTGTAATCCTAATATCTTTCTGAGATGTATATAATTATAAAAGAAACAGTTGCGTATCATAATTTTGTGAGGCCATAGGCTTAACTTGATTTGGAGGCTCTACAAAGAAAATCATAACGTTTTTTTTGGCGATTTGAAGGCCCCTTAATTTAAGAAGCCATAGGAGCGGTAACGCACTCATGAAATGCAGCAAAAGTTACGTAATTAAGAAAAACGTGAAAACTCGTCGGAACTCATTAAAACAGCGATTTGTAAGATAATCCTATTCACTTTTTTTTCCAATTTCTACAGCTCGTCGCAGGTGACTCGACGACAGCACGAAGATACCTGCTCGTTGGAAAGGTGAGATATTCAGCTTTGAATTGTGTGGTCGGTCATGTAATTATCTTAATTTCTTTTTTCTAATTTCTTCAGCTCTTAGCATCCTACTCCGCGACTGCACTAAGATGACAATAGACTCGTTGGAAAGGTGAGATATTCTGCTTTCAATTATGTGGTCGATAATGTAATTATCTCGCCAAATTGGATTGAGAATTAAATTAAAATGCTTGATTTTGATAACAGTTGGTTATAGTAGATGTACTGACCAAACCACAATGCCGGAAGTTAGCTCATTAGAAAGGTTGTAGTTTTGTCTTTAATTTGCGTATTTCATTGTTTATTTATCACGAATGATAATCGATTAATTTAAAAAAACGAAAAGGTGTTGCAGCAAATTGAAAAAAAGTTAAATAAATATATATTTTAAACTTTTAATTTACTGTTTTAAAAAATAATTCTTTCGCTTTCTTTTGTTATGAAATACGCTAGATTTGGTCGATTAATAAGAAAGTTATTAAGCTTTAATGAGTTGGTAGTTTTCGCGCTTGGTAGTTTGCCTGCTGTCGACTATTTCCAGAAATTTCCGACAGATGTCGTTGCTTGTCTTAATTAAAATGCATATAATTCGAAATATAATTAGTATTTTAATTATTAGACTAAAGCAATAACATTCTATTTGTTCAAGCACTATTTTGATATGTTTATTTATTTAAATTAGAACGTTTTTAAGGAAGTGGATTTTGTGCAGCGCCAAAATGCCTGAACTACAACCTTTGATATATTGCTTACAATATTTTGCGCCTAAAGTACAGGCAACCTAACATACATATTCCCTTTGATCAACAAATAGGAAAACTAGCTATTAGATCAGAGGTTCCCAAACTTTTTTGTGTCGTATACCCCTTGCCATGATTTTCGGTTTTGGGTAGACCCCATACTTACCTGATATTGATTTTTTGTAAATTTATTATTTATATTGGGATATTTTTATAATTATTAAGATCTTTGCTCTGAGACTGCGCGTATGCTTGTAACAAGATGATACTGGTATATCATTATGTGCAGGTTTTTACAAGTTCAAAATGTATTTCGACCACAAAGCGAATGCCTACATTCTAAAACTTATACAATTTTATAAACATATATAATATTTTTTTTACTTCATAGGTACTTTTATAAATAATGTATTTGTTTTTATATTATAAGATAGTATAATGTAAGTAAATAGGTACTATCAGTGTATGATCAGCTGACGTAGACCCCTTGCAGGTTGTCATAGACTCCTGGGGGGCGATATAAACCACCTTGGGAATCATTGTCTTAGATAATAGCCTGTATTTTTGTAAACATGAGCTCCCAGAAGAATGTTATACATTGATATTGATCTTGAATATAGACAGATTAAAATGAGCGTAAACATTCGTTTGTAGCTGCAATGGTGTCTTCTTAATTGGCCTGTATTTTCGTATACACCAACACTCAAAAGAATTTTGGACATTAATGTTGATTCTAAATATATAGACATTAAAATGAGTATAGCTACCATAGTTTCATCACAATTAATTATCAAACTTTGTTATTAGACAGATTGGAACCAAGGTTTTCGAAAATCTCCTGTATTTTCGTAAGCACTTGCTTCTTGAAGAATGTTGAACATTAATGTTGATCTAAAATATACAGAGTTTAAAATAAGTGAAAATAGTTGTTATCCACTCCTCAATGAAGTAATATTTTTGGTCACTTTCCACTATTTGCAAATGTAAAGAATGCTTTCCACTTTCTCCTTTTCCCTAAATAATAACAATTGTACTGATGATTGTTGACTACTTACCTTATGACTATTAACAATTAATGCACATTCTTATATGAAGACACTGATTCAGGATGTCTTATGTATAGGATTTTAAGAATTCTCTCTACTTAGCTGCAGGTTCTGTTGGATGTTTTCTGAAGACAAAGAACTTTAGTGATCGATGGTTGTTGACATGTTCACCTAGTACTTGCCCAAAGTGAAATATGAAGTTCAGAGGTTTTCCATCCTAGGAAATAGAAGAAGGAAGCTATGGAGCATGTTGTTTATTAAGTTTGCATTGAAAAGAATGTAGAATAAACAGGAAATCTAATAAAGACCTTCAAATTTATTTTGCGACAGTAGCTGTCAGTGAGACAGCTGTCAAAATGACAGTACGTTCATTCATGGTACGTTCATTCGCACAAATGTAAATTGCTACAACCAATCAGAAATGACCGTTGCTAGGAGCTCAGATACCTCCTCGCTACTCCTAGTCTCCTAGTGCGAAATTTTCTGGCATTTTCGAGAATTGCGTTTTGATTTGCGAAAACCGCCAACGCATTAAAGCTTAATAACTTTCTTATTAATTGATCAAACCTAACGTATTTTATTGCAAATGAAAGCGAAATAATTATTCTTTTTAACAATAAATTAAAATTATATTATATTTAACTATTCTTTTTCAATTTGCTGCAATACTTTCACGTTTTTTTAAATTAATCGATCACCACTCGTGATAATTAAACAATCGAATACGAAAATTAAAGACAAAACTACAACCTTTCTAATGCCGACATTGTGGTTTGATCAGTACATCTACTATAAGTTATCAAAATCAAGCATTTTAATTTAATTCTCAATCCAAATAATGAACCCTCTGCTTTCTTCATTCAATAACTAACATCCACAATCTTGGATATCAAGATATCTCGGATTTTCTTCTTCTTCTTCTTCCTATATTTCTCAATTACACCTAATTAAAAAGGTCACGTTTTTTTTTTGGTTAAAAATTATTAACAATTTGTTCAATTTAGAAAATATCCCGCAACTGACGCTCGAGAACGCATCGTAATTCATCTCCAATTATTCTGTTTGTATCGATCTACACTTATTGCTTTTGTTTCATAAAAAGTTGCGTAAGACTGGTGCTCATCCTGCGCAATCATGAAATGCAACAAAAGTTACGTATTGTGTAATTAAGATAAAATGTGAAAACTCTTCGAATCTCAACGAAACAGCGATTTTTAAGAAAATCATATTCACTTTTTTTCAATTTCTACAGTTCGTAGCAGGCGACAGACGAATGACAGCACGAAGATGCCAATAGGCATGTTGGAAAGGTGAGGTATTCAGGTAATACATGTCTTTAAAATGCTTTATTAATTTACATATAGCAAGTCACGTATAAAAGATTAAAATACATTTAACACAAAATCAGCCAAAAGATTAAAATTCATTTCAATAAGTTAAGCAACAGCGATTGCGAAGATATCTCGTCGAATTATTCCTAGAACAGAAAATAAAAACATATTACAAATACATCGCGCGTTCATATATTATCTCTTGTTAGAGGTCAAAGCGTCTATGTGCGAAAATATTGTAATATTTGCCTGTACTCACTTGAGACTCCTTTTTCCCATACATGGACCAGAAGGTAACTTTGCTGGCGGTTTTACGACCAGTCTTCTTGTCGAACATGTGGCACGTGTCGAAGGGTGGCGAATAGAGATGCAGGCTTATGGCTGGATCCGTGTGGGACACGTTCTCCACCCTGTGCAATCCTTGCTCATCTGCATATAAATACCAAATTAGGTCAAAACATGTTTACGATTATGCCGGCATCGAAGATAAGGAAAAACATCCTTCTGTTTACATCCGAACCAATGTTGACGCAATTACAAATTTTGAACTTTAAAACCCGCCCGATTTACGTACAAAACTACTACGAACTTCTGCAAATTGACGATAATAAACGAAGACGAATTATGTCCAGTCCGTTGCGAAAGTAATGAATGAGCAGCAACTAAATTTTGAACGATAAAGACTTATCGATACAACAGTTACGAAATTTTTAAATAACCTATGCGACTTCCGAAAATATTGGCCCATTACAAATATGTCGTTTTAAAATTGCTGTTGAATTTAGCTTAAAGTTATTTTGTTTAAATAATCAACAAAAATATTGTTTATTTTTTGTGCATTTTTACAAAATGATACTAAATGATGAAGCAACAAAACAACTACACTCGAATAATGAAGCAATTCTCATAACCTCCTATTTTAAGAACCAATCGTTGTTAAAGTCATTATGTTTTTTCAAGTTCAAGGTTTTCTATTATTAAACAACGTTTTTATTTTGAAATTACATTACGTATGTACAATAATAAATGTAGCAATTAATTGCTAGCAGTCTACCGCCACTTCAGAAAAAACTATGTATAGCTTACTTTAATGATCTGTGAATTGCGGACGATAAATTTTCGGGATCGCAAAATAATTGTATTTAAAGTATGTTTGCTCATGAATTCATTAAAGTACGTTACGATTTGAAATGTTGTTAGACTAAATAAATAAATTACCGTATTTTTCGCACCTTTTTTACATAGAAAAATAGACTTGAAATTGGATTATAATCCGAAGGCTATTGCCTTTTTATAATCTTTTCTAAAATTCGTTCCATATATTTTGGGTGAGTTTTATCATTGAAAAATACGATTTTTGTAACTAAATTAATTTTGATTGACAGATTTGAACTTTGATCTCCTGAAAATGTACTCTCTTTTTGCAACGATGCACAATTTTATCAACTTTGTGAAAACCCAAATTATAATTTGTGAAATACTTGAGAACTGTAAACTAAATTTAATCATATTGATAAAGTTGAATATTGTCAAGTTTTTTTTGGTATATTTAAAGTAATGAAAAACTAAAGGCATTTTTAGGAAAACTCAAAAAATAAATTGTTACCGTTGATGTAGCAAACGCTGTTTTCCTTCAGTATGGTTCTGCCCATTTCTTGGAGTTCCTCGCCTTGCTGCTTGGGCCATTCGTAGCGGATTTCCTGTAGTTCTCCTTGGAGCATCTTCATAAAGCAGTGAGCATTGGCATGGTCATGGATGCTGGAGCCCTGACCTTCGCCCCAGCACAGAAGGATCAAATTGTACTTGCCGTTTCCACTGTTCACAAGGTTTCGAGTGTATCTGGAGAGAGAGAGAGAGAGAAAAAGATGAAATTTCAATCAGCTGTAAAAACATATTTCTTTTTATAGAACAATTATTATACACATCGGAGCGGCAATCGTTTGTTTATGCTCTCGATATGTTGATTTCTTCTTCTCCTCAGCTCCTACATTCTATACGTATCAAACCGCATGGCGATGAGTTTATAAAAATAAAAGAGAACTTGATCTTTCCAAGGCCCACTCCTTCGGCACTGACCTAACCGAATAGTCTTAGAGACTGGTTTGCAAACTTAACGTGAATTGGAGCAATCGCTCTTCAATTCATCGAGCTACCTGGAATGTGTGACGTGCGAAAGAAAACAAAAGCGAAATGTTCAATCAAATGGTTGTGTTTGGAAATAATTAATGGTTTCTGCACATGCAGCTATGAAATAAAACAATAATATGATAGTAAAAAAAAGTATTTTTATACACTTTTAATATTGTTGATAGCGCGAGATTGATGTTTACAAAAATATAAACAACGCATTCCTTTTAATAATTCTTTTGTTCGTGATAATACTTAGAATTATTTAAAAAATGTCACGAATAATAAAAAGAAGTAATAACTAAATTTGTATCTTTAAAATCATACAAAACCGTTACTTTATTTGATTATTTTTGGACTGTTAAAAACCAGTTATGTCACCTGCTGCAATTATGTCATCATAATAATATAATATGAATGTAAACCATCACGTGAAATGCATGATCAAAATCTGGATTATCCAAGTCGAAACGAACGAAAAAAAAAAAAGAATCAGTACGATTACAATTTTATTTAAATGCTTAATTGATCATGTAAACATGTTCTCGCTTCAAAAACAATAATTACAGCATTAGATAACGCTAGTAGTTGCTATGGCTCTTAAAACAAATCGACCCAACGCACAAAAAGAAAATGTTGTTATTGCCAAACGATAATAATCAAATCGTGCCATGTTTCGTAACAATCTGTAAAATTTCCTATGAGAACTATTCAATTGTTATAAGTTAGTTATAAGTAAAAAAAAAAAAGTATTTGCAGGTGCATTCCGATGAAGGAAAATTCCTAGTTTAAGGAATTGCTCTTTTGTTAATTTCAGTTTGAAGGATATCAATTTGGACGTAAATGGTATATATATATATCGCTTTGTCAAGGATTTTAAAGTAGTCTTGTTATTTTTCTTTATTCCCTATTCCGACCTGACGATACTAAAAATGCTTGCAATTATTCTCTGCATTTCTCTACTATGGAAACATATTTGCGTTTGCGGAATGGAAACTTTGCAACAACTGTCAATTTCACTATTTTCTTTTGGAAATGCAATTTATATCACGTTTTATATATTTCGTTATTTCGTAATTACTTCAATGTTTAGTCCGTTGATTGTATTTTAATGCTTATTTTCATTTAAAAATAATGTGTTATTTGTAAACTTGAAACATTAAATAAGAGATTAACGATCAATAAACTAATGACGAGGATTTTCCAATAAAACCATTTCAAACTTATCATTCAATTTTTAAAACTAACGACAAAAAAAAATTATGAACGTCATTCGGTTAATCTCAATCTAACACATATAATTTCTAATTGCAGCAGCATAAAACAATATTCTTTATTGAAATATCTAAAATATATTCAGATAAAATGTAGAAAATATCTTTTAATCTGCCGTGCTTAAAAAAAAACTTCATATTTTCTTAATCTTAACATCTTGTTTTAGATAAATTTGTAATAATTAAGAATATAGTTAGAACATTTGTTTAAGATTCTTTAAATTTTCTAAGATATTATAGAATTTTGATAAATGATAGATTTGAATTTGTACAATTAATAATTTATATATGAGTTATACTACATTTATATAAATTTTACAGAAATTTAACTCTTATCAATGAAATCGAGTACTTGTATAATTGAAATATTGTTTTAATAGTAATAACGAATATAAATAGTTGTTATTGAAATCGAATATCCAAATAGAATACAATAAACATATCATACTAATAAACAAGTGTATGGTTTACTTTTCATAACATTTTAAAAATAATTTGCAGTTCTGAAAGTTGGCGATGTTTCTTCATTTTCGCAATAATTTTGTTTCAAGCGACTAAGCTAATCGTCGGATCGTGCGAAATTTCTGCTGCATTCAAGAGAAAACTCGTTTTGCAAGAAAATTTCCATGCAATCTCTTTCCGATATATATATTTTTTTAATCCAGACCTATAATCATCATGTATTTAGAGCTCTGTGAATTTTTTATATATTTAGTATATTTTAGTATATTTTTTAAATAAAAAAGTTGTGTTGAATTTGTTTTATAAAAATAAAATTTTCAAGAATATTATTAAAATTGTGTGTTGTAGTATAGTGAAGTCTTGAATATATTTATTTATGTTGATTTTATGTTCACTTCATGCATTGACAATGTACTGTTTTAAATGTCTTACTGAAAGTCCAGTTATTTCAAATATTTGAGTAAGCGTTTCTCATTCAGCTAAGTGTATTTATTGTTGCTACTTGATGTTTTGATGCGAGGTGAGTGTTGTTGTTAGTAAGTCACCGTTGCTTTCACGAAATGGACGCATGCTACTCGATATAAATGATTGTCTTCGAAGTCCGGTGAGAAGAGAGAAGAACGGTCACAGTTTATTTACCTATATCTGTCAAACTTGGCGAACTTTTTCCAATCGTCGACGTTGGATTTGTACGTGCGTAGAATGTAGTCTACAAGTTCAATGTTAACTTCGTCGCTGGCGAAGATCTTGTTCAGTTCCTCGATGAGTTCGTCCAGATTATTCGCAACCGGCAAATTGTCGCCGAACCTCTTGATCAGATCCACGTCGGTGATCACGTTCTCCCTGTTGCACACCTCCATCTCTTGCGTGATAAAAACCAAAGAACAAATTCGTGGTGCAGCACTCGACCGATGGATGCGGTATCGTTTTAGAAGAAGAAGCAGGAAGAGAGCGACAGAGCGGATTGACAGCGAACAGCAGCAGATTATCGCAGGAGGATAGAAATGAAAGAAACTCGATGTTCGCAAATCGATGGTCGCGTATCAAATAAATAAAAAGGCCCGTCCGATGCGATGTTTTATTTTCTGGGGCCGAAGGAGGCAGAGGATTTTTGATAAGAGGTCTGCCTCCTGATATCCTCTCCCAGTGAGGTCACCGCAGTTACAGAACAACTTCACATTTCGAAACGCTAATCGCTAAACGAGGAGGGGACCTCCGCAAACGTCGCACATCCATTCTCACTCTCCATCAATATTATTATTATATCTAATTTCCATCGTTATCCCCGAAAAAAAAAATAACAAATAATCCACATAATCCTTGCAGCAAAGATCTTCCGAATTCAACTCTCAAATCGCTCGATTCATCTCGGTAATAACTGGAAATTACTTATTTGAACTGCTCGTTTGGAAATTGTACATGTACAAAACGCGGGATCTGGTTTTCTTCGTTCGACATGCTCAATTTGCAGCCAGCTCGTTTTGCGCGAAACAGAATAATCGATTTTAAGAATACAGCCAGTCGAAAAAAAAAATGTACATAAATATTCCACATACTTCTAATGTGTGTGCGAGGTTTTTTTATTATTGTTGTTGTTGAATATTCAAATACTCGCCTATGATTATTTTAGTTTTATCAATTTGAAAAATTGCAACTTTTAGTCATTTATAAACTATAGTTATTAAAATTAACATATTTGTATTATCAGACAGATTTTTAGGTAAGGTATTTATCACAGACATAACAATACATGTTTTATTTTACGTTAATCAGTATTGTTGATGATTTACTTATTAAAATTTTAATTGTTTTCTAAATTAAAAATATTTAATTCAATAAACGTTTGTTATCGTCGTCTACATTTAACCACCAAAATAAATAATATATTAGTGAATCACTTCAATTACCGTGTAATTATACTTCTCACTAAAATAGTAATAGTAGTTGATCGATTACTAACGTAATGGAGATGGGAAATGGGCAGAAAACATTAATATTTTTGTTGTCCTAATATAAAATTTGGTTTAAATATTGTCTTAGTATCGTTGATTTTGTAATATTGCTATTTAAAGTCAGGATCATAAGATCAGAAATTTATCATTATAAAAAAATATGTAATAGGATTCAAGAATTCACTTTATTTATCTTCGAGTATTAATTGAAATATTCTTTGTATTGTATTGGTGGATCTTGCAATAAATATTGATTAGCCGTTGAAAATATTTAGCAATAGGTTTTGGTGAAAGCAGCAATAAGTGTTTGCTTGTTTCTATATCAATCATTTTGTGATTGTGTATTGATATTCATCACTTTTAATCAAGAGTTAAACGAAATGCTTATCGAAAATTGCGCCACTGTTAGTATTTAGACTTAAGTTATAATAACAAAATTCCAAAAATAATTTTCTCCATTTCATAGATTTATGTATAAACGAATTGAAAAATATATATATATATATATTAGTTCTGGAATATTTATGAAATTCAATGAAAAAAAAAAATAGAGTAAAATATACAATTCAAGAGAGCACTCGAAATAGCAGAAAAGTCGAAATAAGTTTTTTTTAGTTTACGTGTACTGTAAAAGAATTTTGATATTTATGTTCTATGTTACAAGTTATTAATAAAAACTATCTAATGGTATAATTGGTTTATAAATGCATCAAAACAAAATTAAATACATTGACTCGAAAGTCATCCATACTACTAAAACAGTGATCATTTACTACGTAGTCCGCACTAAAACCTCTCCCCTTCTTCGCCAGCCTGCAGGACCTGTATCACTATACTACTCTGCGATGTTGATTGTCTTTGCCTCTTTGGCACTTCCCCTACGTGGCCTCCACTGCCACTATCCTCTATGCTGGCCCTCTACAGCCTCCGCTCGTCTTCTTCTTTGCTTAGTAGCACCTCTGATATGTACGCTGCTACAATATTCCAGCCTCTTCAGCATTTCACTGATAACATTTTTTGGCTCTAGCAGAACTTCCAATTCTGCCTCCGCCTCGTGATTCCTTCCAACCCATCTGCAGCACCTAAATAGCGTGTGCTCAGGGCTATTGTCCTCCTCACAGTACCAGCACCTTTCATCCTCCTTCTTCGCGCTGAAGTACAGGTACTTGCCAAAGCATCCATGACAAGACAGCGCCTGACACAGGTGAAATGTTGTTTCTCCGTGCTTTCTGCTTAACCAAGGCTCTATTTGCGGGATTAGGCGCCGAGTCTAGGCTCCTTTCTCCGACCTGTGCCATTTATCTTGCCATTTTTGGAGCAGTCTGGCAAAAAAGACTCACCTATCTTTATAAAACAAAGCGTATTGATTCCAATCGTCCTTATTTGATTTGAATCTCTGCATACATTGAATTACAGATTCGACATTGACGTTGTCCTTTTCAAAAATAAACATAGGGATATTTTTGTAATTTCTGGCAATACCGCCAATTTCGCGATATTCAACCGAAAAAGACCATACAAAATAGTTAATTATAATATGATCATATTTAATAAAGTTTATGCCGGTCCTGCGTATTACACACAGTTTATGTATATGTAAAAAAAATACTTATTTGAACGACTTGTTTGGAAATTGCTTATGTCTGAGCAAAACGAGGGATCTGGCTATGTTCGACATGCTCAATTTGCAGTCAGCACGATTTGCGCGAAACGGAATACTCGATTTTAAGAATACAGCCAACAAAAAAAAGTACATAAATATTTCACATACTTCTAATGTGTGTGTGTGAGTTTTTTTTGTTGCTGTGTTGAATATTTATGATTATTTCAGTTTTATCAATTTGGAAAATTGCAACTTTTAGTCATTTATAAACTCCAGTTATTAACATTAAATTAAAAATATTTAATTCAACGTTTGTTATTGTCGTCTACATTTAACCACCAAAATAAATAATATAAGAGTGAATCACTTCAATTACCGTGTAATTATACTTCTCACTAAATTAGTAGTTGGTCGATTACTAACATAAAGGAGATGAGAAATGAGCAGTAACCATTAATATTTATTTAATTTTTTGTTGTCTTAACATAAAATATATAAATGTTGTATTGTATTGCTGGATCTTATAATAAATATTGATTAGCCGTTGAAAATATTTAGCAATAGGCTTTGGTAATAAGTGTTTACTTTTAATCAAACAAAATGCTTATCGAAGATTGCGCCACTGTTAATATTTAGACTTAAGTTATAATAACAAAATTCCAACAATAATTTTCTCCATTCCATAGATTTATTTAAAAACGAATTGAAAAAAATATATATATATACAGTGGAACCTCGCTTAAAGAGCATTTCGATGAGAAGAGAAGTCCCGAATTGCGCGCCTGCTACATCATTTTTAAAACTTGTTCACAGATATTATGTGTATTTTTAATATGTTTCACTATACGAGTAAATATTCGGATATTTTGGAACGGATTAAACTCGTTAAACAAGATTTCACTGTATAGTTCTGGAATATTTATGAAATTTAATTAATAAAAAAAATATTCAATTTTATGAGAGGACTCGAAATAGCAGAAAAGTTACATTTAAATTCTCTGTTAAAAGTTATTAATAAAAACCATCTACAAGACAAGACTTTACACTTAATCATTGATGTAATTATAAAAAAAATATAAATTTTATAATAAATACTCCGGGAATTCATCGATATCTTCTACACAATTTAATATGATCCAAGTAAAAGAGATTCACCTATCTTTATCAAACAAAGCGTATTGATTCCAATCGTCCTTATTTGAATTGTAGCTCTCCATACATTGAATTACAGACTCGACGTTGACGTTGTCCTTTTCGAAAAGCACATCGACAGCAGCAATCAAATCATCGAGATTGTTAATTTCCTTCGACGAATCTTGAAGGACTGACTTGGCAAGTTCGATACGTGGATCCATATTTACACCTTACTGATTTAGCGCTCTAGAATTGCATCCTTTTTATACAGAAATTTGTTTATTAAAGAATAAACATTTCTATACTGTTCGGGATATTTTTGTAATTTCTGGGAATAGTTAAGATTCGGAATATAAATATTTATTAAGAAAAGAAAATCTGCATGCAGGGTAGGCGCGAGACGGGTTCGACGACTTCCCCAAAAGCCAATCTCGCTATATTCACCCGAAAAAGGCTATACAAAATATTTAATTATAGCATGATCATATATGATAATGTTTTTATAATAAATTAATTAATTAGATTTTTTGATCCTAGCCGTAAAAATAGTTTTGCCGGTCCTGAGTGTTGCACACAGCTGGATTTTTGTATATGCAAAAAAAATCGCTCTTCGAAATAACAAATAACTTATATAAAGTTTATGCAAAAAAATCGATCTTCGTAATAATAAATATAGAAAGTTTATTTGGTTTGATTAGTTTAAATTGAATTTGTCAATCCATTCTTTATTATTTTTTTTTGTCTACTAACGCATTTGTAGATGTATGAATTCCTCTTTATCTGATTCTGAAGTCTTCTTAAGTTGTTTTATGTAGAAACATAGATGTAGATGTAAAAATATTTATTACTGAAAAATAAAGTATTGTTTGTTGGAAACGAAATGCTTTCTCAGATTTACGTTTTGATGAAATACAATTTTTTTTTGTTTTGTTAATTTGAATACATTATTTTTCTTATATTTTTTTTTCAATTACTTTGTACTAGAATATAATAATACTTTTTGCAATTTGATTTTGTATGTTGAATACATTTGGTCAATTTGTACCTAAACATATAAACAAATTTTGTTAAGAATGTTGGACAATACTGCAACAAAATGTGAGAATTAGACTAGAATTTATCTATTCCTCCTCGAGCAACATTTGTTACAGGCGCAAGAGTGATCTGCATGTGGTTCTGAGTAGTCTGAATGCCGGTTTCTGTCTTCGTACATATGGCTGGATCTGGGTCGGGCCGGTAACGGAGGATAGTTGTTTTCAAAATCGTAAGGATGATTTTGTCCAACTTTCACCCACTCTCCTTTCCTCGAATCCATTTGCCAGCTACCGCTACCATTCATTTGCGGTTGCTGCTGATGCTGTTGCTGATGATGCTGCTGTTTGGGATATTTCTGAGATTTTTCGTTAAAGTTAGGATCCATGTATCTGGCCACTTTCTCGACATACCCAGACGATCTTGGGAATGGTGTAGGCTGAAAACTGGGTCTCTTTGATAATGATTCGCTCCTGCTTTTGTAGTTCTCAGTCTTCTGCTGGTAGTTATGTTGTCGACCATCGCCAGGTCTACTACAGCAGCCGCATTTACATTCACTATGACATTGAATTTGGTGCTGATGATGGTTAGCAGTTTGTCTATGTTTTCGGGACGATTGTCCTAAATTCTGACGAAGGTTGACGCTCTCTTCATCGTCAAAAATGGGTTTGTCCAAGTTCTTATTTTGCCGACTCAACATCTCGAATTGCTGCATTGTTTTCTGCACGCGCATTCTGTTCCGCTGCGATAAGGTGTTCTCAAGTTCGTCCACCAATTCTGGGTAATCCCCCGTTCTCTGGTAAGCTAAATTCATAAAGTCCGTCTTTGTGCTCTCCGATGAGCAGCTGATTTGATCATCGGACACATTATTTCTATTGTAGTAATCTGGATCACACATGCATTGACATCTGCAACTTCTGTGCTGTGCGCAATGTTCGTATCCGTTGCAATTATGATTGCAGCAGGTGTCGTGACTGTATGTTGTACTTTCGGTGGGTTCCTCATAAGGATATGATTTGTAGTGTTGTTGCTGCTGCTGTTGCTGCTGCTGTTGCTGCTGCTGTTGTTGTTGATGTTGATGATGTTGTTTGTTATAATTATAATTATGAGGGTTATACATCTGCTTGCCGTGTTCGATTTGCTGCTGTCCGGAATTTTTTCTATCCAAACTCTGTTTTTTTGATAAACTCCTCTCCCTTTGCAGCCTGTTCGGCGATTCTTGCTTTGCTGGTGGCGGTGGCGGTAATGGAATATCGTTTTTTGATTCTGACACTATCCTCGATTCCGATGGGTAGGGTTTGCTCGCTTCCTGAAGCGGAGCGCTTTTCGATGGATTCGCTGATTTATGCTCTAAGCAAGTGGGATTTCTGCAAGACACGTACGGATCGGACAATCTGTTCCGACAGAACTGTACTTTTGCCTGCCTCCTGGGACAGTTGTGCTGGTAGCAAGTATTAGCGTTGTTTCTAACAGCATCCAAACTCTTTTGCAATGGTTCGCAACAAGAGCGACAGCAACTTTTCATATTGTGCGGTACTGGGCAGTCAGTTAGATCTTGCTGGTCCTTCTCCGCCGGTTCCCTGGAATACCTTTGATAACCTCTCATGCCTTCCCCGTCCTCCGAACCAACACCACTCCTGCGCTTCAGTTCTTCTGCTACGGCGTCAGCAACTTGCTTTGAAAGTAGCTCCTCCAAATTTAAACCGGATATCACACCTGAACTCTGCCCAGATACTCGCCCTGAGCTCAAATTCTGTCCAGACGTGTTACCTCTGCTATCCCACAAATTCTGCACAACACTGTTTCCTGGTATCCTTGCAAAATCTTGATCTTCACCTGAACTCTTCTTGGCGTCCGCACCAGATGACCTCCGCTTATCCAAATGTGAGAAATCTTCTAGTGTGATATCGGAATCTGTGCTATCCAATGTTTCATCGTTTCTAATATTACTGAAGATCGAGAAAAAATTATGAACAGCTTTAGTTCCAAACGATTTATTCTGCACCTCTTCTTCCACCTCGTGTTCACTTCCAGTATCCGGTTCTTCAGCAGACTGCGTTGCGCCCATTTAGGTACCCCTATCCAAAATTACCCTTTTTATTATTTATTCCAAGGAAATCAACTTAAAATCATAACTAATTTACGTAATAATTTGTATCTTAGTTAATTCGAAAAGAGTAAAATAATGAAAATGAAACAAACAACACCGCGAACAGAAATTTATGCCAAATTCTGAAGTTTAATTTTTTGTTGGATCCGGAGCTCACTTAATATATTAGAAAAAAAAAACGTATTACGTCAGTTTAATTGTTAATTATATTTATGTTGAAAATGATTAGTCGATAGATACAATTGAATATCAACTAGGAATACAACTTTTTATTTTTTTTCCTAAATAGATTAATGAACTTTTTAATAGGATTCATTTTCATTGGCGGTGGCTCATAATAGCGAACGTAATCATATTTTAACTTTCTGTAATAATCTTTAATCCTCTGTCTATATAGTTCATCTTTAGTAGTCATTCGCCTTTGCCGTAGACCTTCCTCGAAGTAGTTGCTGGACGATGATGTAGCTATTGGTTCTAGGATTGGATCCACGCCAAAGTCGTAAGGATCTGTGATGTAAGTTGATGTGCTACTGGAAGTAGTTGCAGATTTTTCAGGATGAACAAATCTTACTTCCCTGTGGATATCCGAGTAGCTCTCTGGATATGTTGATGTTATGGGACTATCGCCAGGCTCTATACTTATTGGAGATATAGCCTGTTGAACTGTGAATGTAGGATTTCTCTTTGTTTTTAATATTGACGAGACTATAACGGAATTATCATCCTTTGGTGTTTTCAAATTTGTTTTCGGTGATAGGATTTCTGTAATGAAAGAACTACTTTCTCCGTTCCTCGACGAGTCGCTATCTATTCTATATGTAACAGAATTCTTAAAGTATTTACAGTTGCAATAGTGTCTTTTCGTGCAACAGCATGTTTTGACTGTTCCAGTGTTTTCATCCACTTGCAAGAATTCTAAATTTAAGTTAGGAACGTCTGGATGGTCACGTCCGAAATCAAGTTCGGAAAGACCATCATACGGATGTTTAACACCCTGCATTGGTATTTCTGGTCTTTTCCTGCTTAAAATTTGTTTTGTGATATTCGCATGAATTGCTTCACGAACATTCTCCAATTCCGTTATTAAACTGGTTTTTGAAATCAATTCTCTTGATGTTCTTCCAGTGGAAGACAAATTGCTGTTCGAACCGTATCTCCTTGGAGATAAAATAAAGGTGGTTTCTGTATGCGACGAAAGAGGTTGACGTACCGATGTTCCCTGCATTGTTGAATCTGTTGGGATTTCTTCCATTGCAATACTCTCTGTGGAAATTTTGGAGTTTGTTCGTTTAGCAAATAGATTTATCATTGTTAGATCATCCTGCGGATGAGAAGAAATTTCCTCCTGCACGAGCGAAGTTGTTGGTGTTGTAACGCTATTTTGGCTCGGAGAGGAATTTAATAAAGACAACTTTGATCCGTGGTCGTTCAATGTCGGACGTATCGAGGTGTTCAAGTGCTGCAGCGAACTCGGGCTTTTAAATTCAGTTATGTGACTAGATGACGAATCGAAATCAGTTGTTATATCAGTTGTATCGCCATGAAAATCGTCCATGGATGCCTGATTCGGAAGTCCTTGTTCTTCCAGATCTTTGAAGTGATCTCTTCTATAATCTCCCGACGGTTTTGTAATATCTTTGATGGTCTGATAAGTGTACGAGTAATCGGTTTCATTGCCACTTGATTCAGGCGGGGAACTGAAATAATCCAAATCTTTTTCAGTTTTTCTTATTAAAGCGCCTCGATCATCATCATAATCATCTTCATCGTTGTCATCGTGGAAATCCTCCTGCTTTCTCTTTATAAACTTCTTTTTTCTATCCACTTTCTTTCTTTGTTTTTCATCATCTTCTGAAGAATCTCTGTAAATATTTAAATTGAATGTAGCTTGTAAGCATATTGATAATAAGCACACTTACTTTTCTTCACTAATGTCAGATATATCTCCGTACTGTATCGGATCTAAACAGACGGTGCACAAATTCTGCAAGTCAGCAAAACATTGTTCACAGTAAATACCAGGACAATCCGGCGTTTGGCATTTGATCGGCTTCTTTCCAACTCCTTCTCTGAAAACCTCACCGCACAAAAGACAAGCTTCCTGTTTGCCTTCACCTAAAATCCACCGGCATATGCGGCACCTACGAAAAATTAAAGCAATTACAATTTGATTTGAAATATATTTGAATGAATCACTTTAAATTAGCCCTTAGATATTCCATACAAGTGATCTTCGTAATTCTCTTGTCGCCCTTTACTTTTCTACGTAACTGTCTTCTGGCAAACTTTAGAAATGATGATCTGGATCTCAAGATATTATTATAAAGCCAAATAGATCTCTCCCGAGCTCTTTGAGGATGATAAAAACACATAACAGAATGCCTAAAGCGAAGACCGTACGGTTCAAATAGCGCTAAAAACCAGCACAATACTAAAAGCGATGCTGAAATAATTTATTCATTGCATAAATAATTTTGTTGAATATTAATTGGAAATGGGTACCAATTTGTATATATCTATCATAATCCGGTGGAATTGGATCAGGAAGACATGGAATTGTATCGACTTCCAAATTTAATCCAATTGGCTGGAATGCTTTAACAATTCCTTTAAGCAATTTGGCGAGGAAACCCTCGCCCTGAATTTTCAACGTTGGAACATTAGGAGCTACAATAAGTAATAGAATCAATAATTTTGAAAGTTTTTAATGATTTCGCAAGAACCTTCAATCTTCGATTGAAATCTGCCGTAGTATCTGATCAAAGTCATGATCCAATAGAGAGAATAATCGGTTGCCATATGAGTCAATAGTTTCATGCTGGCCATGAGTAGAACCATAGTTGATTGGGAGAGTTGCGATTTCTCTTTGGTTATTAATCGGACGGAACTTGTCTGCATATATGAAAAACGAAATAATTGTTATTGTTATTTGAAAAATATGTTTAATAGACCGTTATATATTGCTGGCGCTCTCTGTGATTCAATGGCAGCACCGTTTCTAATCCCATCTGAGCGCGCCTCAAGTCGATTTTTCGAAAATCATCGGTAATGAATTTATTATCAAATCTTTCGTTGGTCAAAAACTTATGACGATAGTATATTACTCTGCAAGTTAGATCACCAATTAATCATTACTTTAATACATTCATTTTGCAATTAAAATAATCGACATTATAGATTTCTGAATACCAAAATTAGAAATCCGGAGGTAATTTCATCTAGGATAGAATTTGTTGTCCGAAAAACAAATTTTGTAGGATTTTTTGTTTCAAGTGATCCAGAAACCACCTATACTTGTATTTTACAAATTGGAATACATTGTGGAAAACTCGAGACGTCTGGAAAGTGTATATTAAAGTTAACTTACTTGAACACCATAAAAATGAAGAAAAGACTCGCGGCGCAGCTCATGAAATCGAAGATGCGAATCAAACCGGAAGTGCGTTGCTTTAGTTCAGTGACGATGCCGGTAGTAATGTCCGTCATCGACTTGGAATGATTAGATTCATAATGGAAAGAGTGGGAAAACTTGATGCGAACGTAAAACATTGTTCTTATATGACGAACAAATTGCTTTACTCCTGTGGGTTGGAAATATGCATTAAAATATAAAAAAAATCTTAAGAAGTTACGTGCTTAAGAGTATTGTACTGACGGTGTCCTTGATGAAATCGACAACCATACATACGTAGTCCAACAGTTTAACAATGTAACAGACGCTTTTCACTAAGTAAGTTATATTGCATAACCAGTTGAAAAGAGGTCCCAGCTTTGCGTTACAATCCGTGATGGCGTCTTCGAAAGCGCTCTTGCACCGTTGGTAAGGTGTGCCAATTTCCTTGTTGCAAAAGTTCATTATGTTTGCGATGAATTCGAATGCTGATTTAATGACTTTAACTGTTGGATAAAAAAAAGAATTGATTATTTATGATTTTTAGCAAAATGATCAAAATACTCAAGGACATGATGATCCTTTTTATAGTTAGCAGTATTTCTTTGATTTTAACCACTATTTCTTTTACGGTCTTCACAACTGCTTTTATCGCGTCGCGGATGGCATAGAAGGGTTTCTTGATAACTTCCAGGATTTGCCTCACCGCCGCTTTAAGTTGTTCCTGTCCGCAGGCCATCGATTCTCCTAGGATGCTCATGTTGTTCAAGGTATTTTTAGCGGGCCCTGTGATGGCAAGTATGAAGGCGTATGCCAGAAGGGCCTGTCTTCCCTTCTTCGAAAAGAACTGTGGCAACACGAGGAACACAATGCATCTGCGAAATTTAATTAGTTTCAAGTGCACGTCCTTCCCCCCTCATTTGAATACGATGATTGTTCTCCAGCTGCAGGAGTAATTATGGCTCTTTGTTTTTCTCACCGAACTTTGAAGCTGAAGGCCAGGCCGATCGTGAGAATGCTGCCGAAGATGGAGCACATGATCGTCGCAGTGGACAGCTTGAAATTCAGTTGCAGCACGAAGAACATGAAGAAGACGTAGGTTAGACAAAAACCGCCGAAGAAACCGGCCACGCTTTTCGCCGTGTAATTCTCGCAGGTGCCGTCGCGTCGCAGGTTGAAGCATCGTCGATAGAGGAAGGAGTGTTTTGGGAAGCTGCAGCATCTGGTGCACCGTCGTCTCAAATCGACCATTCGCCTTCTGTACTTTTGACCCAGAGTAAAGGCCGCCTCTTTGTCCTGGGCCTGATTCCACGCGCCATGCTTCTCTTGCAACAAATCCAACTTTTTTTTCTCTAGCCTTTTGGCCGTGCATATTAACTTTATGAACATATCGATTTCACAGATAAGATGCTTTATTTGACAACTTAAAACGATTTTTATTCAGGTTTCTATGGTGATTGCAATTAGATTTTTTTTCTCAATAGTTGCTCAAATGTATATTGTTTTTTTTTTCATGGCAATCATTAATTCACTACTACTTTGTAAATATTTATCTAATTTCATGGTTATTATTAAAATTGATTATTTAAATTGTATTCATTTATTACTATTTAGATTTACACATTTATTTACAGAATAATTGAATTACCGATGAGGTGTAACGTTTTTGAAAAAGATTTTCAAATTGTCGAGTTTTTATTTCTGGTCCTCAATTTGTTCCAGTTTCCAATTTACAATGTTTTTTGCAGATGATACCTCGATTTCTTTAAATCGCTACTTGCAATAACAAACAAACAAAACTATTACTATTGTAATAACTTTAATATTTCTTTGACCTTCATAAAATGTATGTACATTTTTCTTATCAACGAAAGAAAGTAAAACCTTCAATTCGTGCTTAATTTGCAGAACTAATAACACATTTGTTTTATTCAAATCTTTTACGCTCTTTCTTTCGACGATTTTTAATTATTTCCCCTTTTTTATGTATTAAAATTATGCCATTTGGACCGGTGGGCGTTGCTGTAATACGCAATACATAGTCGCTTACATAATGTACGTGTCTCTGGGATATATAGAAAAGTGGTGGAGGGATGGTCCACCCTATATAAAGGAAACTCGACGACACTTGTTGATCGCATTCGACTTTCGTGCGTTTTTCCGGTCGGCGAAGACGAAAATCATCAGCACAAAAGTGTCTTATTCTATATTTCTCTCAAGAGTAAAGTTCAGAAGGTAAGAAACTAAATCTATTAAGAGTAGTCATTATTATCATTTGAATTAGAACTTAAATCTGAACAATGTTTAAATCTATTAATTTTGATTTCTCATTTTGGGATTTTTTTGAAGCAAATAGGAAAATATTATTATATTTAAATTAAGTCTATTACTATTTATCCATTGTTTAATTAATAGTTCTAGTTTAGAAACATCAAGAAAATTATTATGAATCTATTGAGGTTTTTTTTAACAAACATTACAAACTTTTATTATTTTGAAAATAATTACTTTCTGCATATTATTGGATGTTTTTTACAACAAAACAAATCTAATTACATGATGAAACATTTAAATATATATTTTATCATTAAAAATTGATAATTATCTATGAAACGTAGTTTTGTGTTTCAAATTACTTACATAATTAATAATATTAAATAATGTATTATTATCTTATATTTAGTATTGTTTTTTTGTACAAGTTAAAAATATAATAATTATAATTGGATTTATGATTCAACATAAAAAAGTACATTGAAACAAAGGGCTATTGACTTAAATCGTTTTAAATAATATATATGTTTTAAATTTGAAATAATCTTCTGCATTAAATTACGCTATTCATATTGAATGTGATAAAGAAATTTGGATTATAATTTATGGAAAATTAATGACCACATGTAACCACTTAAACAGAAATGACCTTCGAATGCTATAAAAAATTATGTAGATTATTGTTTTGTGTGTATGATAATTTTGTAAGTTAAAGATTAATTGAATTAAAAAATAAATCGATGAATCCAGAAAGAGAAAGAAATGTCGAGGATTAAATGTTCTTCTTTCTTTTACACATGCTGTTTATTTTTTTTTTTTCGTTCCGTAGAATCAGATTAATTCCATAAAAGTGCGCTAAGACTTAAACGTATTGTCGCATTCAGCCGAAACGGAGCGACTTTAATAATTCGTCATTATTGGATAGTGACTGTCCGTGTCTGAAACTAAAAGTCTATTATACGAGATGGACGTCGACGAATACAGGATTAGGGGTGAGCTCATCTACATACATACACGTACGCTTTCTGTAACAATACAATTTCGTATCGCGCTACAATTTCCAATATACCGTTTTGTGATTTTGTAACAAATTTATTTATCGCTTTCCTCCTCCGCCCCCTTCAATAAAGTAGCTTTATTTGCGTCGGATTGGCACAATTGGATTCGGAATGGGTACTGTTATTTACATGTCGATTTCAGGGAAAGAAATGGTCGACTACATCGCCGATTATTTATCGGGGATCCGAGATAGGCGAGTATTTCCCGACAAGAAGCCCGGATTCATGCACGACATTCTTCCGGACAGTGCGCCGGTAGAAGGTGAAAGTTGGAAGGATATTTTTAAAGATGTCGAAGGTATCATCATGCCCGGTATCACCCACTGGCAGAGTCCTCATATGCATGCGTATTTTCCCGCGCTCAACAGTTATCCTTCACTTCTTGGAGACATGTTGGCCGATGCCATCAACTGTATTTGCTTCACCTGGGTAAGCATTCACAATTTTTGGTCAAAATCGCAATTTGCTTCAGCTACATAATTATTGATAAGAATTTTAAAAAATTAATTTGTATTTAGGAAATTATTACAAATACGATCACAATTTTATATTATTGGTGGATTCGCCAGGTATTTAAATACATTTTAACTAGAACTTCATCAAATTTCAATGTAAACTTGATATTTATAAATCTTATTTTATAATTATGCAGTGGAACCTCGTTTAACGACCATAATCCATTCCAGAATTTCCGGATATTCATAATTTCTATACCGAAATAAACAAATATTACTTGCTACAGCAAACACAAATTATTATCTGCTATAAACAATATCCTCGTTACTCGTTATGCGAAACGACGTTTGTTAAGCGAGTAACTTTTGTATAGTTTAATGTTATATATTTTTGATAATTTGAAGGCATCGAGTCCGGCTGGTACTGAATTAGAGACCATTGTGATGAATTGGTTAGGCAAGATGATTGGACTTCCAGACGAGTTTCTGCATACCAGGAAGGATTCAACTGGCGGTGGAGTGATACAAGTAAGAATCAGTGTTCAACTTTAAATTAAGTAACTAGTAATATACATTGCTTAATTCGTGTGCTAAGACGACGGCAAGTGAAGCAACGCTGATTTCTCTCTTGGCTGGAAGAACGCAAGCAATCAAGCAATATCAGAAACACTATCCGGACCTGGAGGATGCAGAGATCAACGCCCGTCTGGTGGGTTACTGTTCCGACCAAGCGCACTCCAGCGTTGAGAAGGCAGGAATCATAGGGCTGGTGAAGATTAGATACGTCCCGTCCGACGAGAACCTCTCTATGCGCGGTCCGAAGCTCCAGGAGACAATCAAGAAGGACCGAGAGATGGGCTTAATTCCGTTCTGGGTGAGCGCTAACAAATTGCGATGCAGGACGTTAATAATCCTGCTTCTACGTTGACAGATCTGTAAGGGCTATTAATTGAACCCAATGGGAAAAGACTGGAGGGGAAGGGAAAATGTTTTAAGGAGATTGGTCCAATTACTCATCTGTGGTGCAACGCAGATACCGCCGCAACTAATCCTTTATTTTTCCGATCCCCAGACGCAACAATACGCGGCTCATTTCACAAATTACTTCTGCAATCCCTCCGATCATTAGAGCGAAATCAAAATGAGCATATTCCTATTATCGGAGCCAATCTTTTCTCGAAGCATTCACTTCCTTTACTTTACTGTGTATAATATACTTCACATCACAATCAATTATATTTAAACATAACTTTTCCAGTTAATTTTTATTCCAATATATTTTTACAAAGTTTATTGAAACTGTTCTTGTAAATCTAAATTATTTCCTAAATGTTTGTTTTTGGTTTAGGTTTGTAATACTTTGGGAACAACAGGTTCGTGTGCTTTCGATAATTTAGAAGAAGTCGCACAGGTCTGCGACACTGAGAATCTGTGGTTGCACATAGATGCCGCCTATGCCGGAAGTGCTTTCATATGTCCGGAGTTTAGGGGTTGGTTGAAGGGCATCGAATATGCCGATTCGTTCGCATTCAATCCTTCCAAATGGCTTATGATTCATTTTGATTGCACTGCGATGTGGTAAGTAAAAATGACAACAATTCATTTACTAAAAGTATGTAAAACTATGTACTTCATTCTGAATACACTTTATATACAGAATTAATAGTTAGTTTGATTGGTATCAACATACTAATGGTTGTAATTGTTTTTTTTTGTTTAGGGTGAAAAATAGTAATGCGTTACATAGAACGTTCAACGTTGACCCACTATATTTGAAACACGACAATTCAGGCTTAGCTATCGACTACATGGTAAAATTGTTGAAACGAAACATTATTTTTTTCATATATGTAATTTATTCAAATTTTAGCATTGGCAAATTCCTCTTAGCAAACGTTTCAGAGCGCTGAAACTTTGGTTCGTCATCCGAAACTATGGGATTATGGGTTTGCAAAAGCACATTAGAGAAGTTAGTTTCATCAAAACTTTTAGTTGTAATGTATTAAAACAATTCGTTTATCGCAGGGTGTACGTTACGCCCAAAAATTCGAGGCTCTGGTTTTGGCCGATCCAAGATTCGAGATACCCGCTGCTAGACACCTTGGTCTTGTAGTGTTCCGTCTGAAAGGAGAGAACACATCGACGGAGAAGCTCCTGAAGAGGTTGAACTCACGTGGGAATCTTCATTGCGTACCGGCAGCGCTCAAAGATAAATACGTCATCAGATTTACAGTGACGTCCCAATACACTACCAACGAGGACATCATTAAGGACTGGAAGGAGATCAAATTTGTTGCCAACGAGATTCTGCAAGATGCCGAACAGCAGATGATAGCTCCGACTAGAGTGAAAGTACCTCTGAAAGGTAACGTGAAAGCAATCCAAACCGCATGATATTTTCAAAATAAATTATTTATTTCACCTGTTTTCTTAAATTTATACACGTTTTTTTCTTTTTATTTCCAACAAATGAAAATACAATTCCCTCAATTTCCAAAATCAAACAACTTCCTTCCTTGAACTGTTGACGTTCTTTTTTAGAAACGAAAGTGAAAAATGAAAATTTTGGAACCAGCTTGCTTCTGGCCAACTCGCCGATGTCGCCTAAAATCGTCAACGGCAGTTTTGCAGGCATCTACGATCAGGGCGAAGTCTTGGCTGAGTATTCCAAGAGTTTCGGCCAATTCAGACTAGCCGCACCTAGTAGTCCTTGTGAGTTCATTACAAAATATACACAACCATTTTTTGATACATACAAAGTAACAAAATGAATTAAATACTGAAATTACGATAACTCATGGTTTCAGACATGAGACGCAGGATTAAGGGAATCCTAATGTCCGGGAAACAGTTCTCGCTCGATTCGCATTTGGATATGTACCAAGGTATAGAACCTGACTCTTCGAAAAGACCGAACTCAGAACCGGAAAACTTAAAGTGCAAGCCTCTATTGGAAGATAACGACGAGGACGAATACAGTTCAAGTAAATACTATATGTTTATATGAATCTTGACTTTACTTGCAATATAACAATTCTTGCAGGTGAGGGAGAATCACCAAACAATGGTTTCTTGAATGTACCGATAAGAGTTGGCAAGCACAGAAGATCCAAATCCGTGGATCACCAAGCGCCGATAGCCGCGATTCAAGAGAAATGCGCCAAATGCGGTCACGATCTAATTGAATATTAAAATAATGTATGTCGTATATGAGAAATCTAGTCAAAAGTTTGTGTTTTTTCGGTGTCATGTAACTTATGTAAACTGCTGTGCGACGCAATAAAAGTATCTCTAATCATGTAAGCATATTTTCAGCTACTTTGGTTGCCTAACGTGGTAGTATCTATGTATGTAAGAATGCGCAATACGTTAATGCCAAATAGCCAAATAGCTTATATTAATCATCGATAATAAGTCTAGTTGTAGTTAAATAAAGTGTGTTGCAAATTATGTTGTATTTCTGTTGTCATAATGTTATCCTTATTATCAAAATATAAATAGCTGCAAAATTTTCGAGTCTTAAAAACGTTTTTTTAATCGTAAATTACAGGACATTGGTTATAGCACGTTAGAAAGTCTAAAAATTTGTCTTTAATTGTACTGCTCACTGACAATTCTGTCATGTATTTACCGAGTACATTGATAATTTGTGAAGACATAATTTGAGGGTTCATAACATATTTTTCAACTTTGAACGTAAATTACAGAACATTAAAAAGAGATATAAATATGACGGAAAAGACGTTAAAAAGCCTAAAAATTTGTATTTAATTGGAGTGATCATTGATAATTGTGTCATGATTTGTGAAGACATAATTCGTGGATTCATAACATATTTTTTCAATTTTGAACGTAAATTACAGAACATTAGAAAGAGATACAAATATGGCGGACGACACGTTAGAAAGCCAAAATATTTTTATTTATTTGTAGTTATCATTGATGATTATTGTCGTGTATAGTAATCGAGAAAATTTATGATTTGTGAAGACATAATTCGAGGATTCATAACATATTTTTTCAAATTTGAACGTAAATTGCAGAACATTAGAAAGAGATTCAAATGTGAGGTAAGACACGTTAAAAAGCCTAAATATTTGTATTTAATTGGAGTGGTCATTGATGATTGTGTCATGTATAGTAATCGAGAAAATTGATGATTTGTGAAGACATAATTCAAGGGTTCATAACATATTTTTTCAAATTTGAACGTAAATTACAGAACATTAGAAAGAGATACAAATGAGACGGAAGACACGTTAAAAAGCCTAAATATTTGTATTTAATTGTAGTAGTCATTGATGATTGTGTCGTGTATAGTAATCGAGAAAATTGATGATTTGTGAAGACATAATTCGAGGTTTCATAACATATTTTTTCAACTTTGAACGTAAATTACAGAACATTAGAAAGAGATACAAATGTGACGGAAGACACGTTAAAAAGCCAAAATATTTTTTATTTAATTGGAGTTATCATTGATGATGTGTCGTGTATAGTAATCAAGAAAATTGATGATTTGTGAAGACATAATTCGAGGTTTCATAACATATTTTTTCAACTTTGAACGTAAATTACAGAACATTAGAAAGAGATATAAATGTGACGGAAGACACGTTAAAAAGCTTAAATATTTATATTTAATTCGAGTGGTCATTGTTGATTGTGTCGTTTATAGTAATCGAGAAAATTAATGATTTTTGAAGTTGAAAAAACGAATCACATTAGAATATTTTTTTATTATTGAACATTCACATAGAGACAAATAAATACATCGATTAACATCAGTTCCATAATTTTTCTTTAATATACATTTATATATTATTTGAATCAATCTTTATATTATTAAACATCTTTTTAAATAGTAAGTACCATTACATTTGGCAACAATCGTTACAGTTATACAATATCAAATTTTTATTTTGTTAGTTTCAGAGAAATCGAACAGACATGCTTTGCAATTATTATTATTTTTTTGAAATCTTAATTATATTAATCCATCTATATGCTTAAAGTCGATTCCAAATAGATCTTTTATTGAACAAATTTACATAAACAAATAATTAGACAATGATAAAATAATTAGATAAATGTTATTAAATTCAAAACAGGAACATTGTAAATTGAATCAGATTAATTTGTTGAATGTTTTGTCGATTATAGAAAACTTTCCGTTATTTGTAAAAATCGGTTTAATTAATCTTAATAGTTGATTGTATCGTTGCAAGTAATTAAATCTTGAATTTCATTTAATAACATTTAATCATAAATTTTAATAAATTAATTAACAATAATTTAAATAAATATATTATAGTTAAAATACAATCAATTAAAAAAATATACATATAATATATACAAAAAATAGGTTAGGAATTAGTAAAGATGTTTAGTACTTGAAGTAAAAGGGAATAAGTGATGGGGGATATGCAAATTGGACGTTTATGTAGGAAACAAAGTGCGATTACTTCATCGTTTTCATTGTATTTCATTTGATCTAAATTCCTCGTATAAATCAGTTTCGAATCGTAAAGAATTACGTATAATTTACATAGAATTTGTATCATGAAAGACAACAACTTAAACTAAAGAAAATTTGGCATTTTATATATGTATATAATATATATTATTATTTTCATCTTCTTTCTTCATAATTATGGAGCATCATAGATTCGAGATGTTGATCATTCTTGTTGTTTAGCGAACATTTCCAGTTTGATGATTAAAATTAAAAAGAAAATTCATCGCAGGAAATAGTTACTAAGGCCATCATCTTTTGTTCTGTTCAAATCTTTAATTCTTACTAACTATTTCTTGATATGCTTCGTGTTTTTTTTTGTTTTTGAATGTCATGATAAGCTCGAAGAGATATGGGATTGTGCTGCAAACGTTGTGTGATAGGAGAGAAACTGAAGCGACACCAAAATCAGGATAACCAGTAACAACAACACCGATAAGCCTGTAAAGAGTTATTATATAATAGTATTACGTTTGAATATAGTTAAACGTTATTGAAAGAGCCACGAGAAAGCCGTAAGATTGTTGATAATACTGAATACATTCCATTATTCTACGTTGATATGCTCTAGAAGATTTCTCTCTCACTCTAATTATCCGTTATTAATATATTTTCAAAGAGTTATTATTATTTTTATAAATTCACATTTAAAATTTGGACTGATGCTTTAACAACAGACTTATTAGTAAAGTCTTGTTATTTTGGTGTTTAAGACTCGATTCAAAAAGCACACTAATTCGCTCAAATTTCATTGAAGGACGACAGAGGAGTTATTGTGCAGTTTCTGTTTGTTTTTTTTTTCTAAATTGGCAATAATGACGAAAAATTATGGTGGGATTCTGGATGGGATCAGTTTTTGTTGTTGTTATTTTTTTTTGGTGTTGGTTGAGCTGTTTTTTGTTTTGTTGAGATTTTCATTTTTTTAAGCGGAAGTTTCTTCCTCTTGGTTGTGCTTGGCTATGGCAAGCAGGATCATCGTCAACTCTTTGCGATTGATTTTTCCATCCTGGTTGTAGTCAACTCCGCGCAGGATCGTCTCCTCGAAGTCCAGCAGATCTTGGGCGTCGTAATCCTGGAAATTCAACCAAAAAAAACGTAATCGTAATTTCAACAGAGAAATTCTACAAACCTTCTTGACAAGCTCCAATAAGTCCTTCAAGAAACCGCGCAGCTCCTCATTCTCTATCGTACCGTTGTTATCTCTGTCGTACAGAGAAAATACACGTTCGATGTCATCTTTAGTCAATTTTGTTGCGCCCTACAATTACACCACTAATTAATCAAACAGACCTTTCATTATTTCATATAGAAAAGTTGCACATTCATTTTCAGTTTTCCTTCACAAAACTGTAGTAAATATAATTTATTTGGCAATTAGCGTTACCATCAGTATGATGGAAAAGTTGATACCTTTGATCAGTGCGGATTCGCTGTAATACGGTTTGGAAATTTAATTTTTTTTAAGATCTCGATTAGTCCGGTTATAAACACTTAACTTTATTTTGATAAAAATGATGTATGCAACTTTTCTAGGATATTTGTACAATATAGGAAAATGATTAACATTAAAAAAGAACAAAGTTTAACATGTACAATGAATTAAAATTTAATTAATTTAGGGTATATTTTATATGTTAAGATTTTTTTACTTAAATGGTTATTGAAAACCACTTATCTTTGTATATGCTTATATGTCATATATAGAAGAAACTAGAGATGCAAAGAAAATGAACATGCTCATCTAATCTACGGTCGAAGAAGAAGTGTAAACATTAGTGATCGTGCAATGATGAGAGTACAAGAACAAAAAAAATATAGTTTAAGTTAGTCTACTTACTTCTATTCCTTCCTAGTTAAAGATTAACGACAAAGACAAGACAGATAAAGCCGTGCAGAAGAAGAAGAAAGAAAGAAAGAAAGATACGTAAAAAAATATCCAACATAATTTAATTGTCGAAATTATTATTAAGTTTATTTTAAATTTAGTTTATATTTTTTTCTTATTTTTTGTTTGTTTTTGTTCGCTAATTAAGTAGGAAATATTCAAAATTACAATATACGGTGCACGAGGAAGACGTATTTTTTCATTATACTAGTGCTGTAGAAGTCGTGAAGAAGAAAAGAAATCAACATTAGTACGTGTTTCTGGTTCAAAAAGTAGAAGAAAACCAAAGACGGTGGTGTTTTTTTTATATTTTTAATAGGAGAAGTAGATCTATTCAATCTAGAAAGTTATCAAATTACGCAAACATCAAGTGTATAGAAATATTTTGGTTTGTGTAAAAGTAATTTATAGATGTTTGCATAACTTGATTTTGTTTCTTTGTATTTCTGTTGCAAATATACAAACTTAGTGGACTTACTTTGAAAACTTGACGGCACAGGAAGTTCTCGCGAACCGGAAGTAGCCTGAAATTTAATATGTTCTTTTTAATATAATTTATTAGAATGAATTGTTGCAAACTGACTTTGCCATTTCGGAAAGTTGCAGTCTTCCATCTTTGTTGGAATCGAAGACCTGAAGCTGCAAAATAATTAATATTTATCATAAGTAAAGTATGCATGTTTATACTAATGATTAAATAATATAATTAAAGTAACATCGTTACTTGAAAAGGTTAAACACAAAGTTTTGTTAAAAATAAATAGTGAGATCTGAAGAGATACAGTTTCATGGAGAATGACAGTTTTCCGTTACCATAGTGTCAGTGTACTCGATGAGTTTATCCTCGGAAACATCGTTGATCTTCTTAGCTTCCTTGAGTAAATCCCTCAAAAAGTTCTGAAAAATATTGAATTATTAATTACGTATACAGAATATTAAATTTGTAATAATCTACAGCGTTCATAATTTATAAAACTTTGGGAAAAGTTGACCAACAAGACAAGTAATTAATTTTATTAAATGCGTTGTAAATTAAATTTTATTGCTGTATACAATAAAAGTTACTTTACAAATGTGTAAATTGTAACAATGCTATGCGCTAAAATCTTTGCGAAAAGTTTGAAATCAAATTATGTAACTCGTGAATTTTTAATTTGCGTCTTTTCGTTTCCGCGTAGAAGTTAATTAATTTAAAACAAAGAAACTTCTAATAAAATTTTAATGGTAATCTGAAATATTCAAAGTGTTTTCAGCGTTGAGTGAAAATGGAACAAGATTAATTTTCTTTTGAAGAAATTTCCTTTGATGATTTATTAAATAAAAATTATTATAATGGTTTATTTTTGTTGAATATTTACCTTCAATTCATCAGCTTCGATGTAACCGCTGCCATCAGTATCGTATTCCCTCCAAATCTGAAATAATCAAGTTTATTAATTATCATCTATAGATTTTTTTTAGTCTTTTTTTTCTGTAAAAACCTTCATGAACTCGACGCTGGATTCGAGCGGATTATCGAATCTGAAGAGCAAGAGGAAGTTCTCCTCCATGGGGAGCAGCTGGGCCAACTGATTGAACAAGGCAAAACATTAGAGTGTAATTGAAATTTGCGGCGACAATACCTCTCTGATATCGATTTTGCCGTCCTGGTTGTCGTCGTAGGCTTCCATGAAGCAAGCCTTCAGTTCGACCAACATCTCGTCGGATACAGCCTGGCAAACAAGAAACAATAAAGTTGAAGTTTCGGTGGATCTGTCAGCAATTTACGAACTTACCTCTGGAGATATGTCGGTGACGTTCGCGCTCGACACAAACTCCCTAAGGAATCCGTCGAGTTCCGTGCCTTCAATATAACCATTACCTAGAAAATGTCAGTAATTAGATATTTGTTAATAGAATGTGAAGAAATACAAGAAAACAAAATATAACAAAATTGTTTTTAAATCTTTAAATTTGCTCAATATTTGCAAAAATGAATATTTCTGAAAATTCCACAGAGATATAAAATTTGAACAGCAAAAGAAATCCAAGAAAATGTATGTTTCGTTTTTCCAGCTTACCGTCCTTGTCGTAGTGGCTCCAGACTTCCATGAATTGATTGGCGGAAAGCTTCTTCAGCTCACGGGAATCCGGATCACGGTATTGCCTCATGAAATTCGTAGCTTTCTCCAGATTCAGACGTTTGTTCATCTGTTGTTCGGACGCGGCGCTCATTTTGTTCTGTAAAGTTAAAGAAAGCAAGGATAAGACATCGTAAATTCAAACGGAAAGGTGGTTAATAAATGTCGGAAGATGGTGCAATTTGCTGAAAACCAGAAGCGCAATAACAGGAAGAGCGCGCGGTCACTTTGCTTCATGAAACATAAACGCAGTCAGCAATTTATTATATCGCCCGTTCTCTCGTCGTCGGACAGGCTTTATCCAAGCGTCGGTTCCCTTCATCTATATTAGAGAAAACGGGCAACAAATTGCCTCACACACCACAGCCTTTAGACAATACCATCAGGAAGCGAAATTGATATCACGTAATATATCACGTTAAAATAAGGAAAATGAATTCCGACATTTCTGATCTTACTTTATTAAACTTTTCTCTGCTTCCTATGAGTGATGGGTTTTTCTCTTTTGGTTTATTTTTTTTTTTTTGGTGTGTAGATAAATCCTTCAGTATTAATAATATTTCGGTTCAGGAAAATGAATTATGGATTTTACGGTTGAATGCAGCAGCGTCTGCTTCCTGCGGTCATAGAACATGAATAATGTAGTCCAATTAAATCGGCGATTCCCCGACGGAGAATTTTACACTGAATATTATACGCTTCGCAAATCCCTTCGACAAAGTTTAATCTCGATGATGGATCTCCGGGATAACGTGCCCTTCATTTTAAGAAGCTAACAGCGACGCCCAAAAGGAAACAAAACCACGTGGTCTCTCGTTTGAGAAGCATCCCCTGCTTAGATCCATGTTTTATGAGCTTAGTTCCCCCATCGAGAATCAGCAGCAGCGAATAATACAACAGCAAACAAAATGAAAGACAGCATAAGCTTTACTTCCATAAATATTTCAGCTTCATGCTTCATTACAAGATTACAAGTGCTTTATGTGCGATGATAATGTAATTTATGATTTGATAATCCTCTAGCCCAGTGTTTCTCAATCAAAATTGGGTTTAATGGGTCTCGAAATGACAGCTGTCATCTTGTGTCAAACCGATGAAATACTCTTAGCAATTGAGTCGTTGTTTAACTACAAACAAATGACAAATGATGCGAAATGACAGCTGTCACTTTGTGTCAAAGTGAGGAACTGATGAAATACTTTCAGCAATTAGGTCGCAGTACAAATGCAAGTAAATATGTTGGATTACGCAGCCAATAGGTTAAGAAACGCTGCATCTAAGAGAATATATCTCATAGCCACAAATATTTTTTCAAATTTTTTTGTATTGATATATTTCCTTTATATTTATATCTATAGATGTTTAAAATAAAAAAGGTAAAATAAATAATTGCAAGTTTCCATACGTTTTTTAGCAGATATTTGTTGATCTCTGCAAACAGCCTTATCTCGCATAGTGCGGTTTCCAGCTATGCGATTAAAAATTTCAAAACAAACTTTTAAAATTTTATTTGGGACAAATATAAATACATTCTAAAAAATTGGCACACAAGTACTAAAATGATCGTTTTTTTTATGAAGTTTTAATGTACTCGAATAGTCCGGTTTATAAACAGTTCGGGATAATGCTGGGACCAATGACAACACTACATATTTGAATCTAAAACACTTATTTTTGTGAAGTATTAAGTTCTGTAATTATGCAACCAAAGTAGCTGATCAACCAATTAACTTAAGTACATACAGTTACGTATGAGATAAATTTAACGTGAATTTTATATTTTTAATAAATTTAATTCAACATGCTTCAATTATGAAAAACTAATTTAATTAAAATTCGATATTAATCGATTTTAAATAATTCAGCACAATCCAGTTGAAATTGTTTCCCATATTATTACGTTTAATTTATAACAGTAGTTATATAATTTAAAATATTCACGAATACGAGCGAGGTTTCAGGTATTTGTATAATTCATAATAATTATAATTGTTTTGTGCATAAATAAAATATACTAAATAATGTCAATGTAGTTACAATAATTTAAAATTATTCAATTGAAAAATTCTCTTCTAAATATATGTTTTTCTTTTATTTCTGATTGCCTAAAGTATGGAAAATTAGAGGACTGCGTAGAGGTGATTGTCGTCAATTAATCCTGGGTGCTAATCATTCATTTTGCGGACGGAAAAGACCACTTAAGAATTTTAAATAATTCAATTTCTTAATAACCAGATGACCTCAAGCCTTATGTATAAAAGCAACCGTCCGACGAGCATTTCAAACACAAGCATTTCATTATCACCAGATAATTTCAGATAGAAATTAAAAAAAAAAAAACATAACAGTTGCATCAGTCATCGAGTAATATGAAGCAAGCCGTGTACATTCTTCTTTTTGTTTTCTTTGTTTGCGAGGTAAGAAGTTTTGTTATTAAAATATAATTTTAAATCAAAACAAAAATTAACTAATTTTCTTCAAGATTATTGCATTTTGATATTTTAGTTTTTAATTAATTTAAATTTCGGTTATTCATAATTACATTATTATAATTTCGATCGATGAAAAAGACATGGAAATTACGTTTTATCAGAGAAAGTTAGACGAATCAAGGTTTTGAACTCATTTCCAAGGATATAGAGGAAAATCGATGAAACGTATTGATGGGTTTCATATATAGTAGCTGATTTGTATCTCATCAATTAAGCGACGTTATTATATAACGTATAGCAAATTCTAAACTCACCACTTTATTGAAAACTATCTATTTTAATAACGTCAACTTTTTACATAGTTTTAGTAACTAATTTTAGGAATTTGCTTAATAATACTATGATTATTAAGTTTTCTTGTTTAATCTGCAAAGTTTAGCAACAAAGATATAGAAAATATATTATTTAATTTGGTTGCTTTATGTAGTTTTTGAAATGATTTATGAAAATTACAAGGTATAATTATAAGTATTTCATCTTATATTTTTTATGAATGTTTTTGGTATTATATTATTTTTAATGTAAGTATGTATTCAGAGTGTTATTTGGTTTATAGAATATGAATTTTGGTTTTAAGAATATCTGCTTTAATAAGTGAAAGATGAGAAATGTATGTAATATAAAGAAATCATAGATGTTTAAGGATTTATTGAGTGAATGTTTATTGTTATAGGTTTTTGCGATCGATGGAAACGTTAATAAACAAGAATGTATAAGAGAAGCGTCCGTGAATCCGGCTTTAGTGGAGAAGGCCTATAACGGTCAGGTGTCGAACGTTAGGCAACTCCAATGCTATTTCAAGTGCTATTACGAGAATGCTGGGTACATGGATGCCGAGGGACACATCCAGCCAGAGAAACTAAAGGCGAACATTCCGACCGGCGTGAATAAAGTTATGGCCAACAAAGCCATAGACTTGTGCAAGGACAGAAAGGGCAAGGATTCCTGCGAGACGGCCTACGTTGTACAGAAATGTCTCCTCGACAACTCCATACAGTTTTGAGATTACATATTGATTGATTGATTCTTTTGAATATTTAAAATTACCATTAATTGTAAATTAATACTTAATAAAACATATTATGTAATCCATGACTTGAATTGAAATTGAATGAATTGATATATTATTTTCCAGGAATAATTATTAAATGAAAAACATGCTGTTATGCTTACTGCATATTTGTTTACGTAAACATATTTTGCTCTAGAGATTTCATTTGCATCGGTAAATAGAAAGTTGATCGGAAATTGAAGAGTTTTCCACTTTTCCTGAATCCAATTGGCAATCGTCCTGTAAACTCGACGATCAATGCAATCGCTTCGAAATATCAGCAAGTCATTATCACCTTTTTTTCTAAAATATATTTATATGATTCTTTATCATTTTAAGAAAACAATTTAAATCATAATAATTGCACTAATTAAAAAAAACTCACTACAAACTAATAGTAACAAAATTTATTTAAACAACCATAAAATTACGTATAAAGGTGTTTCTTGTTTATAAATTTATTATTTGGAGTCAATCCACGAATTACATAATAAGAATGTTTTTTGATCTTGCCTTTTAGTACCATTTTTTTTCCATATAAATGCGTGCTGTGAATTATATTTGAATACAAAATGATGACTGTTTGTGGTTTATGTGGATTATGGCTTGAACAGAAAATCACCTATTCATAAAAGTAAACTGAATTTCGCATTCACTATTGGTCGATCAATATATGCAAATCGGGATTTTACTTTCAAATCACTATATCTATGTATGTATGATTATGTTCAATGAATTATTGAAAATGTACGTACTTCGCAAAACAAATATTCGGAAAAAATACATTTAGTGATAAATACAAGACTTTTTGGTTTTATTAATAAAATTAAAGTACTTAATATAAAATGAAAAGATAAACAGATCATAATTTTGAGCTATTTTTTTAAGAAAAGTTCTGTTTTTTTTATTACTGTAATTAAGATATTTACAGTAATTGTTGTTTTGATACTTACTCTATAAACTGCATGAATTCTCAATGTATCATGAAAGAACTCATAACAACGTTTTAAATAAAAATATATTGTTTGAATTATCGAAAATAAGTGATAAATTGCAATAGAAAATAAGAAATAGGGAAATGTCAAAAGAAAAAAAAATCTGATAGACGGTTAAATAAGTTACCATCGTACGTCGAATTTACAGGATGATTGGCAATTCACAGCAATTTCCTCCTTGAAAAGTGGAAAACTCTCCAATTTCCGATTGTCTCTCCATTTCCCATTGCACATCAAATCCCCAACGAAATACAGGTAATAAGAAACAAGTCTCTATTTGTAAGGATATGAAAATGCATATTTATTTTGTATATACTTCGAAAGAAACATTAAATACTATAGATCAGTATTTTTCAATTTATGCGGTAAAATTTTAATGAAATATTAGAAATATTCAAATTTACAAATTTGATAATTGGGTCGATGTACAACAATAAACAATGTCAAAGCGAGAAACTTGTAAAAACTCTTAACAAATGGGTTAACGTACAACTACAAATAAATATGTTGGGTCATGAAATGACAGCTGTCGCCTTGCGTCAAAGCGAGATACAGATAAAATACTCTTAGCAAATTGGATAGCAGAACAACTGCATACAAATATGTTAGGTCGTGAAATGACAGCTGTCACCTCCTGTCAATGCGAGGAACTGGTAAAATACTAACAAATATATTTAGTAGTATTACAATGTAAAACAATAAACAATGTCAAAGCGAGAAACTGGTGAAAAACTATTAACAAATGGGTTAACGTACAACTACAAATAAATGTGTTGGGTCATGAAATGACAGCTGTCGCCTTGCGTCAAAGCGAGATACAGATGAAATACTCTTAGCAAATTGGATCGTAGAACAACTACATACAAATATCTTAGGTCGTGAAATGACAGCTGTCACCTTGTGTCAATGCTAGGGGTAACTGGTAAAATACCAACAAATATAAGAATGTTGAGAAACGATGATCTATATTATAATTTATATAGTAAACTGCAATTAGTATTATTACTAAAGGATGAAATTAAATATTGTGGATAAGAAAATATAAATTATTTTTTCATAAGTTAAATAAGAATTTATATTTTCTGGTGTTCAAGCGAAAGAAATATATGGACTACTGTAAAACTGCTATCACTTATTTAATTGAACTCGAAACGTGTCCTATCTCTTTTTTTATTCGCTTATTTTTATTTACTTTTTTTTTTGGTACATAGTTATTTATTGCGGTCGTAATTTAATGTTACTGGCTTGGAAGGAAGCTATCGATCGCTGCTGGAACGCTCTGCCGGCCGTTATAAAATTTTACTACTCTGTTAGGAAATTTATAGAGATATAAATTGGCTTTTGCTGTGGAATCCCACCCTTCCATCTCTTCGGCAATTTTGAACGTTTCGTTTAAATTATTATTTTTTTGGTGCTTGCGTTGCATAATTTCCTAGAAGTTATCTCGTAGCTTGAAATAAAAAAAAATATAATAAGTTGATTTCGTTTAATTGAAATAGTTGAATTAAGTAACAGTTGTAAATGATTTATTTTTTCTTTCTATTAACCTTTATTTATAATTATATATATTCTCTATTAATATTTTAGTAATAGTAATGAATCGGTAACCTTTTAGGTGGCAAGGAGTCATTTTTAAGATATTTACTTTCAACGCAATATAACAGAAGTGGCCAGACTTTTTGCAGCAAGAGTCACACCTAAACTTTTTGGTATAATAATTTAAAAAAATCACAATCATAATATAAAATATATATAATATTTTTGTTTTGTTGTGCCTCAACTAGCCACAACAAGACTCTTGAAGAGTCGCATGCGGCTCGCGAGCCTCAGTTTGGCCAGCCCTGCTATATAAACTAGCTTGTGCAGAGTGAAAATGTCTGGCTAAATGAGCGACAAGTTCACATATACGCCACCACTTAACAATTACCATTCTCTGTATTGCATATTTACACAAATAAAAGTCTTTTAAATCGATTTTTTTAAATCGTGTGGAAATGGGAGCCGCAATTTCTCATCAAAAGAGCCGCATGCGATCAATGTTATAGTATATGCACAATAGCGGTGGCAATCGCAAGCTCGACAACCGAAAAACCGTCAATCAAATTCCCGACGTTCGGAATCCCGACTATATCAAAATCCCGACTATATTAAAATCCCGACTGTATCAAAATCCCAACTATATCGAAACTGTCTACAATACCATTTTTAAATTATTCTGGAGCGTAGTGACTTTTAAATTGTTATTAATAATAAATAATAATAAATACAACTAGTTTATTATTAATTGTATAATTTCATAATGTTACGGTTTATTATGAATAATTCAACAAAATCAAATAAATTGATAATAATTTATTGGTATTAATAATAAAAATGTAGCACAAGGTGACAACGTTCCGAAATAATTTAAAAATGTTATTGTACAAATTCTTGATATAGTCGGAATTTTGATACAGTCGGGATTTTGATATAATCGGTATTATGTTTGTTGGGATTATGGTTGTCGAGATTCTGATACAGTCGGGATTATGGTTATCAAAATATTGATTAGTCGGGATTTCAATACAGTCGGGATTTCGAACGTCGGGATTTCGATAGACCGTATTTCTGTTGTCGGACTTGCGATATAGACCCGCACACTAGATAATCTGAAGATAAATTTTATTTTTTAATGAATTTAAGTGTACAGTTTCTTTATTTCTCCTTTTCGTTCTCATCATTTCTTCACACTTTAAAAGTTGCCTTTTTTAATATATCAATTAGTATTAGGTTAAATCATTCGACTAAGAGTAGTTGGTTCAATGATTTTTCAGCTTTACTCTTTCATTAAGCTTTAGATATATCGATTAAATTATTCAAAATTCCCAATATACGTTGCTGCCCTTACATACAATCGCCCACCTTCGATTACGTAATTATCTGGCATTATTGTGTTCATTGTTATAAAATCAATATAGATAATGCAACTCGAACAATAGCTCTTTGTATAAATTTAATTAAATTATAGTCTATAGATTATGAAACCTGTAATTATATTAATGAAAACGATGAATTTAATTATTTTGCATATCTCTATCAAGATAAAAATTGCTTTTGATTACTATATAATGGAAGTAATTAGTCTATATTATTTTATTATATTGGATTGATCTGAAAGTAATTTTGATTTTCATGAATAAATTGCGTTATGGTTGTTTTGAAGGATTTATGTTATGATTTTATCCATTTGACATTTGACAGATGTCTTAATTTAGTTTACAGCTGTTATTTATAAGAAATAACTTTTTTTTATATATATATATCAAAGAATATTTCAAATTTTTGAATAAATACTTTAGAGTTTAGTCATGATGTAGCTAAATTTTATATTATCAACTTCGCTTCATTAAATTTCTGATTTCGACGCGACCTGATGTTTATTTATAGCAAAAAAAAAGTAATTGTTATTAGGTCTTCCTTTATTGTGTGTGTGTGTGTGTGTGTGTGTGTGTATAAAAACAATTGCGTAACAGCAAACGCAATTACTACTAGATTCGCATGGGTACCCTTTCCAACAACTAATTTACGATATATTTATTTAACAACAAAACGATTTAAACTAAAAAAAATATACTAATTAATTATGTTTACATAAATCTGAGAAGAAAATTCACGCGTCGTTATCAATCCATGCCGCTATCCATCGTTCTGGATCAAATTCGTATATTTTCGATTATCTCTTCCGTGTTTCGCAATTTAATTTTAATTAACGTTTGGATCCTGACGATATTTTCCTCTCGGCATTCGACGCGTTGATTCCTTGCTTCGTTAAAGAGTTGCATGAGGAACAGCAGCATTGTCCGTTAATTCGAAAATAATTGCTTCTCGATGAGTTTGAAAACAACGACGAAACGCAAACAAAGATAAAAATTTTAAATAAACAAAACAAAAGAATAGAAAAAATCATAATAGACGCGAGCAATTATTTTCGCGCTGTACGCTGAATTACGTAACAGTCGGGATGGAAAGGTGAATACCAGCAGTTTTAATGAGAAAACTTTTCATTTGGATATTTTCATTCATGGAATAATACAATTTTTGTTTCAACCAATTATGTTTATTTGCAAGAGCAAATTTACGATACAATTTTTTAAGGAATCTGTGAAAATTTTAAAATAAAATAGTCAATCAATAATCATGAAATTGTACACTTTACTTTTAGCAGAAGATGCAGAATATTTAGAATTTGTAGTTTTGTTTACTAAGATGTCGCGTTACAATCCAAAATTGTTTGTTGTCTACGCTGATAAAGTTAAATAATAATTTGGTCAGTATCTTTCTTGGTTCGCCTGATAGCGTCATTTTTATTTACATTCTGTCCTATTAACTTCGATGACAATTACTATGGATCCTTATGCTATTTTGGTATCTATCAACGTGCTGTATCAACATTAAATATTGATAAATATACGAAAAAGAAAAATATTCCACCAGATAAAGTTTTGTTTCTTTATCTAGAGTGAATAAAAAAAAAGCGCGCCTATAAATTGTGACTCGAGAAGTCGATGCAATCAAACAGTTTTTCAAATCCAACCAGCAATGAAATTCTTCGCCGTTCTCATCGTAGCCTCCTTGGCCGTCGCCGCTTACGTAAGTTCAACAAAATGATGTTTTAACAGCGGACATCTGTGAACTTTGTCTCGTTTTATAATAGGGCCTGTCCGAAGAGGAGAAGACCAAACTGAAGGGATTCTCGCAGGAGTGCAAGACGCAAACCGGCGTCAACGTTGAGCACGTCGAGAAGATGAAGCAGAAGGTCTTCGTCCAAGGCGACGATAAGTTCTACGACTACTGCATGTGCATGATGAAGAAGATCAAGTTCATCACCGAGGACGGATCCGTCGATGTTGACCACATCAAGACGAAGATCCCAGCTGGCGACGATAAGGCTAAGGCCGAGACCGTCATCAACGATTGCTCGAAGGTTGGAGAGGGCAAGAACAAGGCCTGGTCTTTGGCCAAATGCTTGGCCGAGTCCAAATACAAGATCACCATTGAATCCCTTTAAATTATAATTACCTAATAATCAATAAACGCATCACACACAGATCTAGTTAATTACCTTTTCGATTCTGATATTCACTCTTACGTCGTTCAATCAATCCTCACACTAATTGCAAGCTTATTGCAATTAAATCTCTTTGTATATGAAAAGGATATACTGCAGTCTTTGACGTTGCCATGGGGATGAAATCAATTATGCCTTTCCGGCGTTGAGATCCATGAAATGCTCTGCTTTGACTGTTCTGTCCGATTCCAATTTATAATGATTACAGAAAGCAAATGCATTTCTTTGATGTATTATAATCATGTCGCAGAGTAAAGCCAATATTTTTCACAAAATCAATAAAAAATATAATATCAACAATTAAGTATTTAATAACATATTAAAAATTACCGGTAAACAATAATAACGGTTAACCGGTATTTTCTTTAACCACAACAATGCTTGTGAATACTTCAATCTATTATATCCATTCAATCTATTATAGTTTTCGTAAAAATCACTATGAAAATGGATTTAACCATAGCAATGTATGAATACTTGCACATTTACCAAACATCCAGTTTTTATATCAATTTTCCGAGAAAATCACTAAAATCTGAAATCTGTGCATTTCTGAGAGTTTTGAACTTTGAATGCAAATTACTAAAATGGATAAACCTTATCAATATCTTGCTTTCAAATGCCTCGTTTCAATCTATAATAGTTTACAAGAAAATCACTAAAATGTAAACACATTATGTGTTATTTTTCAACATTGAACGTGAATTACATTTTCCATACATTCAGCTTTTATATGTATCTTTTGGATCTATAATCAATCTATTATAGACAAAAGTCTATTATATCATTTACAAATAAATCTGATGAAAAAATAAATCTCATTGTACCATTATTTGTTACTATTTATAATTAAAAATAAATGTTGAAGTATACCTTATAAATTGCAAATAATTCTTTAGGGCGACTAATAGCCAAATGGTTAGGTCGAACTGGCGACGGTTCGAATCGTGGTCAAAGCCAGGCCCTTTTGTGAGCCCTCTCGGTGCTTGCAGCAATAGGGCCATCGTACATCACAGATGTACAGTGAAATGAATGAGGTTCAGCATATGGACCTTCAGCCAAGTCGATGGACAATGACAGTATTAATGATAGCAGCAGATTCACAGTCAAAGGAAATGGTGGAATCGTAGAGCATCAATATACTAGTGAAGTTAACCTATAAGACGACAGCCAACCTACAAATTAAAAATTAAGATTACCTACCTAATGTCAACCGCGACACTGATGAACAGATTGTGAATAAAATTACACGACATAAAAAATATCTTTGAATTTCTTTCGTGTATGAAGTTATTTTTATTTTGATTTATTTTACAAAACATTGTAATTATATTCATTTCAATTAATTTAAATAGTTCTAATATTAGTTACTTTCATACGTGCTCACCATTACACACGTTAATGTGCTACAATTTGAACGTATATAATTCAATATTATTCAATGTAGCGAAATTTGTTGAGGAAATAAATCTAATAAGCGCTAATTTTGAAATTACAGCATTTCCATTACTATTTGCCTAAATTAGACCTTAATTATGTTGACAAATTGTAATTGAATTAACAATCGGGGTATGTTGCTTGTTAATTCAATTGACAATTGACCTTGTCTGTTTTTTGCTATAAAAATGCACAAATCCATTTCAAATAACACAAAGTTGCTCGAAACAATGCATATTATCAATCGGTTCGTGATTTTTTTTCTGGCCCTTTCGATTCAAATTGTGTTTGGATCTAAAGTAAGTGATTACTATAAATATTTGGATTAGAGTAAAAGAAAATATGAATGTTTGTTTTTAGAATGGATTATCCGATGAGCAAAATGCAGAATCACGAGAACTGTATAGAAAATGTTTAGCCGAATCTGGAGTGGACATCAAATTGATTATGCAAGGACGTCACCAAGACTTTGCTGATGACGAGAACTTGAAGAATTACTATTTCTGCATGTTCAAGAATTTTAAATTAATCGATGACGAAGGTACGCTGAGCCTGGACAATATCCTTGCAAAATTACCTATGGAAAGGACACCCGATTTTGAGGCAAATATTAAGATTTGCATGGGCGAAAAGAAAGTTGATACACCGTTGGAAGTCGTCTTCGACCTTACTAAATGCTTCTCGGTGAAGAATAATAAACCGTACAGCTTCGAGTAGGCAAAAGCTAGCGTTCACTTATTTAGTTTAAGATGAAGCAAACCAACGACAATAACAAACAAAAATGCAACATGTAGAAATCTGCAACAAAGGGAGACCTATATCAATGAATGAAGACATTCAATTTGGTACTCTTTGTCACTTAACTGTCTTGAACCTTGCACTCTGCTTTTAATGTAATTTTGATTGTACAATATACATACTTAATAAAATTATACAAGGTAATTGGTTTGTGCCCTTTGTACACTGTATAAAAGCATCTTGATCCAGTATCCAAATCGCATTCACTCAAGCGAGTCCAACATGAAATTCCTACTTGTCGCCATCCTCGTAGCCGCTGTACTCTTCACAGCACAAGTAAGTGTTTATAGACTAATTTATTATCACAATATTTACAATTTTATATCAAAAAAAGAAGATTTTGATCATTTGCTGTTTCCTAATTTTAATTGTAATTAATTTGTACTAAAATAAAAATTAGTTAATAACTATTAAAAGTAATAAAATATGTTATTTAAAAGCACTGCTTAATTAACTTTTTATAATCATCACGTATTTGTGGTTTTCTTTAAGCAAATCAGATTTTTGGAACGTAAAACAATAATTTGTTATATATTGATGTCCACGATATGTATTGTTTAGATAATTCAATAAAGTTACATAACTAAATGTAATACGTTTGTGGTAGGCTATTTCTGATGAGCAGAAGACGATCTTCAAGAAGTTCTACACAGAATGCACCGAGTCCACCGGTGTCGAAGCAGATCTGATCGTGAAGATGAGAAAAGCAGAGTTTACAGACAACGATGAAAAATTGGCAGCGTATTACCACTGCATGATGGTAAAACTGGGATTCCAATCACCCGAAGGAGCCTTCAACGTGAACGCCATCACCGACAAGATTCCAGAGAACCTTAACAGAGAGGATACCATCAAGTCCATCAATCTGTGCGTTGCTTCGGCTGGTGAAGGCACTCCAGAGCAATCCGCCTACAAAGTCTTCAAATGCTTCATCCAGTCCGTCGACAAGGAGATCAAATTTTTCTAAAAAATATTTTATAAATTCCGATTGCTTTCTTCAATAAATAAATATATAGAGTTTTGTATTGTACCCAAATCTGTTGATGTTATTTAACATATTGCCAAATTACATCTGCACTGCAGATTAATTGTGTTAATCAGTGTTTTGTAAACAACAGTCGTAATAATTACTGATTGTGCTATCACAAAAAATTACATAACTACCGTCTGGCAACAACAGGATGATAATATTGAAAAAAAAAAACTACAGATGATATCGATGTTGATTTTCCTGTTTTGTTTTCGTTAATTTGCTACTGTGCTGATCAACAAATGAGACAATAAAAACTCGTGCTGATAATTCGCGCAGATTTTCGGTATATAAACTCTCAGGTTCGCATCTGAAATCAGTAAACTGTCAAAATCCAAAGAACAAAGATGAAATTCCTCGTAGCAGCTTTCCTTGCCATCGCTTTGGTCTCCGTCCAAGTAAGAGAATATTCGTATTTTGATAATTTGATCTAGTATTAATTATTTTAAATTTAGGCCACGGAGTCCCATAACAAGATCAAGCATTACTCCGAGGGTTGCATGGAAACCACCGGAGTTGATCACGAAATTGTTGCAAATGCCCGCAAAGGTGAGTTCGTCGAGGACGAGAAGTACATGAAGTACTGCCACTGCATGTGCAAGAAGATGGATATCATGGACCATGATGGACATCTTCATGAAGAGCATATGTTGGACAACCTTCCAGAAGGTGTCGAAAGGGAGGAAGGAGCCAAGATCATGAAGAAATGCATGGCTGAAGCTCACGATGAAACCAGCCACGAGAAGAAGGCTTTCCTTTTCTTCAAGTGCTTCGTCCATGGTGTCGGCAAACCAGTCAACTTCTTCAAACACTGAATACTTTTTAAATATGCTTATTAGACTCTAAATAAAAGATGAATATTTTTCTTCAAACATTTTCTTTTTATTATTATATTATAGGATGTTATAGAAGTTTCAAAAAATTAGTTCATTGAAAAATCACAAAAAATAATGATAAACGATACAACAATATTAGTAAATACATTTTAAAGGGTGAACAATTACCCTAAATTTGGTTGCTTAACAATAAATTTGTCGCACATACTTTTTTAAATATAAGTATAAATGTAAAGACTCTAGTTTTTCAAAGCTGAAAAAACGTTTCTTCAAGTTTGACAGTGAATTACGACTAAATGACAAACGATACAATATTACCAATGCACGTTTTAAAGAGTGAATATTTAACTTTAATTTGGTTACTTAGCAATGACTTTGTCTTGCATACTTTTCGAGATATAAAGAAAAATGTAAAGACACTGCTTTTTCTATGTTAAAAAACGTATCTTCAACTTTACCAGTATATATATATATAACATATATAATTTACTATTTACTATTAAAGAGCGAATATTTAGCATTAATTTAGTTGATCAATAATCAATTTGTTGCTCATACTTTTCGAGATATAAAGAAAAATGTAAAGACACTGCTTTTTCTATGTTAAAAAACGTATTTTCAAGTTTACCAGTATATACATATAACATATTATTTACTATTAAAGAGCGAATATTTAGCATTAATTTAGTTGATCAATAATCAATTTGGCGATAATACTTTTAGAGATATAAGCAAAAATGTAAACACACTACTTTTTCGATACATAAAAAAAACGTTTCTTCAAGTTTGACAGTGAATTACGACTAAATGACGATAAGATACAGTAATACAAATTCACACGTTTTAAAGAGTGAATATTTAGCTTTTAATTATTTTCTCAATAATTAATTGTTTCTCCATTTTCTCGCTTGACTCGCGTAACGAGCGACGTTTCGCATAACGAGTGACGATGAGAAGAGTCCCGGATTGCGCGCCTCCTACATCATTTTTGAAACTTGTGTACACATATTATGTGTATGTTTGATTATGTTTCACTATACGAGTAAAAATCCGGAAATTTTAGAAAGGATTAAACTCGTTAAGCGTTAATAAAATATTATTAACTACGAAATATCAGTACTTTATTTCCTCATGTTTGTTATATATTGGTCTACATAATGGTTAAGCATATATGCTTAACTGATCTTTGAAAAATAAAAATAGAGATCAAATATTTTTAAACTAAGTTAGGTTTTTTTTTTGTAAATAAGAATAAACAGATTTCAATATCAATAAATACTACGTCGATGATTGTTACATAACAGCTGTCTGGCAATAATTAGATGATAGCACGAAAAACATGTTATCAATGCAGATATTAACATTTTATTGGTAATTCTTTATTGTAAAAAAAACATAAAGCAGATAAATAGATAATATATTTGCTATATAACAGTTGGACTGAGTATTTGTATTCATTATACTGTTGTTCGTCAAGAAGAAAGAAAGATGAAATTCCTCGTAGCAGCTTTCTTTGTCATCGCTTTGGCCTCTGTTCAAGTGAGTATCTTCTATTTAGTAATCGATGTCTTTAAGTAATTGTTTATACTTAGGGTACCCCTGCTGCCAGACATAATATCAAGCAATATTCAGAGGATTGCATGGAAAGCACCGGAGTTGATCACGAAATTGTTGCAAATGCCCGTAAAGGTGAGTTCGTCGAGGATGAGAAGTTGATTAAGTATTGCACCTGCGTGTACAAAAAGATGAACATTATTAACGATGGTGGCCATCTTCATGAGGAAACTTTGGTCGAGTATTCACCAGAGAATATCGAAAAGGAAGAAGCATCAAAAATCGTCAAGAAATGCATTGAGGAAGCTCATGGTGAAAGCTACGAAAAGAAGTCTTTCATCTTTTACAGATGTTACGTCCATGCTGCCGGCAAGCCAGTCCATGTTTTCAAGAATTAAATATAATAAATAAATATATTTGAATCAATTATTATTTACATTTTTTACAATTCAATTGGGAATTTCGAGGCGAAGGCCGAGAGACTCCATTAAAACAATGCCATCTTCTTGACCAACTTACAAACACCCATCGCGCAGCTAATTATAGGAATAAGCACCACATTGAATTGAATGGATCTATAAAAATTCCATTCGACAATTACTTTTGAACTTCATAAATGTATTTATTCATACATATGTCCTTTCCGTTTGTTGCTGCTTCAAGTTAGAGCATATCAGATTGTTGATTCCATTATTATAATTTTGACATGGATACGGGATAATAAAGACATAAATGAAATATAGAACTATAAAAAAACAAACAAACAATCGAGTGAAGGTTGATTCGTGCAATGTTAATCTATTGGCGGTTGGTACGAGTGCATTTAGAGATTTATCTCAATGACATCTGTCAAATTTAGTTGTTTTATTTCCTTTTGGATGTGATCATCATTCTTTAATCTCCGGATGAAAGCGCTTAACGTTTTACGTCCGGACGAAAAATGCTAGATCAATGTTAGCTAATAATTTTAATTGGAATGTGCTAGTTTTTTTGGTTGTTTATAATTTAGTTAATTCGTTTTTTAGAAGATTCTTTTAATTACTTTACTAAAAGAATTAAAAAAAACTTAGATGAAACAAACATTTTATTTGAAAACTTTAATATTAAACGAATGTTGTAATAAACATGGCATGATGACTAACCAGTGGACTTTGGAAAAAAGAACAAAAACGAAATTCATAAAAAAGTAAATAATTTGTTGTTTATGCTAATTGGAATCTCCACGTCCAAAGTTCAGCACGGATTATGTGTGTGACCTGCATCTTTTTTGTCGTTGGTATTTGCATATTCGATAGATCGGAGAATTAAATAAATCCATGGAAAAATATTGAAGACAAATTGGATGCGGGCTACAGTATATATAAAAAAAAACGAGAAAGGAATTGGGCAAACATAGCCACACGCTAGATCGTGATTGAGTATGCAAATTCGGTTGAAAAAAAAAGCAAGTCGTATAATTGAAGCACGATGTGTGATTGAGTTTATTGAACTGCACTAATTTTTCAAAGTATGCGAAGACGATGATTGACAGAAAGAGATCGGTTTGATTGCCCGAGGTAATTTATCCATATAATAATGTTTAAACTCAAAAACAAAATAAAAATAAGCATGCGAAATATTATAGTTGTAATTATATATAAAAAAAAAAGTTTGATATTAATCAGTTTTGTAATTATACAAAAATTCACAAACAAAAAATACAAAATTTGATCATTTTACATTATTCTTTCGATTTAGCTTCATTTTACTCCAATTTCGATAGGTCCAATTTAGGAAACTGGTCAAAAGATTGGTTAACATTGATAAATCATTGATAATGTTTCATCTAACAGTAATATTGAACTAAATTAATAAAACTATTATTTTTATTTGTAGCTAAGGAAGCTACCATTTGTTGTCATCTATTGTATAACTAATATGTATATTTGTTAGGGCCATGACTTTCCTCTTAATTATTACAAATCATATTTAACGTATCCATCAAATATACAAACGGATATTTGTACGTGATTATTTAGAATAACTTGCGGAATATTCCGAAGGACGGTTATACATTAAATCGTATATTTGCGTCTATTGTATCACGACTTAACAGCCTTCTTAAACCCTTAAATATTTGGGCAGTATCATTAAACTTAGATAAAGAAACGGTTGTAAATTCCACAACCTCAAAACTGATTACCTTACAATCTTCATTTTCCTAAAAAGTACAGAAAGAGACTGAAGTTCTTAAAGTACAATTATCCAATCTTATGAATGATGCAGTTGTTGATAATTATTTTATAGCTTGAAAAGTTTAACTTAATTACTATTAATATATGTTTATTCCGAGATTTGAAACAGGGGAAAACGTGGAACATCTGAGGAAGGAGTTTGTTCAGAATGCTGGAGAGGCCTATATATATATAAGATAATTTGTTAATTACTATTTTTGAATGTATTTACTAAAAATAATAATAATAATATTTCGTAAATTTAAAAATCATTTATAATTTATTTCATAAATTTAAAATTATTTTTTATATATTTATTAAAGAGTACACACACACATACATGTCAATCACTGAATGAATGTGTGTGTGTGATTTTTTTTGTTAATTTGGTACGTTGAGCTAGCCTGTGTTGTTGTGGCAGCAATTTGTAAAAGTGTATTCAATAAAGTGAATTAAAAATATTGCATTTAATATTCAAAAACCCCTCCAAGACTCCACAACGACATAACTACAAGATAATTCACGGTGTCCAAAGATTTCTTAACCCCGGGACACGACACTACAACGATATGTAACTTACTTTAGGAAAATCTAAAAATAGTGCAAATGACAGTGGTTCAATGCTGGCGTCGGTCCAAATTTGGCAATTCTCAAATATATTATCACAAAAAAAAATGAATTTATCATTTTAGATGCATTTAAGATTCAAGGATTTCGCGAACAAGTTATCCGCAGAATTCTTGGATCCACGATTTGATTGCTCAATTATCATACCAATTCAAATTTATGTAAAATTATGTAAAAATGAATATTCAAAACATATTCACATAATTATGAAATCAATTTTTAATTTTTGCAATTACATTTTCGTGTAAAAAAATATAGTAAAATTTATCTATTAAATTCTATTTTACACACAAGTTATTTTTGGATTTACTCTATTCTGTATACATCTATTTCCTTGTTGCCCAAGGTTTTTCTGACTGCACAAAACAAAGAACAACAAAATTATTTTATTACGTTCGCGAATCGTGTGTATCGCTTTAATTTAATAACTAAATAAAACTGTGTAGCAAAAAAAAACGGTAATCTCATAATATTCATTTAATTTAGTGTATCTATATCTAATGCAATTTCGTAACTGTTTTATTTAAGTGTTATTATTTTCATTAAAGTGTTCAGCTTAATTAAAACTGCCGAGATGAAATATTGCAGCTATTAAAAAATATGCAATATACATGCTTTTGGTTGGTAGTAAAAAAAAACATTGGCGCAACAGGATTTAATACACGGACTCTTAATTTATGTTGAACTCATTTCAGACTTGCACATATATTTCATCTAAAATAAAATTACTTGGAGGAAGCGCAACACATAAAATGTACGTGAAGATTAACAAACAAAATTACGACTAAATCCTTGAAGTTTATACAAACTTTTGTATTTTGAATGCAAAAAGCAAATGCGGAAATTCATAACAAAAAAACTTAATTCTTTGTGCTGTTTTTTTGTATCTACTTTAATCATACTTGTAATAATGTTTTAACTACTGTCAATATTATATTTTTTCCTTGATGTTAGTTTCGGTTTTATTTAGAATCCAATTGATGAAAACTGGATCATCTACAATAAGGATCATGATCCAAATGTAATGAACCATCACAAATTACATCAAAAGTTGAATTGCATAAAAAAGATCATTTTATCAATTTGGTAGGATTACAAAGATATTTTGTATTTTGAGCTACAACCAAGGAAGCAAGCAAAAAAAATGGCCAAAATTGGCAAATCGTGTTTCACCAAAACAATGCAAAGACTCACATATCTTTGATAAGCCATGGAAAATTATTAGTACTTGATTAGGAAGTGAAGTCTCATTCCATATGTAGCCTTTGTACCGATCAGATTACCAATTATTTCGATGTTTGAAATGTAAAACTTTCACTAATTATAAAGACCTGAAATCGCACTTAGTTCAGTTTCTTTTTGCTGATGAGACAAGCCAGAAAGATGGCATAAGATCATCAGATAAAATGGAAAATATATAAATGATTAAAATTCATTCTTTGTATACAAAAACTTTATTTCATACTGAAAAACCGAATGTGTTTTCTCGTCGCCCCAATATTTTGTATGTGAAATAGTTATTAAATGGATTAAATTTCGACAGGTATATGTGATATTATAATTTAATTCTATTGAATGACATTTTACTTCTGAATTTAAGAACCTCAAGAAGATATATTTTTACATTGACCAGTAGATTGGAGGATTCGTTTCAAGATCATTGGTCTAGAAAAATTGAGAATTTAATAATATTTATAATCAATCATTTATTAAGCAGTGTGAGTATTTTAATTTATCATATTTGGTATAGATTAGTCCAAATAATTTGCCATTTACTATAAGTTCAGATGATCTTTGAAAAATAAAAATTGAGGTCAAAAGTGTGTAATAAACAGATTGTAATAAATATTAGCCTGATGTTTGTTACATAACAGCTCTCTGGTAATAATTAGATAATAACACGAAAAACACTAAATCTTATCAATGCAGATATTAACATTTTGGTCTTGTTTGTTGTTGGCTTTATAATTTGTAATCAACAAAGATAAAGAATTATTAAAATTTTTGGTGATAAATAACTAACATATTTGCTATATAACAGTTGGACTGTGTATGTAATCATTAGACTGTTCGAAAAGAAGAGATAAAGATGAAATTACTCCTAGCCGCTTTTCTTGCCATCGCTTTGGCATCCGTTCAAGTAAGTATCTTCAAATTTCCAATCGATATAGTTTTAATTTGTTTACTAAACTTAGGGTAACACGGAAAACAGTGATAAGGTTAAGCATTACTCGGAGGGTTGTTTTGAAGAAACCGGAGCTGATCATGTCACTGTTGAGAACGCCCGTAAGGGTGAGTTCGTCGAGGATGAGAAGTTGTTGAAGTATTGCATGTGCATGTACAATAAGATGCATCTTATGAACGGCGAAGGTCATATTCTCGAGGAAAATATGCTCAAATATGTTCCGGAAAATATCGAAAAGGAAGAAGCATCGAAAGTCATCAAGAAATGCATCGTAGAAGTTCACGATGAAACCAGCCACGAGAAGAAGGCTTTCAACTTTTACAAGTGTTTCGTCCATTCTGTCGGCAAACCCGTCCATGTTTTCAAGAATTAAATATAATAAATAAATAATTATTTTTGTTACAATTATTATTATTTTGTACTCATTTTTGTTTATAAACCTATGAAAAGTCCATTCGACAATTACTTCTGAACTTCATACAATTATTTACCGATAATTTTGTTGCAATTGGATTGTTACAAAAAATGAAGTTTCTTTACTGAATAGAACGAAATTATTGACTTAAGTATGTAAAACATTAAATGTTAAATTTACAAGTAATGACGAAACTTTGTATTGTCACGACAATTTATTTTCGAATTGATTTTATAAATAAATAAACTTGTCGATGATGGGGATCAAAGTTGAACGTACTTTAATTAAACCAATGGAAATTTTATTAACAACAAACTTATAGAGAATAAAATGAAAGAGAATGGACGAGATGTGAAGACTGACAACTTCTTCTTCTGGTTGCCATTTGATTAATCCGTGTGGCTCGGAGGAAAGTACGTTCAGTCACGGTCAAGACCGTTCCAAATGAACAACCGTGATTGATGCTTGTAAGGAAATATTCCACGATCTTTGCCCGAACCTGAATCACAATGACTCGCGTTACGTAACAGCGATTCTTGGGTCCTCTTCTACATCTGGATCGTCTGGGTCCATGGTCCAAAGTCTGACCAACTCACCTTTTATTTTTGATCGCTTTCGTTTTGTGCACGCTAATAGCTTTACACGTGTATAAATTGTATAGTTTATGTTTATTATTAATACTTTTTTTTTTAGACATTTTAGTTCCTCCGGCAAATTTGTTTTAACAATTTCCAAATGCGGAAGTTATTATTTTGTCCGCAACACATTTATAAGGTAAAATATAGTAAATTCATAATAAATTTCAAAACTATAACGAATTTCATAATTTCTTGACATAATCAATTAAGATAAATGCAAGATATTCTTGTTTAAATTAATTAAATTTGACAAAGTTATTCCTTAGTTTTAATAATTGCTTAAGTGTGTAAATAATCAAAATGAAATATTACAAGTATAACTTTTATATATTTTTTTTTAAACTTATATAACAGGTAAATATGATCAAAAACCAAGTGATAATTATGTGTGAGTCATATAATGCAATTGATGTTTCTGTCTATATCTGTTTACTATCTATCTTTGTTAATTACTTTGCGGTTAATAATTGCAGGAAAGCAGCGCCCGAGCTCAATCTTTCTTAGTTGCATAATATAACAATGTAGGTTTCAATTAAACCTTACAAGTAAACATCATTTATACTTGTAAACATTTCAATAGTTGGATTTCGAGAAACTTTGTAATAAATAAACTAAATTTGAATTCAACATAAATTATCGCCTTTTCTTCCTTTATACAGACAAGTCTCTTTTTGTGCTATTTCTTTTTATACGATTTTAAAGTCCTCGATTAGTCCGGTTTTTGAGTTTAAAGATTAAATTTATCGAATCAATAAAACTTCTTTTAAACTAACAATTCAATTGTGTAAATGTAAACTGAACTTTTTTTTAATATCTCAATTTTTAATGTTTACTTTAAACTGAAAAGACATAGTACAAAATCTTGTTGAGAAATTGTCTTTTCAATAGTTGGATTTCAACAATTTCTCACTGCTTGTAACCGGACTAATCGAGGAACTAAGTAATAAACTACATAAAAAGAAACTTTCCTTCGATCATTCCGTATTCGCTATAGTCCGGTTTAAAATAAACTAAATTTTAATTCAACATAAATCATCGTCTTTTCTTCCTTTATACAGACAAGTCTCTTTTTGTGCTGTTTCTTTTTAAACGGTTTTGAAGTCCTCGATTAATCCGGTTTTTGAGTCTTAAGTTTAAATTTATCGAATCAATCAAACTACTTTAAAACTAACAATTCATTTGTGTAGATGTAAACTGATTTTTTTTTAAATCTCAATTTTCAATGTATACTATAAACTGAAAAGACATAGTACATAATCTTGTTGCGAAATTCTCCTTGTAGAGAATTTACGTTTTCGCTGGAGATTCGATTGGTAAGATCGTGCGCGCAAGCAAGCAAATCCGATGCAAATTTATGCCGAAACATTCTGCGAACTCTCCGCTCTGCACCGGTTACGTAACGAGATCTTATCGCCTGAAGTTTTCGAGAAAAAATATGAAAAACAAAAGCAAACCGCAAAGGATGCGATCATTTGTTAGGCTAATGATGTGGATGAGAGTAGTCACACGAAATACACATGCAAATCAGGTGCGAATACGACGAGATTTTCCTCACCTCGGTCAAGGTGCTCTCCGTTCGAATCAAGTTCACATTCACATAATAACTATCAACTGCAACGAAAATATCACGGTATTAAGTCATGAAGATGGCGTTACGTAAAACAGCAGAAAATGACTCATTCTAATTATCGCTTTTGTTTTAATGCATTCATTTCATAGAGGATACACTTCAGCTTTCAATCAAATCTTGATTTTAATTCCTTTTATTACTCTTTACACAACACATTAGATTCTATATAATGTAGATTAAGGTTTTGTAAAAATTTTTTTTTGAGAAAAAGTCAGTCTTTGAAATAAAATATTGCCAACATCTTAAAATATATACAGTACTCTCATTTCCCCGTTATCAGCTACCTAGTGTATAGTGCCTATGATATTCTTATATTTAAAAAGACATACTTGGATATAGTGCAACTTAATTGTTTCATCTTTTGAGTATAGATCGAAGCCGCTCTATACATATATCGCATAGTGCGGCTTCACTATAATCCAGTTGGAAAAAAACAAGTTTTAATTGAGCAAATTAATTATATAAAATTTGTACAAAATTGTTAAAACCTCTTTTTGTAATTAAGTTTTTTAATTAGTCCGTGAATTAGTTCAAACAATCTGAGATATTGGTGGAACTGCACTATACGAAGAATTGTTGTATTTCATTATTAAATTTGTATGCTTCTAATAATACTGTTAAATTTCTTTTTTTTTTCAATTAAACGATTGTATCAACGAATTATGGAAAGATATGTTAATTATAACTAGTTTAACATTTTCCATTGCATTTAGTCATCTCGTTCACGGTGGAGCTGCAATGAAAGAATGAAACACGCAGCAATAAATTAACGCTTGTATTGAATTTAATTTACCTTGGCTTCTATAATTACCTTCTTAAGATTAACATAATCATACAATTAGATTCAATATAATTGAAATCTCTGCACGCAAAATCTCCTTTTATTTTTTTCCTTCTATCTAATAACTGTACTTGCTTTTATCAACGTATTTTTATTTCAACTCTCTTGTTCATCTCGGTGACTCCAATCTCTCAATTTGCATATTCATTAAGAACGTAACACGATGGATTATTAAATATCACTTCTGTTTAAATTTATTGTGAATTGGTCGGCTCTAAAAAAAAACGTTTTGCTTAAGAACGAGTTTCGTAAAATGCAGCAGTGTTATTTTGCATCTTCTTAGGAAATTTACAAGCAGTGCATCCAACTGTAATAAATTAATTTATTATAAACAGTAATTAAGGTCACGTCATTGACACATTTGTGTTAATTACTTCTAATTTCAGTTTTTTTTTATTTTGTAATTAACAAAATAAATTGATTTATTTTAAGTATTGAGTAATTAATTGTGAATATTACTAAATTAAAAGTAATTGTATTCATAAAACTGCCAGATATTAAAAAAATATCAAGTTTCATTGGTAAACAAGTTAAAATTTGAAGATTTTTTTATAACTGTGAGAATTCATATTGTAACTGAAAATTTGAAATAACAAAAACATAGTTATTTTTGAATCTGAACCAACATTTCTTGTTAAGATCAACGTTTTTTTTTGAGATCATTTTGAGCAAAGCTAAGAAAGTTATGATAAAACGAGTAATATTGAAAGATTTACTGAGTTTAAATTTAAAGTAATTCTATAAATGAATCAATTTATGATTGTATTGGAATATAAATTTACAGCGTATGTTATATTAGCGTTGAAGTTTGCATTTTATTGAAGTGGAGCACATATTCATTGACATTGCTCAATAAGCAAATTACATTAATCAGCTGCTGAAGGAGTGATGGAAAAAAATCTATGAATATATTATTTCCACGTGCATTTCTTATGTACTTGCACATATATTCTTTTTTTTAATGCTTGGAGGGGACTGCGAGAATTTCTATTTGTACTGCCAATCCTAGGTACGGATTAGCTCTATATAAGCGACAAAATATATATTAAATGCATATATTATACTCAGCCAGTTCCAAGAATCAAGATGAAAACCTGCACGATCATCCTGCTGATAGTTGCGATCGCTTTCGCGGAAAAGGTAATGAAACAATTCAATTAATACAATCATAATTAAGATGTTTCTTAGGTAAAGTATACTGAGGAGCAGAAGGCTAAACTTGCGGAACTAAAGAAAGTATGCGTGGAATCGTCTGGTGTCGCTCTGGATGAGGTCGAGAAAGCGAAAAAAGGCGTCTTCGGTGATGACGAAAAGTTGAAAGAGTTTTTGTTTTGCGTTGCTCAAAAGATTGATTTCATGAATAAGGATGGACACTTCAAAGCGGATGTGATTACTGCAAAGATTACAGCCATCCACGGGGAGCAAATTGCTAAAGATGTTGTGGGTGTATGCACAGCCAAGACTGAGGCTAATGGACCAGCAACTAGTTTGGCACTTGCCAAATGCCTTTCAGAGCAATCCAAACAACACGTCTCTCTTGCTTAATTTTAGTTTGTATATAAAATACAATTTATAATAAAAACTTAATTTATAACTAAATATTAAACAGTTGTGGATTTTTGTTTTATTTAGGTAGTAATAATAACAATTTTATATAGTGAATACAAAATAATTTAATAATTATCTTAGTTTGAAACCCATAATAAAAAAAATGTATTTGAATAACTGAAATCACGATACTTAATAAGTTGTTTTGTGTGTGCTATTATTTCTTTCGTTTTGTGTACTATTTTTTTTGCTTTGGAGGGGATTTGCTTCTTGCGAATTATTAGTCTTCCACTCCGATGCGAACAATTTTAGTATATAAGCAAGTCAAAATTCGGGATATAATCATAGTCTCTCAAACGAAGACCAGCAAAACATTTAAGCAAAAATGAAATCCTTCGCAATCATCCTTTTGGTAGTAGCTTCAGTCGCCTTCGCTCAAAAGGTAAAGTAATAGAGGAAATCCAAAGAAAACAAACTAATTTTCAATTTATTTAGGTGAATTTGACAGAAGAGCAAAAAACCAAACTTGCTGAAATTAAAAAAGAATGCATAGCATCTTCTGGGGTCGCTGTGGATGCTGTTGAGAATGCTAAGAAAGGCGTAATTGCTGATGACCAGAAGATGAAAGATTTCTTGTTCTGCGTAGCACAGAAGATTGGCTTCATGAACAAGGATGGTCATTTCAATGTTGATGTTATGATGGCAAAGATCAGCGCCCAACATGGAGAACAGATTGCTAAAGACGTTGTTGGTGTTTGCACAGCCAAAACGGAGGCAAATGGACCAGAAACCAGCTTCGTTCTTGCCAAATGTCTTTCCGAAAAATCCAAACAACACGTTTCTCTTGCTTAATTATAATACAGTGATACTACTTATTTAAAAATAAAGCTATAATTTAAGTACAACATCTGAAATCTTTTTATTTTGAGCGTGATTTGACCCAAACATTTTTAAACTACTTGTTACTATCATAAAATGTAATATCAAAATATAATTATACTTTTTTTCCTGCGAATTTATGTATATTTATTTTAGTATATTAATTTAATTAAAAAAGTATTAGTAGTTCTCTAGCGTAATAAAAAATACATACTTATATGCATATTAATAATACATTTTTCTAAAACTTATATTAGAAAATTTCTAAAAAATAATAATATTCAAAAACAATTTGTTTTGCGATGATTGTTTTCATTTTTTTTTATATGAATTCATAAAGTGTGAACTAACATAATAATAAGTTGTCTCGTAAAGAACTTATATTATTATGAGAATGATATAGAAAAAAATCAAGTTTTAAATTGTTATTTTCTTATTAAAACTTGATCTGAATATTTATATAAATTAATTAATCCACAATAATCTTGATTTTTTTTTCAATAACTAAAAGTTTTATGAATACAATTAATTTTAGTTTACGTCTATTTTCAATTAATTGATGAATACTAAAGACAATTCAGTTTATTACGTAATAAAAACTGAAAATGCAAGCAAATATGTAAAGTACTTATCAATGAAGTCTACTCTTCATATTGAAATTGACTTTTATTATTATAGTATTTCTTTTATTATATCTTTGAGTATTAATTTAACGCGTTAATTTAGAAAATAATTTTATAAATAATGTTATTAACATTTTATAGAGTAATTAAAGAAAATCTCAATACTCAACATAAATTATGAACTTAATTACACTAAAAATTGAGATATAAATTATTAACAAATACACATATATATATAATGTTTATAAATAAATGTAAAAAAACACAAATTTGTTCTTTAAAAGCTTGAAAACAATATTAAAAATAGGTAAGTTAGTATAAATATATTCAGATTTTTATTATATAATTTTTAATACTAATTTTTATTTATTATTTAGGTAGTGATAATAATAATTGTATTTGGTGAATACAAACAAAATTTGATCTATTGTTGACCAATAAGGAAATTATAATAATTGAAATCACAATACTTATTAAGTTGTTTTGTGTGTGGTATTATTTTTTTCTTTCGTTTTGTGTACTTTGCACTTTTGCTTGGAGGGGATTTTCTTCTTGCCAATTATTAGTCTTCCACTCCGATGCGAACAATTTTAGTATATAAGCAAGTCAAAATTCGGGATATAATCATAGTCTCTCAAACGAAGACCTGCAAAACATATAAACAAACATGAAATCCTACGCAATCATCCTTTTGGTAGTAGCTTCAGTCGCCTTCGCTCAAAAGGTAAAGTAACATAAGAAATTTAAAGTAAAAAATTAACTAATTTTCAATATATTTAGGTAAATTTGACCGAAGAGCAAAAAACCAAACTTGCTGAATTCAAGAAAGAATGCGTAGCATCTTCTGGAGTTGCTCTGGATGCTGTTGAGAATGCTAAGAAAGGCGTAATTGCTGATGACCAGAAGATGAAAGATTTCTTGTTCTGCATAGCACAGAAGATTGGCTTCATGAACAAGGATGGTCATTTCAATGTTGATGTTATGATGACAAAGATCAGCGCTCAACATGGAGAACAGATTGCTAAAGACGTTGTTGGTGTTTGCACAGCCAAAACCGAAGCAAATGGACCAGAAACCAGCTTTGTTCTTGCCAAATGTCTTTCCGAAAAGTCCAAACAACACGTTTCTCTTGCTTAATGTCGATACCGTGATACTACTTCTTTAAAAATAAAGCTATAATTTAAGTACAACATTTGAAATCTTTTTATTTAAAATGTGATTTAACCTAAATATTTTAAAACTTGTCTTTTACATAGTAATTACAATTTGATATGAAAATATAATTAAAAAATATAATAATTCACTAATTTTTCTAAAAAATCGTTTATTTTTCACGAGAATTTATGTATTTTTATTTGATATTACTTTAATTAAATTAATAATCAGCTCTCATTAAATTATAATATATATTCGATAAATTTATACATACTATATTAATATAAAACATTTTGAATAATTTATTTATTTTATTTGTGGGTATTAACAATAAAAGCAACAAATTTACTTCGATTTCTGTATGTTTTTAAATAACCAAAGTTAAAATGAAATATTGTATACTTTTGGCAGCAGATTAAAGCTTCTCATTTTATATATGAAAATGGAACATACTTAGTACGGTTTTAAGGATTATGATGAAAGATAATGGGCGTTTTGTTCCCCGTTTTAACAGTTTTTTCTCTTTTAAAAACTTGATTAAAAATGTATTATGCTGTAGACAAAGCAATAAAATCAAATGAATTTCTCAGTTTTTAAATAACTACCAAAAATTATGTTTTTTAGAAACATAAATTGATAACAAAAACGTTAATTTATATTTCTTTAACCAGTAGATTTTTCTAAATATAAAATAGTAAAATATTGTTTGTGTTAGTACATACATTATTTTTTCTGTTTTTTTTTCAGTAAACTTCTAAGAATTATTGTGTTTACTTATATCATGAAGTAACATATTTGACGTGCATATACAGCAATATCTCGCCGGATAATCAATTCCGCCGGACTATTTGAAACAGGACTAATCGAGAGTCAAGAAATAATATTGAAAGAAAAAACGATCATTTATGTCTATAAATAAAACATTTAAAATTTAGTTAGTTTTGAAATTTTCACTATAGACTTTAATTTTATTGATTTTTGAAAATAAAGATTAGTCATTATTTATGTAGTAGTAATGATATATCATATAGAAACCTATAAGAAGAAAAAAGTATTTGAATAATTGAAATCACGGTACATATTAAGTTGTTTTGTGTGTGGTATTTTTTTTTCTTTCGTTTTGTGTACTTTGCACTTTTGCTTGGAGGGGATTTGCTTCTTGCAAATTATTAGTCTTCCATTCTGATGCGAACAATTTTAGTATATATGCAAGTCAAAATTCGGAATATAATCATAGTCTCAAACGAAGACCTGCAAATCATATAAACAAACATGAAATCCTTTGCAATCATCCTTTTGGTAGTAGCTTCAGTCGCCTTCGCTCAAAAGGTAAAGTAACAGAAGAAATTTAATGTAAAAACTTAATTAATTTTCAATATATTTAGGTAAATTTGACTGAAGAGCAAAAAACCAAACTTGCTGAAATCAAAAAAGAATGCGTAGTATCTTCTGGAGTCGCTGTGGATGCTGTTGAGAATGCTAAGAAAGGCATAATTGCTGATGAACAGAAGATACAAGATTTATTGTTCTGCGTAGCACAGAAGATTGGCTTCATGAACTAGGATGGTCATTTCAATGTTGATGTTATGATGACAAAGATCAGCGCCCAACATGGAGAACAGATTGCTAAAGACGTAGTTGGTGTTTGCACAACCAAAATCGAGGCAAATGGACCAGAAACCAGATTCGTTCTTGCCAAATGTCTTTCCGAAAAGTCCAAACAACACGTTTCTCTTGCTTAATGTCGATACAGTGATACTACTTCTTTAAAAATAAAGCTATAATTTAAGTACAACATTTGAAATCTTTTTATTTAAAGTGTGATTTAACCCAAATATTTTAAAACTTGTCTTTTACATAGTAATTACAATGTGATATGAAAATATAATTAAAAAATATAATAATTCACTAATTTATAAAAAATCGTTTATTTTTCACGAGAATTTATGTATTTTTATTTGTATATTACTTTAATTAAATTAATAATCAGCGCTCATTAACTTACAATAAATATTCGATATATTTATACATACTATAATTAATATAAAACATTTTGAATATTTTATTTATTTTATTTGTTGGTATTAACAATAAAAGCAACAAATTTACTTTGATTTCAGTATGTTTTTAATTAACCAAAGTTAAAATGAAATATTGTATACTTTTGGCAGCAGATTAAAGCTTCTCATTTTATATACGAAAATGGAACATACTTAATACGGTTTTAAGGATTATGATGAAGGATAATGGGCGTTTTGTGCCCCGTTTTAATAGTTTTTTCTCTTTTAAAAACTTGATACATTTTTAGTATTATGCTGTAGACAAAGCAATAAAATCAAATGAATTTGTCAGTTTTTAAATAACTACCAAAAATTATATTTTTTAGAAACATAAATTGATAACAAAAACGTTAATTTATATTTCTTTAACCAGTAGATTTTTCTATATATAAAATAGTAAAATATTGTATGTGTTAGTATACACATTTTTTTTTTCAGTAAACACCTAAGAATTATTGTGTTTACTTATATCATGAATTAACATATTTGACGTGGATATACAGCAATATCTCGCATAGTGCGGATAATAAATTCCGCCGGACTATTTGAAACATGACATGAATAATATAGAAAAAAAACAATCATTTATGTATATAAATAAAACATTTAAAATTTAGTTTGTTTTAAAATTTTCACTATAGAATTTATTTTTTTTGATTTTGAAAATAAAGATTAGAAATTATTTAGGTAGTAGTAATGTTAATTTTATATAGTAAATAGAAAATAATTGAACTTTTATATCATATAGAAACCTATAAGAAGAAAAAAAGTATTCGAATAATTGAAATCACGATACTTATTAAATTGTTTTGTGTGTGATATTATTTTTTTTCTTTCGTTTTGTGTACTTTGCACTTTTGCTTGGAGGGGATTTACTTCTTGCGAATTATTAGTCTTCCACTCCGATGCGAACAATTTTAGTATATAAGCAAGTCAAAATTCGGGATATAATCATAGTCTCTCAAACGAAGACCTGCAAAACATATAAGCAAACATGAAATCCTTCGCAATCATCTTTTTGGTTATAGCTTCAGTCGCCTTCGCTCAAAAGGTAAAGTAACATAACAAATTTAAAGTAAAAAATTAACTAATTTTCAATATATTTAGGTAAATTTGACTGAAGAGCAAAAAACCAAACTTGCTGAATTCAAGAAAGAATGCGTAGCATCTTCTGGAGTTGCTCTTGATGCTGTGGAGAATGCTAAGAAAGGCATAATTGCTGACGATCAGAAGATGAAGGATTTCCTGTTCTGTGTAGCACAGAAGATTGGCTTCATGGACAAGGATGGTCATTTCAATGTTGATGTTATGATGGCAAAGATCAGCGCCCAACATGGAGAGCAGATTGCCAAAGATGTAGTTGGTGTGTGCACAGCCAAAACCGAGGCAAATGGACCAGAAACCAGCTTTGTTCTTGCCAAATGTCTTTCCGAAAAGTCCAAACAACACGTTTCTCTTGCTTAATTATAATACAGTGATACTACTTATTTAACAATAAAGCTATAATTTAAGTACAACATCTGCAATCTTTTTATTTCAATCATGATTTGACCCAAACAATTCGTCTCTTGCATAATAAATAATATGTTATTATAATATGATATTTTGAAAAAAATGTATGTTTTCTTTTTATATTACTTAAATTAAAAAAATAAAAGCATTTTGAATATTTTAATTTATTATATATGTTAACAATAAAAACAACAAATTTAAATCAATTCGTCAATTTTTTTATTTTTACATACCAAAATTAAAATTAAATATTTTTAAATACTTTTGGCAACATATTAAATCTTATCCTTTATATATGAAAATGAAACAAATTTAAAACTATAGAAATGATTATTATGAAGGATAAACGACTCGTTTCAACAGATTTGTGTTTTAAAAACTTGATAAAAAAGTGACAAAATCAAATGAATTATTTCTCAGTTTTTAAACAACTATCGAAAATGAATGATTATAAATTACTTTTTCTATATATAAAATAGTAAAATATTCTTTGTGTCAATACAGTTTGTTATTTTTTTTACTATTTTGTGTTTTCCCAGAAAACACGTTTGTGTTCATATACATATATATAGTATTACCTCACATAGTGCAGTTAATTGGTTCCGTCGAACTATTTGGAACCGGACTAATCGAGAGTCAAGTATAGAGGAAAAACTGATCAATTATATATTAAAAAGTACATTTAAAATTTAGTTTGTTTTGAAATATTCACTATAGAATCCGCCATAACAATTAGTTTACTTTATTTAATTGTCTCAGTTATTTAATATTTGTTGTATTTAAGGATATTGTTGTATTTTTATAAAAAGTAATTTTAATGCACAAAATTTAAATTTAAATCTATTCTATGACGTTTGCTTGTTTTATTCATATATTTTTTTTCGTCCACTAAAATTGGAGAAGGGGACTTGAACTTTCCGAATTACTATTTGATCCACTCCGTATATAAGCACCGATTCCTCAAAAAACAAATCAGACTACATCCAAGAGTTCAACGAGCAACACAAGATGAAAACTTGCGCAATCATCCTTTTGGTGGCTTCGGTGGCTTTTGCTCATGAGGTAAAGTATTAACAATATCAACAAAATAAAAACTAACGTTAAATAACTTTAGGTGAATTTGACTGAAGAGCAAAAAGCCAAACTTGCGGAAATCAAGAAAGAATGCATTTCGTCTTCGGGTGTTGCCCTCGACGAAGTTGAGCATGCTAAGAAGGGAGTTTTCGCTGAAGATGAGAAACTCAAAGATTTCCTGTTCTGTCTGGCCCAGAAGATAGGCTTCATGGATAAGGATGGACAGTTCAAGAAGGATGTTATCACCGCTAAGATTACAGCCAACCATGGAGAGCAGATTGCCAAAGAAGTTGTTGATGTCTGCACGGCCAAAACCGAAGTTAACGGTCCGGAAACTAGTTTGGCCCTCGCCAAATGTCTTTCCGAGAAGTCCAAACAACACGTTTCAATTGTTTAATAATCATATGCGCTAGTATAATTTATAATAAATATTTAATTTAAATCTAAACACAAAAAAAACAGTTTTATTTTCTACCAAATTTTAATAATATTAAAACTTAGTGCACATTTATATAATATCGTAAATAAACTAAACGTATTATTTTCAATGGAGAACGGAGTTTGTAATGTAACATTGATTACTCGTGCAGAAACCTTGAAAGTGGATTGATTACCAATGCTTTCAATGTCACAGTAATTGCTTTTTATAATAAGACCAAACGATTTATTTGTACGAGTTTTATTCATAATATTCCACAATTTACTACCGACATGTACAATTTTATAATATAGACATTTATTTATGTATCAGTGGGATCATCCACGTCCTTCAATAAGCTGTATAATGTGAAAGTGTTTAGTGTCAAAGTCAGTTACTTCAATAGAGTCGACTTATTGAAGATAATTAAAGTAGTTTAAATACAGTCAAACCTGTTTGCAGATGATTAGGAAATAATACCCTAATTAAAGTTAAAATTTAAATAAAAATTGCCACAACTTATCTGCTCGAAGGAAATCATAAAAAAAGGCTTCAAATAATTGGACAATAATTTTCTTTTGATGAAAATAGACAATGAATGTATTATTGAGATTATTATTTTTCTGTAACATATTAGGTTATAAAATGACTTTGATCTATAAGTAACTAGAAATAAATTGTAATTACATGCAATATTCATTCATTATACAGATTTCGGGAGAAATAGAAAATGATAATTGCTTTGTTGAACGTTAGACATTGCGTGTTAATTCAATAGTTTTTGTTAATAACTAGTCCATCTCTTTCGCCCATTTATCCGCAATTTTAATACGTGTCACAGAACCCAAATTAAAGAATGATGCGAACTTTAATACAGCAGCAATTTACGAAAAGTTACCGACTTAATTTAGATTAGCACGCAACATTTAAAGGTTTCGATTTAATAAAACAACATTAAACACGTTCCACACTGAAACAGATTCGTAAATTATAAATTGCACAGAATTTTTAAATAAATGTGATGATCGTATTTAAAGGGACAATAATTGAAATTTTTTACAATTCTTCACAAAAATAATCATTTTTCATGTACTATTTCCAAAAAGATGTAATTTGTGTTTGTTTTTGTTGCTAATATGAATATATCATAAAATAATAATAAAGTTATTTTAAATTAGAAAATGTTGCTTTTCTGTTAAAACTAAAAAAAAAGATGGTGATTCTCATTTTCAATTGACAAACGTGTGCGGATTTTGATACTTTAACAAAAGTTGATGATCTTTGATCGTTGGACTTTGTAGGATTTCACTAATTCCGCCAATCCTAATTGGTGTGCGGTTTGATTGGCACGAAACAGAAAGACGAAGAGTTTCTAATTGGAGTTTCGTGATTTAGTGATGTAAACAGAACGATTAGTGAAATTATAATAAAGCCAGTGTCAAGTATACTTAATCACTGTTATCACACATGTTTACTTAAAAACGTATCATTATTGTCTATTTCAATTGTAATGTTATTAATATATTTTTTTTACGCATAATTGTTCTAATTTTTACCAAAGACCAAAGTCTGTTTCTATTTATTTTATTTATTAATGTATTTACACATTAACAATAAGAGCAAAGGTGAAACATCGACTAGATTCTATTTATGCAGCAGTGAAATATTACGTAATTGAAAATATATTGATTTCATTAGTGATGCGTAAACAAATTAAAAGAAAACTGAATCTTGCGGTTTTCCTACGTCGAGAAACTTGTTAACATAAAGCATTTCATTCAATAATAGATAAATCAAGATTGCTATAAAAAAACAGTAAAGTTATATAATGGAAAAAAAAATATAATGTTCATAGTTACTTGTTCAAATTTTAACTTAATTTTATTGATAATATTTAAAATCCGGTTTCGCTAACTGTTTGAAATCGCACTAATCGAGGACTTTAAAGTTACATCTCTCAAATAACGAAAGAAAAAACTTGTAACATTGACGAAACTAACATAACGCTATTTATTTGTGAAAACCGGACTATGGTGAATGATCGCAACCGCACTATGCGAGGTATTTAAGTTCACATTTCTAATAAAAAAGTACAATAATCTCTGATAAAAAGTAACTAAAAAGTTAAATAAAGCAATAATACAGTTGTAAAATATGATTAATTTTATGTTGAATTGTAAAGTTTTTAAATTAATGTACAGTTAATTACGATTATCTTATTTTTTATAAACATTGTGTGTAACGTATAATTTATGAATTAGATTCAGAGTAGAACGTGTTTAATTTTGTTTTTATTAAATCGAAACCTTCAAATGTTGCGTGCTAATCGAAATTAAGTCTGCAACTTTTCTTAGATTGATGCAGTATTAAAATAAAGTTCGCGTCATTCTTTAATTTGAGTTCTATGACACGTTCTATGCGGACAAAAGTGCGAAAGAGATGGATCAGTTATTAACAAAAAAAGAAAATATTGAAGTCACACGCAACGTGCAACGTTCAACAAAGTAATCATCATTTAGTATTTCCACCGAAATCTGTATAATGGATGAACAATGTATACTGGATGTAATTACAAACTACGACCTTCAATGCGTTGTATATAAACCGAGCTCAGATCCGTGGAGAAGACACACACATTTACAATCGTTTCAGTGAAGCAACAGAAACTTATCCATAGACGAAATGAAACTTTTCGTGGTCGCCGTCTTCTGCTTCATCGCCGCAGCTCAAGTAAAATATAAAAAATCAATCACCGCTAAACATATTACTAAATTGATTTACTTTTCAGGCTCACAGTTTGACTGATGAGCAGCTGGCTAAACTCAAAGCCTACAAAGCCGATTGTATCGCTTCGTCCGGAGTCACCCCCGATTTGGTGGAGAAATCTAAGAAGGGCGAATTCGCCGACGATCCAAAATTGAAAGAATTCCTGTTCTGCATCGGCAAGAAAATTGGTTTCTTGAATGATGCCGGTGATTTCCAGGTGGATGTTATGACTGCAAAGATCACTGCTAATCATGGTAAGGATGCTGCCGATGATGTCGTCTCCGTCTGCACTGCTAAGAAGGAATCATCCGGTCCAGAAACCAGCTTCGCTTTAGCCAAATGTCTTTACGAGAAATCCAAGCAACACATCACTTTGGCCTAAACTCATTACATCAATTTTGGGAATTACTATGAAGAAATGTTTGTACTAAAAAAATAAAAATATATAATTTTTTAAAATTATTTATTATATTATGTTTTTCCCTATAATCCTTCAAAGATTACGTCACTTTCCTGAATCGAAACCAAATTTTAGTCATGTTTCTCAATTCTGAGTGTTTTTCCAAATGCCGATACGAGAAATGTTGCAAATCACAATTATATCAAAATGATGTTACTTTTATTTAGTTATTTGAAAATCTTCATTAATTCAATTGGGTTTAGAAGCTATTCCTTTTATTATAATTTTCTATTTCTTATATAAGCACTCTTTCAACCGTTAACACATTTTACGATAAACTCAGTTTATTTCTTATTAAGATTAGTTTTATGTCTAAACAAAAACTTATGTAAAGGTCTTAAATGGAAATTTTTCAGTCCTAAACATAAAAATGTAACAAGTTAATCAAATAACAAAACTATTTTACTACACTAAATAATGGCATTGAAATTGAACTAAACATAACGTTAGATAATAACAATATGTTAATTTTATTAAGTCTCTTAATAGAAATTATGAAATTAAAATATTTGAAGTTTCCACGAGAATGAGAAACCTCGTTCTACTAAGAAGTAACGTCTATTAACCTTAACAGTTACAATTAAATGTATTCTTCATAGCAAAACATAGCAAATTTTGGTAATTTATTTAATTGATTGTTTGTTTTACTTAAAATTATTGCTTTAATAATATGATCAACTCTTTTGAGTTGAAAATGAAAGTAATGATTATGTTCTGTAAATAATATTTAGTAAAATGTTCTTTGACCTCAACTAAGGAAAACACCATTGTCGCATAGGTAATTTTATGGAATTATTACCGAACACTGTGTAATACTTCTCAGTATTGTGATTGCATATGTAAAGATTCAGTAATTAAACAAAATAAATAATGAATTTCATCTTATGATAATTGTTTTAAAATAACAAAATAAATATATTATTTAGAGTAGATAAAAATGATATAGTAAATTCAATCACTTTCAAAGAATAATAGTAAAAAACAAAACAAACATAGTAATAAATTGTTTTTAAAGTTATGACAATTAAAAAAGAAACGTTGTAATTACAAATTTTATTTTTATCTGCTTACACTTAACTTTTTTTTAAGTAGAAACGTGCTCAATAATAAAGTGAGTTACGCGAATAACAGCATGGTAAATTTAAGATTGATTTTATTTCTGTTTCACGCTTTAGTTGTAAATTTTTTCCATTGTGCATTAATTTTATTTATTATTGTGTTTCCTATGCGTTTCAAAACAGAAATAGTTTATAGATATGTTTTCAATAACAATTTTGTAAGATGATTCAGAAGTTTTGCATTTTTCGAGTCAATATTGAGTGTATCTTCCCGGACATCGTAAAATCTCGGGATTTCCCGGGAAAACGTTCAATAGTTAATACAGATTAAGGCATTAAGTTCCGATTTACATTTTGTATCAGAAAAATAGTAGATAACCAATTTTTTTTGGATATTTAGCTATAATGCTTTATTTAGACAAAAATACCATTTTCAGATGATTCGTTAAATCTTTCTTAATTTCTGGTGATTTCGGGATCGAATAATAAATATATTACGGTAAGAAAATTGTGAATTATTACTTTTCTGTACTTCATTATTTACAAGTAATGTTTGTGGACATTGATGTGCAATGCCTTTTATTGTATTAACGTTAAAGTTATTGTAGTTGCATATAACATCAACATATAATATTTATATATGAGATTTGGATAATATTTTTATAGATAATGGGAGAATAATACGATACAGTTCTGATCAAATTTGAGCTTTTTTTTTATACATTATAAAGGAAATACTAAATGTATGGTAAAGCCTTTTATTCTTTTTGATTTTTAGTGGTTTATAATTTATTAATGTATAATTCTAATTATTAAATTAAATTGTAACAATACTTCGCATAGTCCGGGTAATAGTTTTCGCCAATATCCCAGACTAATCAAAAAACGAAATGTATATAAACAGTATGAAAATATATGAAGCCAGACTTTGCTAATGATGAAATAGAAGGCATTAGTGAATTGCCTACTAATTGCCGGTTTAATAATTATATTTAAGAAAAAAATTGTACTAAATCATGTGTATAATAATTTTGATTGACATGTCGAGAATAACACTTTTTTTCCGCTGGCTGCAAAAAACCGTTAGTTTCGTGTATATACAATAGGCGTGTAATAATGATTGAACGAAAAAGCGGCCTCGAAATGGGTATAAAAACCCGATGTAGAATCCAAAAGAGCATCACAACTCGTAATCTGTCCACATCAGAAAGATCAGCAAACCATCAAAATCCAAAATGAAATTCATCATTGTCGCTTGCGTCTGCTTGGCCGTAGCTGTACAGGTAAATCATAATATATTTAGATCCAATTGAAATTTGCATCATTACATTTTTACGCTTCACAATCAGGCTCATATATTGACCGAAGAACAAATGGAGAAGTTGAAGACCTACAAGATGGAATGCATTACTTCGTCCGGTGTCGATGTTGAAGTCGTGGAGAAATCGAAGAAGGGTGAATTCGCCGAAGATCCTAAATTGAAGGAGTTCCTGTTCTGCGTGGCCAAGAAGGTCGGTTTCTTGAACGAGGATGGTGATTATCAAGTGGATGTTATGAAGGCAAAGATCACTGCAAAGCATGGACAAGAAGCTGCTGATAATGTCGTCGTTGCTTGCACAGAAAAGAAAGAAGCTTCCGGTGCAGAAACCAGCTACGCTTTGGCCAAATGCTTCTACGAGAAGTCCAAGGAACATATCCCATTGGCTTAAGCGGTCAAAATATTTTTAACTTAATTTAATTTGTAACTATTTATTAGAAAACTTAATACAATAAATAATTTTAAAAAAATATTTAATATTCTATTTTTTTTTATTGAATTAGAAAGAAAAAGTATAGATGATATAGTTTTACAAAGTGTCACAGTTAAATTTTTAATGGGACTTGAAATGACAGCTGTCACCTTCTGAAAAAGCGAGCAATTGGGTATACAACTAACTATAAACAAATATATTGAATTGCTAAATGACAGCTGTCACCTTGTGTCAAAGCGTGAAATACTATTGGCATTTTAAGTATCAGTACAACTACAGACAAATATGTTGGATTGCGAAATGACAGCTGTCACTTTATGAAAAAAGAAATTTTGTGTATATTAAATAAAATCGTCATATTTTTGTTCTATCAAGAACATTATGTAATTATTTATAATGTATTGTTTAAAAATTATGTTTCTTTAATTATTTATCTATATATTTTTTTTATTTAGACGTAGATCTGAGCTAAAATAAATTAACTATTTGAGACTATATAGAATATTCCTCTACTTTGCATTTAAATTTTCCACAATTCTCGATACTTATTCAGTTAGTTTAATAGTTGACGAATTATGAACTGCGAGCAATTGGCAATTTATTAAACCGTTTAATTTGTTTATTCTGGAGCACTGCATAACAAAATTCGTGCACTGAACCAGTATATAAGCTGGGCCGTGTAGCAAAGATATTTCACATCTCAAAGTACATTCGTATCGTAACAGAGACGTAAACCAGAAGACATCATGAAATTATTCATCGTACTTTGCATTTGCATTGCCGCAATTCAGGTAAATGTTTTATAAATTCTCCTACATATTTTTGTGTTATTATTATTTTTTTCCTTTTTTACTTTAGGCTAATAAGTTGGCTGAAAAGCAGCAGGAGAACGTGAAGACGTACAAAACTGATTGTCAAACTGCATCGGGAGTATCCGGTGATTTAGTGGAGAAAACTAATAACGGAGATTTCAGCGGCGATGTCAAACTGAAGGAATACTTTTTCTGTCTTTCCAAGAAATTAGGTTTCCTGAATGAAGCTGGCGATTTCCAGATGACTGCTATAAACGACAAGATTACTGCGAATCATGGACAAGAAACTGCTAGAGAAGTTGTGGCTCCTTGCACCCAGAAGAAGGCATCTTCAGGACCCGAAACTAGCATCAATATGGCAAAGTGTTTCTACGAGAAGTCCAAGAAACACATCACTTTGGCCTAAGAAGAAATTCCACTGATCCCATAAATAAATGAATATTGTATAATTTTTTAACATTATTTTTTAGAAATAATTAATAAAATACGTAAATGATATTCGCTGAAACTTTTCTTGATTCTTAACAATCTGAAACCCAAATGACTAAATGATAAATATTTAAATTTTTACAAAATTTCTATTAACCCTAAATTGGGTCTTTTAATTTACAAGAATAACAAGGAAACATTAAATTAATACCAACTATTTCTACTCAAATTTTGCAGTCTATGCATGATATTTTTGTAAAAATATTACGAACTAGTGATTTTACTGGTTTAAAGCTTTCTTATAAATTTTCCCAATTTGTCCAATCAATCAACAACAAATTTGTTTGTATATAAACAGCGATCCAATTGTTAAAATATTTCATCAGTTGCTCGCTCTGATATGAGGTGATAGCTGTCATTTGTAATTGTACTGCAACCCTATTGCTAAGAGTATTTCACCTGTTCCTCCCATTGAGACAAAGTGACAGCTACCATATCATAACCTAAGATATTTGTTTGTAATTGTACTGTGACCCAATTGCTAAGAGAATTTCACCTGTTTCTTCCATTGACTCAAAGTTACATATGTCATTTGGTTAAGAGTATTTCATCAGTTTTTCGATTTGACACAGGGTGACTTTGTCTTAAAATAAAGTTTATAAATGTGAACATTACTTGTATTTTTGTTTTAATCTGAAAAATGATACATTTTAGAATCAAATAATATTTACATATTGAAAAGTACTATATCAACTTTTATGAATTTATAAGAATGAAAAAGTAATTATCTTATTATGACTATAGCAATAATAAGTGTATTTAAAAAATTTGTATTTTATTGCTATTTACTTACGATAGTTAAGCAAGATTTGATTGAATGGGTGATCGAGGCCCTTTGCTAATTTGGTATAAATTTGAAGGATTAAAATACTGGTATTTAGAGTTTTTCACAATAATTTTCTTTTTTATTGAAATAATTATATTATAATTTATTCATTAAAATAACTACTATGAACTAAATGTTTTTCTTATTGCAATCATCATTATCCAGATGATTGTTTTGTTGTTTTCATAGATAATCTTGTTGGTTTCATTGCAGATGTTACGAAATAATAGTGACCCAAAGAAATTGGTTTACTCCACAAAATGTTTCCACAGTTCGATACTTATTCAGTTAGTTTAATAGAACACGAATTACAAATTACATATGCAATTGGCAATTTATTAAACAGTTTAGTTTTATTATTCTAGAACAGCCCATAATACAATTTCGACCTCTAAATCAGTATAAAAGCTGAGGCCTGCACTAAAGAAAATTCACATCTCGAAGTCAGCTCGTACAAAAGACATCCAAGACGTATAACAGAAAAGACATCATGAAATTGTTCATAGTCCTTTGCATGTGCATCATAGCCGCAATTCAGGTAAATATTTTATATATATAATATAATTTTTACATATTGTGTATGTGATATTTTTCAAATCTTATGCTAGGCTAATAAGTTGGCTGAAAAACAGATAGAGACGTACAAAGCTGACTGCAAGACTTCATCGGGTGTTTCCGGCGATGTGGTGGATAAGACTATTAAGGGCGAATTCAGCGGAGATGCCAAATTGAAGGAATACTTCTTCTGTCTTGCCAAAAAACTGGGTTTCCTTAATGAGGCTGGAGATTATCAAGTCACAGTTATAAACGATAAAATTACCGACCATCATGGACAGGAGACGGCTCGAGATATTGTGGCTGCTTGCACCCAGAAGAAGTCGGCTTCAGGTCCTGAAACCAGCTTCAACATGGCAAAATGTTTCTACGAGAAGTCGAAACAACACATCGCTTTGGCTTAATCTGATTTTATAACTGAATTATTTAGTAACATTATTTAATCTTGTGAAATTATTTGTTAGAAATATTTAATAAAATCTATTATTTGCTGAAATTGTCTTACTTTTAAAACATAAAACCCAAATCGTATTCCTGTATTATATGTATACAACAACTAAAAATTGTTTGAAATTGGAGCACCTATACGGACATAGTATATAAAATAAACTATAAATGATACGATATAATTTCTTGATAATAAAAATTTTAATAAAATAATTACTGGATACTCGTCAAATATTTGTAAATTATTTGGCAAGTTTTATGTACCTACGTATATAAGTCAATGTATTAGAACATTTTTTAGTCTTTTTGTGCAAATATTTACGATTTGTAAATATATAGTTACCTAAATTTTATCTTTCAAATACGTAATTTTAATGTATGAAATAATATGTGTTTTCTGTGTGAAATATTTCTTTTAAAATAATTCATAGTTCGCTTAGTTAACTGGAAAAAAACATTTTTTTTTAAATTTTTATATATGTAGTTTTCATCCTTTTGTAATTTCTCAACATAATTTTCATTTATTTGAATACATTTCTAAAATCGATTAAGCCACCTTTAAAAACATTCCTCAAAATCGACCTTTTGGAGCTTTTCAAGTTCAATATTAACTGCATTAATGATCTCCTTATTCGAACTGAAGGCTCTTCCCCTCAATTTTTTAAATTTTTGGAAATAGGTCCGGAGAGTAAAGTGCAAGAAAGTTGTTGGTTTTTCAGCAGTGTGAGCGGGTGCATTATCGTGGTGCAAAAAGTAGCGACGAAGTTTCCCTTTTTTCTGGTTTCCCAGCAAATTTTTGAAATCTTGTGGTAAACAAGTTTCTATGTACTACTTACCAGTTATCCTCTGACCAGTTTCGAGTGTGATAGCAGCTACCACTTTTGCCCTGATAAATGTGATTGTGTCGATTTACGCTATCACTTTTGTTGCTGATTTAACTTGGGGATTTGCACCTTCTGCGCTTCATACCATGGACTGCTATTTGGTTTCCAGATCGTACTTATAGAACCAAGATTCATCAGCCGTTACTATGATCTTAGTCAATTTTTGCTTTCACCAGGGCTACATTGTGTCGGCGGTGAAAGATTTCGGGCGACCATCACGAGATTCGTCCTCAACAGAATCTTTGAAACCACTTGGAAATAGTCACAAGGGATGATGTATTCACTCCATATGCATTTTCGCATTCTTGGAAAATTTGCTTAGGCTTGAGATAACGTCGAAATCCGTAGAGAATAATTTTTTGCAGGGTTGGTGGTGGAATTTCTACCAACATTACATCACTAATCTTGCATTTTATCCTATCCATTTTTACCGATCTTCTTGAAATTTGACATGAAATATCGTTAGACTTTAACAAATTGAGAAACAACTTTTGTTTTTTTCAGAATCAAATGTATTGACGCCAACTAAGCGAACTTTTTTTTAACGGAACACCTTGTTTATTTCGTAGTGTAGGTAATAACACATAATCAATAACCTTTATAATATTGAGAAGAAATACTTATTTAGTAATTATTTAATCCCATGTTTTTACAGAACCACTTTAACCGTTTGCACATGTAGCTGTGACTCATCGTGATGCAGATAAGCGACGTTTTTGTTCCTAAACATTCTTAAAATAATCAACTAACTTTTATTACTTTTTTTATCAAAAGCGCAAACTTTATGTAGCATTTATCTAATTTAAAATGTACTCAATGAATATACAATTTTGATCCGCAAATACATAATGTTTACTATTTTCTTCTTCTTATAAAGTATGTATTTTTAATGGGTCTCTATCGCAAGCCCGACAACCGAAAGACCGTTTATTGAAATCCCGACATTCGAAATCCCGACTATATCAAAATTCCTACTGTATCGAAATCCCGACTACCATAATCCCGACAATCGAAATCCCGTCGAAATTAGGTCGATGGCTCTTTTGCCCGATTATTAATTGTTGTTATTTATTCTTAATAACAATAAATAATATTAATTATTATATTGTATTTTTTTTCGTTGTCTTATTCATAAACTTAAGAATAAGAAATATTATATAATAAAATTAGTTTATGCTATTAACAATAAATAACAACAATTAATAATCTTATTAAGTTTTAGATTGTCGGGATTTCGATATAGTCGGGATTTTGATTGTCGGGATTTTGGTAGTCGGGATTTTGACATAGTCGGGATTTCGATATAGTCGGCATTTCCAACGTCGGGATTTAGATACACTCGGGATTTCGAACGTCGGGATTTTGAACATCGGGATTTCGGTTGTCGGGCTTGCGATTGCCACCGATTTTTAATATATACTACACGAAATACATTACTTATAAAGTTACGTATAATATTGATGATATGCAAATATAAGATGATTTTAATATTTAAATTGGATTTGTTTTTAATTAATTCTTTAATAAAATAAATAGATTTGAAACGCTCTAACTTTCATTCCCATATGACAATTGGTTTAGATTTAGACGAAAGAAGATTTTATCGGTTATCAAAAAAAAAACACTTAGGTGATGAGCCACCAATGGTTTGCCCGAACGATAAAACCAATAAAATCGTTAAGAACGAAAATTGCCGATCCCTCGTCTAGCGTTTACCAATACGATTCGCAGCTGCAACTATATTTTTATGACTCTCTTATCTACTGTTCGAAACTCAATCTTTTTGTGATCCAATAAGGACAGTTTAAACTTCCAAATAAATCTGTGATTCGTCATATCCACAAAAATAATATTGAATTACAATTCAAGAAATGTTATAGTTGCCAAAAAGATGCCTATACTCAAATCTGAAAAATGCAACTTGTCATTTTTCAGATTTTCCGATTTCATCCAAAGAACTATTGACCAAGATTTTTCCGTCCACCAATTCATATTTTCCAAGATTTGGGTTAAAACCAATAAAATACGTTGTATTAAAAATCTTTTGATAAATTATAAATTTTGTTATGTTCTTCAGTAATTCAATTATGATTATGTATATGGATGGGGTAATATCAAAATAATATAAATATAATTAAATGACAATTATTTCAATCAGTGGAAAGTTTGTTCGTGTTTTGAGCATAGAAATAATGTGAATAACAAATTGAACTGAACGTTTAAATACTGCATAATTTGCATACACAAACAAGAAGTTAATTCCGTACATCCCCCTACGCATTCAATCACCGCCAATCACCGTAATTTTCCAAGATTCGCTCCTTATCCAGTTAATATAATAGGTCAAATTATCAATCCATTACAATGGAATATTTTTTAAATAGTTAAGTGTTCTGAGCAACACAACACAATAGAACAGAAACCGACCTCTATATAAGCCTGAGCCCTGCATCCGTGCAGTACCACAACAATATACTTGTTCTCCAATACCAGTCAGACTCTCAACGCACAGAAGACAACATGAAATCTTTCATCGCCATTTGCATCTGCATCGTCGTCGCTACTCAAGTAAATATAACAGTTACAAATCATTGCTTTAAAACCAATACAGTTTAATTTCATTCATTTAATTTATATTAATATTTTTTTAGGCTCATAGCTTGACCAAAGAGGAACTGGAGAAGGTGAAAACGTACAAAACTGATTGCGCAAAGGATTCGGGCGTTTCTGCGAAAGTGGCAGAGGACACCAACAAAGGCGTATTCCCGGCCGACCCAAAACTCAAGGAGTTTCTGTTCTGCCTTTCGAAGAAAGTTGGTTATTTGAATGACACCGGCGATTTTCAATTGACCACCATCAACGATAAGGTCACTGCGAACCATGGACAGGAGACTGCACGCGATGTAGTCGCTCCTTGCACACAGAAGAAGGGATCTTCAGGACAAGAGACTAGCTTGGCCCTGGCCAAATGCTTCTACGAGAAGTCCAAACAGCACATCGCATTGGCATAATAAATTATAAGCAACAGCTGTATCCAAAAAAATAAATGTGTTAGAAGAGAAAATATGCATGTTATAGTAGGAAATAGAAATGTAGTAAAACAAAATATGTATAGTAAATAAAATTAAAATATCTGTACAAAAAACATTTAAATCTAGCCCCTTTCTAAATTACTAATTTGCTCTCTCCTTAGTAGTTTAATCAATCTCTGGAGTTCAAGTATAGTTTTTTTGAAGTTTCTATAATACTGAAACATATCCTGAAATCTTTCATAACTCAATTAGTAACCTTACATTTTTTATTGAAATTTCTTGACTTAAGTCGGAATTAATATAAGTAGAGGTAATTTTTTGTCTAATACTAATAGTCTTATAAAAAGCAGAGATTGATTTGATTGATACTGAGTGTGTCCATTTGATCTATTTTAGCACTTTGGTGTACAATTTCTTATTATCACATAGTAATCAAATTTTATGACTTTTCCTAAAAATGTGCATATAATGTTTTTTTCAGTATTTACCTCTCCTAATACTTCATTATTACCGAGACCGGTAAATTTGATTAAAATTTGTTAGAAAATTGTCCAAAATTATTCTAGTTTCGAGTGATGTAGAAGACCAAATTGCTACTGATCGGTAAGTTTTGGATTAAGTAAAAGAAGGTAAAGCAGCAATTCTTAATATTTTTGAGAAGTATTCGATCCGATAGAATAAATGAGAAATATAACATTTTTTAAGGTCAATTTGACCCCAGTCGGTAGCTTCAGTGTTAATAGACTGATTTCAAGTAATTTCTAGAGCTGGTATGATTTTTACAATTCTTACTGCATCAAGTTAGTCAAAGTACATAAGTTTATTTCTTTATATAAAGTAATTGTATAGGTAAATCTTGAAAATTTAATAATAAATACTATTATGTAATTGTTGTAGTAATAAAACATGAATACGTAAATTTTCTCAATTATTGAGTATTTCAGTGCAATAATGTATATGTTTCAAATTAATGTTTTAAGGTATCAATTTCCGCTTTAAAATGACTTGAAATTATGTAATAAATTATTTGAATTTGCTAACAAACATCAACGTTAACACATGAGCAACATCGGAAGGATCATTAAACAACTAAATCTATATAATCAGTTGCATTGCGTCTCTTTATTTGTATATTTCCTTGAAACTTCTGTTTGTTCTGCAACGCGATTAATGTTAGGAAACGCCCATATCATTATTACAAACCAAAAAAAAAACACCGATTTTAAATTTTCGTCTAATTAGTGACTGACGATGTCCGTGTTATTATAAAAAGCTTTGCACGCAAACCAATTTTATTAATTTTCATTTTCACCGTTAACCATGGGGGGTTCGGACAATGGACGTAATCGAGATGTCCGACCTCCAAAACTGAATATAAATAGAGATTCGAGCTCGAGAAGAATCAATCACAGTCTACAAGTGTTCTAACAACAAACATCAACATGAAATTCATCATCGTTGTTCTCGTGAGCTTCATTGCTGCCATTCAGGTATATCTATAATATATTTTATTTTTTCATAGATTGTGTGTTAATATTTTTTATGTGTAGGCTCATCATTTGAGCGAGGAGCAATTGGAGAAGTTGAAGGGTTACAAAATGGAATGCGTTACGTCTACCGAAGTGGATGTGGATTTGGTGAAGAAGGCGAAGATGGGCGAGTTCACTGAAGATGATAAGTTGAAGGAATTCCTGTTCTGCGTTGCCAAGAAAGTAGGTTTATTGAACGAAGACGGTGATTATCAAGTGGAAGGTATCAAGGAAAAGATTGTTGCTAAGTACGGACAAGAGGCTGCCGATGATGTCGTTGATGTATGCACTCAGAAGAAAGAATCTTCCGGACCGGAAACTAGCTTCGCTTTAGCTAAATGCCTTCACGAAAAGTCAAAAAAACACATTGAATTGTCTTAAATATTACGCATATCATTGTATTTAAATAAGTATTTAATATTTAATAAACAAACTCAATATTAACTGCATTATTTTGTTTTTAAACAAATATTGTACAATTCCCTATAAAGTTCTTCCAATTAATAAACTTATGTCTTATAAATCTGTCATTTTATACACTGATCGTTCTTTAATCTACAAACATTGTTTTCTTATAATTGCTTCTTCATCCTTGTATATTTCGAATTTCTCAAAAATTATATTATCTAAGATGAAATTTAATTAGTATTTTGTTTTTGTTAATATTTGTTTTAAAAATTAGTTTTAAACAACATTTTTAATTTGTTCATAAAAATATTTAAATAAAACAATACCTCGTACAGTGCTGGTAATTTGGATTAGTCCGGATTTTCCTATATATTATAATTTTCAAATTAAAATGAATCTGCACTGATCGAAGTTTCAGTATGAGAGTTAATCTTGTATAAATTTTCAATTGTTATAAGAAACTGTATTTGCGATATGCAACCAATCAGTCTTATGTATCAGGAAAATAATCTACTTGTGAGCATTGAAATGTCTTCATCTTGTTACCAGTACAGAGGAATAAGTAGACACAAAAGTATATGTTTATGTAAGTATATAAATAAATGTATATATTATGTTTATGCATTACGCGGAATTGAAATAAACTGGAATATCCAGCCACAAACATATTCGATATCGTTTCGCATTTTGTAGAAACAGAAGAAATTTAGGTGTGTCGCTTAGATGTGGATTAGATATTGATAATTTGAATATGTCAAATAATACAAATGAAAATTAGCAAAATATATTTGAAAACTGACATACTGATGATATACTGCAATAGTTTATAATTATTGTTTAAGTAATTTCTTAATTATGCAATATTTATTGCTTGTTATTATAAAATATAGGAAATTATAGAAACTTACTTCGCTTAGTTTATTGTAGAAAATTCATATATCAGTTTGCAAAATTCTTAAATAAAGCAGATTATAATATCTAAATCATAAAATAAGTTCATTTTGTGTGAAAAAGATATATTTTCTGATTTTGTTCTGGTTTCTGTTTCAATAAATATTATTAAATGTTCATTTGTATATGAATTCAAACATTAATTATCATAAATTATTGTATCATATATTCTGTAAGATTAAAGAGAAATTCACTGTTGATTGGAATAAACATGAGATTTAATGTGAATTCGATAAAATTATATAGGAAAGATTCAGAATTGGCTTTGTTGTGATTGCGTTTTTCTGGGAAACTATGAATGTAAATTAGGAATCGTGCGAAATGGTCTCTATCCATCCTGGATTTGGCACGACCTTGGCTCTCCTATACATATAAATACGAACGACCTGCAGCACGTTCGTATTACATCTTGCACACCTCTTGAGAAAGTTGCGCGATTTGAAAATTATCATTTTTCTTTTCAATAGACAAGTGGATATCAAAACATGAAGCTTATCAGTGTTGTCTTATTCGTTGCTTTCGTTGCACTCTCCAATGTAAGTATTATTCATTATTATTTAATCTTTATTTTTATATTTGTGATTTAATTTACATTTGCCACACGATCATTTTTATTTAAATTATGTTTAGTTATGCAACTAAATATACGTTAAATTCAATTGAAGTGATATACAATATTTAATGGTAGAGGCTCTTTCTAGAGGGAAGAAGCAGGAGGAAGAAAAAAATTTATCAATGTTATTGAAACTTATAATATTTTAAGTAATTAATTTAAAAGAAAAACTACACGATAACTACATGCTATGTATATATTATACTCCAAGAAATTAATTAGTTTTTTTCTGTAAATGATTATTGTATAAACAGAGTTAACAAGCATAAAATAACAACTTTTCTACGTCCGTTACAAAATACTTGTTTTTCTTATTATTTAAGTTATCATTGTTATATCGCAGCGTAAATTACTTTCGGTAATTCCCCTTCGCCAACTCGAGACAAATAAAGTAACAATATTTAATAGTTATTATGAAATTTTCACTGATTTCATACAAAAACTCTTGTGATTTACGATTTTTTATAGTTTATTCTATTATTCAATATGATAATCCTATTAAGCAAAACTGTCTTAATAATAGAGGCAGAAATAATATGATTTACTGTAACTAGGTCAAGTTTATTTAAAAATTGTGATTTTTTAAGTTTAATTCACACTTGAAAAACTTCAGTTTTGCATAAGTGTTGTAAAAACAAATGAATTTATTGTTTTTTTTTGACGCACACCTAAAAAAGTTTGTTCATCATTGGACAATGTGAAGTTTGACAGACTGACAAAGTTAAAAATCTTTTGAATTATACAATAGTTGGATGAGTGATCTGTATTGTTTCATAATTACTAATCCATTCTGATAATTGACTAATTGATTTTAGGCTCATCACACGCCGGAGCATACCGAAAATATAGATGTAGCCAAAAAGGAATGTCTTGCCTCCACCGGAGCATCAGAAGCGGCCGTGGATGAGGCGAAGAAGGGTAACTTCGCCGACGACGAGAAACTGAAGGAATTCTTCTTCTGCGTAGGCAAGAAAATCGGTTATGTTGACGAGGCCGGTGCTTATCAAGTGGACGCTATAAAGCACCAGATCCTCGCCGGACACGGAAACGAAGAGGAAGCGGAAACCCTCTCTAAGGGCTGCACCCAGACAGCCGGAAGCAGCCCACAGGAAAGCAGTTTCCTCTTGGCCAAGTGTCTCGACGAGAAGTCCGAGCACCACTTCAACCTGATTTAAGAACCATTACGCAACACCATCGATTTCCTTGTTTTCTTGTTAATTATACCGGATATTTTGCGAAATAAAGCAATGTTATGATTTCTATTACGCAATTCAATATAATACCCCTCACAAAAAAAGGAATAACGAAAATTTGGTTACCATAGTAATTAGTAACGGTACATAATCTCACGCAACTTCTGCAAAACCTGTTATATATAAAGTCGATTCTAAACCGAATCATCAACAGAATTAAAATGAAATCATCGTGTTACGCTTTACTTTTGCTCAGTTTAGTCGTGTTTGCTCAGGTAAATAAAACCAATGTTAATATTATCTTAGTTGTAAATGTGAGATTATTCAACAATTGTAATATTTTTTTCTTTTAGGCTGAAATCAGCGAAGAGAAATTAATCAAATACAAGATGCAATGTTTGACTTATTCGAGGGTTTCGATTGAGGCAGTCAATGAAATGAAGATGGGCGTTTTCTCGGATGAGGCAAAGCTGAAGGAATTCTTGTTTTGCGTTGCGAAGAAGACTGGGTTTATGAATAAGGATGGACAATACGAGGTGGACAGAATTCGATCGGTAATCGAGGAAACTCGAGGGATGGGAGGTGCGGAAATCTTTGTTTCCGGTTGTCTTAAAGAGCCAAAAGAATCCGGTCCGGAGACGAGCTTTGAGCTGGCAAAATGTCTCTTCGAAAAATCCAAAGGTTACATCTCATTAATCTCAGTATAAATCGCAATATTTGCATTGAAAAATCTCTTTTTTTTATTTATGTTTTGTCTCGTTTATATTACAAATATATTGAAATTGTTTTTGAAATACATAATAGACAATAGGCAATATGGGTTGGATATATCCGCCGCTCGTCCGCAACCTTAAAACTGGGCATTTCTTAACTGTTGACAATATTACTGAATGAAGAGGATGATGAAGTAAATTTGATGGCACATCGATTATATATTTATGTTCAACTTTTTGTTGCTGTTGTTGTTATTAATTATTTTAAAGTGTTTGATCCTAATTTTTGACCAAATATAAATAAAATAAAGAATTTTAAAGTGTTGTTGCAGTAAAAAACAAATATATTACTCATTGTTATCATAGTGTTGAATCGATATTAGAGGCAATTAGGATAATACGATAATCCCGAGGTGCGAATCGAGCACAACGAGTCAAGTAGGATTTCTGTCAGGCCCCGGTATTAGCGTTGCCGGCCATTAATCACCGCTGTTGCCAACCGAGGCTAATTCATAGCCACGCCATCTAGGATTAATTGCACAACTTCATAAAATGGAACGATAAAAACACAAACAAAAATAAAATATGAAATGTTTTTATTTGGAAGACTTACCTTCTTCTACGTAGATCGAACTCGTTGGAATCAAATGCCTGAAACAATACAAAGTAAATCAGTTCAGATGCATTACAATTTGCAATAATTTGCTTCTATTTTGGTATGATTTACATGCGAAGCCCAGATCAACAGCATTCTGCACCGTATACACAAATGTACATAAACAGAATATTGAAATTCCTGTCCGTTGCTCTCCATTTATTATTCATCGCTCGCTGAAAAAGCAAACAGCGAATTCAATATTTCACTCTCCGCGCGAAAACGAAAACATTGGGCAAATTCCAAAACTGAATAAATGTTGGTAATTATATTTTCCTCTGCTTTCCACCGTATTGTCGATTTGTATTCCATCATCATTTTGTTTCATGCATTTTTGTGTGCATAAAACGTACAAGACATACGTACTCTTTATGAATACGTCACGAAAGTTTCATAAATATTGGAAGACTTTATGAATTCATTTATTCGTATTTGGTATTTAAATTCGTATATAAAATTTATTGCAATTTCCTTCGCGGAATGATATATTGCATAACAACATTCATAATTTTATTTTCTTCCATTAAAATGATAGCAAATGCAATAATGGAAATGGATAGGATTACGGTCGCTAATTGCATTTCGTGCTCTGTAACAAATGGATTTCAATTACACTCGTCGTCGGACCATTTATCGGCACGGATCAAATTTGATTTACAGACCGTCCGGTTGCGAAAATCGATGGAATTCACAGGGGCATGAATACGCGATTCGTACTCGAAACCAGGATGCACTTGATTTGCATGCATTTCCTCCTTCGTTTGCTCATCTCGCTGCGAAATAGCGAAAAAAAAAACTTAATTAAAGTCCACGGAAATTACAGGGGAAAATACTTCTTTCGTTTCTATTCTGTTTCATTCCGGACTGAGTGTGCTTTTCTTTTTCAGCGAGGAAAGAAGAAAAAAATAATATAGGATTATTACGACCGGTATATTTTTAACTTAATGGGTTTTATGTAAATGCAGAATGGGTGTTCAGCTCGAAGCGAATCTCACTATTTACATTACATCAGCAAAAAATATACGGCACGCTTTAATTACATCATCATCTTCTGTTTCTCTGCCTGAAGGCTCATTTCAAATTTAAGTTTCGCATTTTTGGACGATTGGCGGATATATCCGCTTACAACTTCATTGTTTTAAGCTATGGATTGATATTGTACGTGGAATTAGAGTTCAATACAAAATAAGTAATTAGCAAATATTAAAGCAATTTATTGAAGATGAGAGAGGGGAAATAGGTAAGCCGATTTAATTTGCAAACGTTGCACCAACGAAAGTGCACTCAAACTATGTAAGAGGATTCAGCAGCTACTCCATATGTAAATTTTAGCGATTCAATTTCACCAATGTTGTTTGTCGGAAACCCAGAATCTCAAGAATTCATTTAACGTCCTCTATCTAAATACTTCATCCCATCTAAAATCGGTTTTATCGAATAACAAACATATTTGTTTCGAACGCATATCACATTATGAAATGTTAAATCTGATATTTCAAAAGATTTAGATTAAATTTAGATTTTTATATATATTTAATGATTATTTGATAAATAAAAAAAAAATCTAATTTCTCGTTAAATTAGCTGCCTTTTTTATAATTTCACGTTTTAAATGAGTAAAATACTCTACATTTTTCATTTCTTTAATAAGTAAAAAATGTTATTATTGTATTTGTATTCTCCCTGCGTTCTTTATTTTGCGAACGTGTTTGGAAGTTCGCATCTGCAGCAGCGAAGGAAACACGCAAAGATCCTTTTCGCCTGGAGCGGTTTACCAAGGACCTGCGAGGAGCTGCGACCCAGGACCAACGCTATTGCCACACTAACAGCGTATTGATTTTTTGGATCCTCTTTTATGCAGGTGCTCGGTGCCCTCAACATTAGGCAACCTCTCGCAGAACGGCTCCCCCTTCGACACGGAAACCGGGAAAATCCGCAGGAATAAAAAAAAATAATGCTCTGCAGCAGCAGGGATAATAATGACGAGGACGAAGTCCCGTAGGACAAAAAATTAACTTTGTTAATGCTCGAATATTTAATGGAGAGCGCTTACATTCAGGCTTCAAAAAAGAAAGAAGTAAAAAAAATGTTACGAGGGTTTAATATTTGAATTTGAAAATATGCAAATTATTCAGATCCACACTTTGCGTCACATGAGATAAAATTGACTACATATATTATTACTTCCTCAGTTAAAAAAAATCAGAGTAATTTTAAATGATGTGCATAAAAGTTTGGGATAGTATTGAATTCTAGCAACTGCTAAGGGTTTTTCACCAACAATTTGCTTTGACACAATGTGACAGCTGTCATTTCGTGATCAAAAATATCTGTTTTGTAGTTGTACTGCGATCCAATTGCTAAGAAAATATTACCAGTTCCTCGCTTTGTCATTTTGCAACCCAACGTACTTGTTTGTAGTTTTACAGCAATCCAATTGCTAAGAGTATTTCACCAGTTCTTCACTTTGACACAAGGTGACAGCTGTCATTTAGATATGTAAATATGAGTCTATATCGCAAGCCCGACAACCGAAAGACCGTCTATTGAAATCCCGACGTTCGAAATCCCGAGTGTATCGAAATCCCGACGTGCGAAATCCTGGCTGTATTAAAATCCCGACGCTTGAAATCCTGACATAGCCGACTACCATAATCCCGACTATATTGAAATCCCGACTACCATAAAAATGTTATTGTAGAAATTTATAATAATAAAAGAAATTGATTGTCGGGATTTCGGTTGTCGGGCTTGCGATTGCTTCCATTTATTCTTATTATATAATTGCTGGATTTTATTAATAACTTTATAAAAACTTGTTTTAATTACATTTAAAAACAATTATAACCGAATGTGACATTATATAATATAAATTGTTTTTTTTTTACGAAACCTGTTATAAAACAGCTGAATAAGAATAATAATTTTGCATTTAACAACATATCATTTCCTCATAATAATTTCTAAATTTAATTACATATAATTTGTTTAAATTTCCAATAATATCCTAATAAAAAAAAATGAAAACTTTTTTTAAGTAAATATAGTATAAATTAAGTATAAAACATGCAAAATGACACAAAATTTCACAATTTATTTAAAATGAAAATTTACTTTAAAACGGCATAAAAATAAACGGCACAAAACAGAGGAAAAAATAACTCTAAACCATTTCCTGCCTATAGCTCGTATTAACAGTATTATATTCCAAAACTTTTATATATAAAGTACACAAGGTTTCGATTTAAAACTAAATTTCCCTATAAACATTAGGAAATTTGTGACTTATTCAGTACACTTTTGACATTCAACGAGTAATAATACACAGAATGAATTATCACCAAACACTAGTGAACTTGTTATATAACCACCAGCCAAAGGTGCATATTCCTGAGAACTTTAAGGACATCACGAAAATTATCAAGGCATGTTTGTTGCAGGTGAAGTTGTTATATTGTGGAAAGCAATCCATGAGAAGAAGCTTGGAAGATTTGAATCTTTGATCAAGCCTTTCAATAAAATTACTTTGATCAAGTTTTGAAGATTATAATCATTGATGAATATTACACAATTACTCTGTCTGTTTTTGAATATTTAATAAATTTTTTAATCTACAAACAATTTCTATAACATTTACATTTTCATAAATATATATTTTCATATCATTATTAACATAACTTTAAGGTTTCTAAATGGAACAAAATATTACGAATATAAATTAAATATCAGATAATGATTCTGGTTAGAATATTGACAAGAAAAGGCTTCATAAATAACTAAAAACTAACATTAAAATTAAAGGATATTATACTAAAATATATGTAGGCAAGTCAAGATGATAAATAAAAAAATATATGACTATTCTGTTATCCAAAACATTCACTGTGAATTGAATATCAAAAATGTGTATATTTTTGTTTAGAATTTAGATTATTTTAAAATTTTCAAACCGTGCTATAGTGAATCCGCACTGACGGAAGCCGCACTAAGCGAAGTATTATTGTATTAATAACAATCAAGATATTATGTTCTTATTATTTCATATGCAATTCCGATTTATTGAGAAATTTAATTTAAAAAGAAACAATCTTTAGCAATAAAAATAGAAGTTATAAATATTAAAAAACGTTACTTGCAAAAACAGGCAATGCATAATTGTTATCATTACTCTATATATAAGTGTGATAGCAGTAGAAGTCCAAGTGATCAATCAGCATGAAATCGGTAACACAGTTGGTGATCGTCCTGAACCTGCTAGGATGTCTGGTGCATTCATTTGTAAGCATTCCAATTAAACTAAATCTTCTATATAGTTTTATGTATATAATAAAAAAAAGATTGAAATTTTCTATGAATTTACATTTTGTAGTTTTACATAACAAAAGCAAATTTTATTATCGTAATAATGTTTATATTATAGTCGATGTTTATTTTTCAAGTATTAATTAAGTAATAACTGGTTGTTTTTATTAGGCTATAATTTTCATTGATTTTTATTTTTCGCAGACCTTGAAGGAGAATGATTTACAGATGTACATGAGAATCCGTAACATATGCTTATCGGAGATTCCGATCGACGTGAAGCTTATCGAAACAATTGATGCCGGAGGTCCTTTCCCCAAGGATAGCGATTTGAAGTGCTTCTATCAATGCATGTTCGAACGGTTCGGATTCTTCGATAAGAACGGCGATATTTCGGTGGAAAACGTACGTCCGTTTCTAGCAAAGGAATTTGAGGGTACGAATGACAAAGTCATCTACAAGTGTCTAGCAAAAGCGCCTACGAAGTGTCAATCATCTTACCTCATGCAAAAGTGCATGCTTTACTATATGTACCACATATCCGAGCTCTAAATTGACAATGAAAAATTTAGTCTAGCAAAGTAAGAACATTGTACACATTAAAAATAATAATTATTTTATGCCCATTTTTATAACATTTATCTGTATTATTATTGAAATAAATACGTGAATAAATACATTTCTCTCTGCAGCTCATTTACGATGAGTTTGAAATCGTTGCCAGTTTCAAGAGAGTAATTATTTCTACCCATTTAACTTTAAAAAAGTAGAGTTCAGAACGCTTTCATTGTAGTGAAAGATCAATACAAAAAGTTATTATTACAATTCAGCATTTAACATATAGGTTAATTACAGAACATTTTGAGATATATTTCCAGGTAAATCAGAGAGGATGTAATATAAAAATTACTGGAAGTATGTAAAAAAACATTGATTCATTCGGCACCGCTGAAAAAGTTATTAATTCATAGCAGTCTCTCGTTAATTACTAGTTAAACCCTAGTTGGCATTGCTTTGCCTCATGCGACTCTTTATATGAGAAATTGTGGCTCACATTCCGTTTATATTGGAACATACATTTTTCTAGCAGAAAGGGTGATGGTAGCGCTTCGAGCCGCACGAAGACTTTGTTTACCACCTTTCTGCGGGTGGAATTGTGCGGAAATGAAGAGGCAGTTGCGAAAATCTGCATGAATATATAAAAAATGGCTTTTTATTCCAAAAAAAAAGGTTGATGACTGTAACAATTTTTAAAGAATTGACTAAAAAACTAGTCTTCTTCATCGTTCATAATTCCTTTGCCTCATGCGGCTCTTTATATGAGAAATTGTGACTCACATTCCGCTTATATTGGGTTGAGAACATACAATTTTTCAGCAAAAAAATTGATGGTAGCGCTTCAAGCCGTACGAAGACTTTGTTTACCACCTTTCTGTCAGTGGAATTGTGCGGAAAAGAAGAGGCAGTTGCAAAAATCTGCATGAATATATAAAAAATGGCTTTTACTCCGAAAAAAGGTGACTGTAACAATAGTTAAAGAATTGACTAAAAAACTAATTGATGTCTTCTTCATCGTTCATAATCAAATAACTAAGAATAGAATTGGACATTGGATATTGGAATTCATTTAATGATTCGAAGGTTTGTTTATTCAGCAACAATTTAAATTTTTTTTGTAAAATATTAAAAACAGTTATGACAACTTAATGTATAAATGTGGAAAAAAAAATTGTATAATTAAACCAATAATAATTGCGTTTCCATCGCTATTAATTCTATATAATGATATATATTCGTTGCGCGTTTGAAAACAAATTTAGTTTACAGCAATTGTCCAAACAATGAAATTCGTCTGCTGCTTCGTTCTGCTCGTTGCTTCAATCATCGCCAGAGCTTTCGTATCTTATATTCAAATTGTGTTTACATTTTTTTAGTTTTTGTACTTTATTTTTAGGTTCTCGAGGAAAATTATGAAAACCTGTTCAAAATAATAAAGGAAAAGTGCGTGGCTGAGGTGCATGTGGATAAAAGTATCGTGGATAGATTGGATTCTGATGTGCCGTTTCCTACGATGGAAGAGCTCAAATGTTACACGCAATGTCTTTACACCAAATACGGTTTGTTCGATGACGATGGGACACTGATAGGAAACAAGTTTTCCAGCTTTCTTCCGGTGGAATTGTACGGAAAAGAAAAGGCAGCTGCGAAAATCTGCATCAAAAACAATATGGATCGTTGCAAGGCCTCCTACGATACGCACAAATGCTACTTGCATTTATCTTTTCATCCAGATGCATTGAAAATGAATTGATAAACTATTTTATATACAGTGGAACCTCGCTTAACGAGCAAAATGAATTGTAAGAGCGACGTTTCGCATAACAAGTGACGAAGAGAAGAAACTACAATTAAGATTTTCGAAAATATAATTAATAAAAAAAAATACAAATTTCTTTTTGATTGATCCTTACTATCCGAAACAGATCTTTCAAAAAATTGATCTTCCTTAAATCCTTTAAATAAATATAAAGTTCCTTTATTTAAACGAGAAATAGTTGTTATAAATATATCAAATACAAAATGTCTGAATAACTAGTGAACAAATTAGTACTCCTTGTTAAAAGTTTATTTTTAATAAATTATTTATATGCTGTTATGCTACTTGCAATTACCAGTAAAATGGAAACTTTGACTTTTGATCAGCAACTCTCATTATGTAAACGTATACTTTTTGTTTACTCTCATTTTCATTCAGATTGAACCTATCAAGATTTATGTATGTGTAAGTATCCTATTAATCACGAGATTTCACGTCATCGTTATTACTGAAAGCTCCAATAATTTTTCCACGAATTACCAAAGATGTTTGTGAAAATTTTCATTGTTTTGGTGAAACAGGATTCGCGAATTAAAACCATTTTTCTTTCATTGCTCTCTTCATTTTCATTAGTTATTAAAAGTAAACACAGATTTTTCTCTTTTGATAGAAGCGAGAATAATTTTGAAGAATGCATTAAAGTATTTTTTCAATTATATAATAAGTATGTACATATTATATAATAAAAATAAATATTGTAATGAGATAATAAATGTTTCCTTGAAACTTGAAATTGTTTCCTTAAGATTAAATTTATTTGAATAACAGAACAAAATGTATTCCTCGAATTACTTTTTTTCCATAGAATAATGCACGGTAATTTTAATGTGCATTAAACCGCATTTAAACTTTTGCTAAGAAAATGTTAATATAATATATTCAATTGCGCGTTTTCATAAATAAATAATCTATTGAATTAATCACATTTACAAATCAATAATTATTGTATTTTTGTTCTACAATACTGTGTGAATTGCTTCGGTCTTAAGCATAAGCTTGAGCTGAATAACATTTATATGATTCGTAACCACGTTGACAACTCTCTGTAGCTTTGGTTTTGCTGCACTCATTTACTACGGGTAGGTAAACCTGATGCTGTTCTTCAGGTATATGGACCCTCAGGAACTCCAAATCGAATTCACCAGTTTTGGTCATTATGCCGAATGTGCTGAAGACGCAGTACGGGTAGCATTTAACTTCGTCGTACGTGGGGAAATCCGCAGAATCTACTCTCGGTATTAAAGCTGGATCGATCTTCTCTGAAGCAGCACATTTAGCCCTGATTGTTTTCAGAAGATCTTCATCGGCATCACTGAAAACCTACATCCACAATTTCAATAATTCACTTATTTTCTAGTTTTTGGAATTGAGTTATTCAAATCTAGATAACTTACAATTTCTGCGTTGGAGCAGATGCTCAATGCGAGAACTACGAGAACTGCTTCAAACGGATTCATTTTTCCTGACTGACTTCCTCGTACACCGCGCATCTTTATATATAGTCGATCGTCGAAAGATCTCATATTATAGAATCTCTTTGCAAGATTATCCAACGCGAAGGTTATAAGAAAACAATAGCAATAATCTTCATTTAAAATAAAAAGCAATTCAAAGAAACATACAATGAACATGATTAAATTATAGTTGCTTGCGCAAAAACTTTTCATATTTATTCATTTGTTTTCAATTTACATCTTAGTTACGTGTTAAGTGCACAAACCAAACATAAATAAATAAATAAGGATAATTATTATTTATTATTAACGGACTTTGTTTATAAACTGATCGCTTTTATTCATTCTGAAACAATTTAATAAGGGTGAAATTTCGTAAACTTATTATTTAATCAAGCCTGATTTAATCATTATTTTTACACTATTGCATTGATTGACTCATAGGAAGTCACTATACAAAATTTTATCGAAATGCCACTTTGAAGATACGCATTATTTAGCGGAAAAAACAACAAATTGTTTTCGCTTTATGTTGAAAATAAATTCATTTCTTCGCTTATAAACAGCTTCGAATCTTCTCAATCACTGAATGGATTACAAATAAATATTCATATTAATTAATTTGCTTGCATCCGGAACTATTTACGAAAGATTTTTTTTTTAATTTAAAAAATTTAAAAATTATTTTTTGAAGAAAGCTTGAAATTAAAATTTAGTTTGCGCTATTTTATTATTTGGGTTACAGTAAGTAAACATATAAAATTTCATTGAAATCGCTAATGCGGTTTGGAAGATATGAATTTAAAAATTTCTATCTTTCTCTAAGATAATTACTTCTTCTAAAATGTTGAATTATTTCATTGATCAGCTTCAAATTTTCTAAAATTGTTAATTAGTGTTAAAAAAAATACAATATGATTTAGGAAAATTAATTTGCAAGGAACTTAACCTTTGAACTATGGAAAATCAGATTATTTGTTCTTTTGTATATAGAAGAAAATGTGTAAATGGAAATTGTATCTTTATGAATGTAAAATCGTGTAAAAGTGAAAACGTGTAAAGAAAGTACCGTGTAAAGTACTAATAACGTGTTTAATTAATCACATTTATGAATCAATAAAATAATGATTGTATTTTTATTAAAGAATACTGTGTATTTCTGCAGTCTTACGCAAAAGCTTGTACTGAGTAACATTTATAGGATTCGTAACCACGTTGACAACTCTCTGTAGCATTGGTTTTGCTGCACTCATTTACTACGGGTAAGTAAACCTGATGCTGATCTGCAGGGATATGGACCCTCGGGAACTCCAGATCAAATTCACCAGTTTTGGTCATTATGCCGAATGTGCTGAAGACACAGTACGGGTAGCATTTTAATTCGTCGTACGTGGGGAAATCCACAGAATCTACTCTCGAAATGAACGATGGATCGATCTTCTCGGCAGCAGCACAATTAGTTTTTATAGTCTTCAAACGTTTTTCATCGGCATCACTAAAAATCTACATCTAATGATCAATATTCAAATCTTTCAATTACCCACAGATTATGATCTTGTACAACTTACAATTTCTGCGTTTGAGAAGAGGATCAACGCGAGAACTATGAGAACTGGGTACATTTTTCGTGACTGACTGATTTCCTCGTACACCGCGCATCCTTATATATAGTCGATCGTACATAGAGTTTGTAGGCTTTTAAAACACGGTTTTGGAAAACTGGTTTTTAAGCTTAGACTTAAAATATAAAAATAAATTAATTATTTAATTAAAAACACTTTCTAGAAAATCGCTCTGGCATAATCAAATAAAATAATGGCGAGCTGATATAATATCTCTTTGACTAATATATTTATTTTGTATGCTGATGCAAAAGAAGACAAATATATAATAAAATATATGTCGTAGAATACAAATATGCAACCATAAACATCCAGTAAAGATCTCTTCAAAAATAACCTTAGATTTTCGAAACGTGCAACAACGTATAAAACGTCTGCAAGTGAGAGAATATTGTCTATTTCTACAAATTTTCTATCCAAAAGAAAGTCCGGTTTGAGCAATAGATCTATATACATTCATTTCTTTTTAAAATCATATTTTCTGAGAATAAATAAGACATTCAATAATATTTTATAGTCATTTAGTTAAATAACTCTGTTATACGTTTATCTGTATGCTTCCTATGGAGTAAATTTTATTTTGTTATAGATTTATGTAATATTATCAGAGAGTTAAACCGAAATTAATTTCGTTCCGGTTTACGGTTACGTTCCAAGTAAATGATTATAGTTCTAGAATTCGGTTCAGTTTCGGTTCGGTTCCGGTTGAAAATAAAATCGAAAAAAAAATTGGTTAATTAAAATTTAAAATCAAGTCCAGTATCAAATTTTGGTTTAATTTACAAAGGTTTAATTTACTATTTCAACACATTTGTAATGTTTCTTGTGTCATGTTTACAGTAATATCCTTTTTAATCACTTTCGTTTGAGTTTGTTGTAATGTTAGTTGCGCAAGACTTGTCCTTGTCCTTTATTCTTCAAATTTTCTCTTTTTAGTCGGTGGTTGAGGTTTTATTTATTCGGCATCGATGGTCTTGTTTATTTGAAAAAAGAATTCGGAGTATTTAAAGAGACTTCACCGATGTCTCTTATACTTTGTTTGTATATATACACTATTAACAATAGGCCAACCAACACAAAATTATATTTTTCGAATGTATAAATTAAAACATTAGCACCGGCACACTATCATCAAAGAGCATGAAATAAAGCGATTATGAATTAATTTAATGAAAAAAAAAATTAAACCTAAATTAACCGTAATTAAAATTTCGTTCCGGTTTCGGTTTTTCAATTGAACAATCCAGTAAAAATTCCGGTTAATTTCGGTTTACGGTTCCGATTCGAATATTATAGAAGTATTTAAGTTTCGTTTTGTGAGATCTAATTTCGTTATATTTTCTATAAAGATAAATAACAAAAATAAGTTGTACAAATGCTTTTGTGTATTTTGTAGGGAAAATTAAAAAACCGTTTTTTTTAAGTCGACTTTTGCATAAACCCTTGTCCTACGTATTATCGAATCTCTGCAAAGTGCACTTCAAAGAAGAATACGATGAACATGTGACTGATTAAGTTATGATTGCTGCACATAAACTTTTCTTATTTATTCATTTTATATTTATAGACAAATTGCATATATTTTAATTACATTACAGTGCCCAAACCAAACTAATTTATGTTAATTATTATATTTTTTTTAATTAGCTTGATTTTTAAACTTTATTTACGCTATTTAATTAATTGGCTTATAAATCATGCAAAGTTTGATAAATCCTGATTTTAAAATTCTGTTTGTAAGTTTAGTAAGTAAATAATCATAAAACATTCCATTGAAATCGCTAATGCGATTTAGAAGATACTAATTTAAAAACGTCTATGGTATTATCTATTTTACTGTAAGAGAATTACTTGTTATACATTGCTAAAAAGTTGAATTCATTCATCAGCTTCAAATTTACGAAAATTGTTAATTAGTCTTAAAAAATACATTATGATTTAGGAGAATTAACTTATAAGAAAATTAACTCTTGAACTATTGAAAATCAGATTATTTCTTTTTCGTGTTTTATAACGTACTGAATTAATCACATTTATGAATCAATAAATAATTATTGTAATTTTGTTAAAGAATGTTGTAGTCTTAAGCATAAACATCCGCTGAGTAACATTTGTATGTTTCGTAACCACGTTGACAACTCTCTGTTGCATTGGTTTTGATGCACTCATTTACTATGGGTAAGGCAAGCTGATGCTGTTCTACAGGGATATGGGCCTTCAAGAAGTCCAGATCGAATTCACCGGCTTTAGTCATGATGCCGAATGTGCTGTAGATACAATACGGGTAGCATTTGACTTCATCGTATGTGGGGAAATTCGCAGAATCTACTTTCGAAATGAACGATGGATCGATCTTCTCGGCAGCAGCACAATTAATCCTGATTGTCTTCAAAAGTTTTTCATCTGCTTCACTATACATCTACACGCAAAGTACAATAATCCACATATTTTATAGTGTTTTGGAATTGAATTCACATCTAGATAACTTACAATTTGTGCGTTAGAGCAGATGCTCAATACGAGAAATACGAGAACTGCTTGAACTGAATACATTTTTCCTGACTAACTGACTTCCTCGTACACCGCGCATCCTTATATAGTCGATCGTACGTATCCTCGAAAAATCTCATATTATAGAATCTCTTTGCAATATTAACCAACGCAAAGTTTATAAGAAACCAAATAAAATAATCTTCATTTAAAATAAAAAGCAATTGCAAGAAAAATACAAAACAATGATTAAATTATAGTTGCTGCGTAAAAACAGTTCATATTTATTCATTTGTTTCTCATTTATAGATAAATGACATTTCAATTACGGTTTGAAGTGCGCAAAACAAACATAAATAGTTAATTCTTTTTTATTAATGAACTTTATTTATAAACTAATTATTTTTGAAACAAGCTTGCTTTTTAAATTCTATTTCATTAATTGGCTCGTACACTATTTTGATAATGACATCAGCGTATTTCGATAAAATTTTGCGGAGAAAAACAACAACTTATTTTCGTTTTATGATGAAATTAAATTCATTTCTACGCTTATAAACAGCTTTGAATCTTCGTAATCACAGAGTGGATTATCAAAAATGAAATTAAGTTTGCCTACCCAATTGTTTAACGGATTTTTTAATCATTTCATAAAAAAATTGAAAATAATTTTTTGAACCAAGCTTGCTTTTTAAATTCTGTTTGCGCTATTTTATTTTTTGGCTTATAATAAGTAACCATATAAAATTTCATTGAAATCGCTAATGCAGTTTAGAAGATACGAATTTAGAATTATTTCATTGACAAATTAAAATTTTCTAAACTTGTTAATTAGTTTTAAAATAAATACAATATGATTTAGGAAAATTAACTTGCAAGAAAATTGACCTTTGAACTATGGAAAATCAGATTTTTTGGAACATAATATAATAATTGAATAGGATAATAAACATGTAAAAATTGTAACTTTTTCAATATAAAATCGTGCAAATGTATGCAAAAACGTATGTGATAAGTTCATTTTCGGTGTAAAAGCGAAAACGTATCAAGAAAGTACTGTGTAAAACGAGGGATAGGTGTATTCTTATAACGTATTAGACACATTTATAAATCAATAAAATAAAGATTGTAATTTTGTTAAACAATGCTTCAGCCTTAAGCAAACACAAGCGACGAGTAACATTTATATGATTCGTAACCACGTTGACAACTCTCTGTAGCTTTGGTTTTGCTGCATTCTTTTACTATGGGTATGGCAAGTTGATGTTGATCTGCAGGGATATGAGCCTTCAGGAAGTCCATATCGAAGTCACCGGTTTTGGTCATGATGCCGAAAGTGCTGTAGACACAATACGGGTAACATTTGACTTCATCGTACGTGGGGAAATCCGCAGATTCTACTTTCGAGATGAACGATGGATCTATCTTCTCGGCGGCAGCACAATTACTCTTGATTGTCTTCAAAAGTGTTTCATCGGCATCACTGAAAATCTTCACCCAATATTCAGACTCGCATTTAGTTATTCGTATGCTGTACTCTTCAAATCTTTCAAACACCCTAAGATTATGTTACTGTATAACTTACAATTTCTGCGTTCGTGAAGACGCTAAACGCGAGAACGACGAGAACTGCTTGAACTGGATACATTTTTTGTGACTGACTGACTTCCTCGTAGATCGCGCATCCTTATATAGTCGGTCGTACGTATTATCGAATCTCTTTGCAAGATTATCCAACTCGAAGGTTATAAGAAAACAAATACAATAATCTTCATTTAAAATTAAATTAAATTCAAATGAAAATACAATGAACATGATTCAATTATAGTTGCTGCGCAAACACTTTTCATATTTATTCATTTGTTTTGTATTTACACTCAAATGACATGCATTTTGATTACGTTTGAAGCGCACAAACAAAAAATAAATATATAAGATCAATTATTGTTTATTATTAATGGACATTCTTTATAAACTGATATTTTTTAATCATTCGCAAACAAGAGTGAAATTTTGAAGCATGATATTTACGATATTCTATTAATTGGCCCGTAGACAGTTACTATACAAAATTTTATCGAAATCGTCATTGCCATTATCTTCATTTTGCGGAGAAAAACAACAATTTATTTTCGTTTTATATCAAAACTAAATTCATTTCTACGCTTCGTAACTTCTTAATCACCGAATGAATTACCAAAAATAAATATTCATATCAATTAAGCTTGCCTCTGGAATTATTTCACAAAGATTTTTTTTAATCATCCCATAAAAAATTTCAAAATTATTTTTTGAACAAAGCTTGACTTTAAAATTCTGTTTAGGCAATTTTATTATTTGGCTAATGAGGTTTAGAAGATGCAAATTTAGAAACTTCTATAGTATTTTCTATAAGAGAATAATTTCATTGATTAACTTTACTAAAACTATGAAGAGTCAGATTATTTCTTCTTTTATGTGTAAACAATTGGGTGTAAATAAAATACCAATAATTTCTATGAAATGTAAAAAAAGGTAATAATTCATCAAAGTGTTTTTTCTTTCAATTTTAAAACACGTTTCAAAACAGACTAATATATTTTGTCCACAGCAAACATAATTATATTTAAAATAATAATTGGGTTTATCTAATTTTTATAAGCAAAATTTGCGTAACATTTGTATCCGTCGTAGGCCCGTTCGCAGGCAGTATCTCCTCGAACGACGATGCATTTCTTGATAACATTCTCGAACATAACCCTTTTCTCTGGTAGGATTATGTTTCTGATTTTGTCCGGATTGTAGTCGTTCCCTTCGAAGATTCCAAGCTTCTGCGCTGCACAGTGCGGGAAGCAACCGATCTCCTTGAATTCAGGTACATTCACGGTGTTGGACCTCCTCAGAAGATCATCGGAGATGTTAAAACTTTTCGCGCATTCGATTTGGATCTTCTTGAAGAGTTCCACGTTTTCCTTGCTCATACCCTTTTGATACAATTACATTAACATATTTATACACACTTTAAATAAAAATCTTATATTTGTTTTTTTAATAAATGCATTTTGTATTTACATGAAGGTTAACTACCTTGCTCACATTTAGTGGCCTACACGAACAAGTTTATGCATTTCTTATATTGAAGTTTTTATGCTTAGTTTGAATAATTTATCATAGACTAAATTATTATTTATTAACTAATATTATTTAATCGATTTATCAACTTACATAATCTCTTGCAGAGCAGGCAGCAAGCAAAAGGAACGTTATAGCAATTATTGGTTTCATTTTTTATAATGAGATTGCAAGAAATCGATGCTTTCGCTTTTATATACGTTCGAGGGAAATTTTGTTTTATTATTTTTTTTTTGAAAGACACCAGTTGACAATGATCTTAAAATAGCGCTCATGCATCAAATAATAAACAACATATTTTCGTCCTTGTACCATTAAAAATACACGAATTTCAACTTATACACAAAAATAAACATTTTAAGGTCTATGGACCATCATTCTCCGTCCAAAGTTTATAACATTAACTAAATTATTTTCACTAATTTAAAACAAATATTTGCATCTGTGGTGCTCACTCCAGCCCGCTAATATGACGTCACTTTCCAGCCCGTAGCTGGACATTCCAGGGTACTATCTCTTTAGGGTAATATAAGATGTAGCGTATCTATATTCCTTCTCTTTACGGTAAAGTTCTTTATATATTCAACTGTCTTGTGTATTATTTCTGTGCTAATATATATTCCGGTGCAACCACCGCCAATGTCAATATCTGTGTTTTCTTCATCGTAAGACTCTCCTATCCACATAACCGAGCATCTCCAAACATCTAATTATTTAGATTAATACATTTAGAAAAGAGCTTGAGATGACGATTTACTCCTAATTTCTCTGGATTTAAAGTTTTAGTAGTGAATATGTTATCTAACTGATAGACCATGCAGGGTAAAATTATGCAGACTAATCTCCTGCAATTAGTGTGAAATTGCGCTTTTCCAGTGGACCTCGTTTAATCCGAACTTCTTGAAAGCCGTCCTGACCCGACTAGCAAAATTTAATCAGCTTAATCCCGCTCTACAAACTAGTACATTAAGGCTACATAATAGCCATCTAATGCATGAGATGGTGGCGGATATCGATCGCAAACAGACAGACACAGCCCTCTAAACTGTCGTTGTTCTCCGACCGTTTCCTCTAAATATAAATTGTATTCGACGTCGATCGTTATACTTTACCTAATGTGAAAGCTTTGTAACAAAGAAAAGAAAAAACTGGACACAAAGTTATCCCTTCGTCACTAGTTTATTTGTTTCTTTTTTTTAATTTTTTTTGCTAATTACATAAGTGATGAGTTTTAGTAAGGACAAACTCGTGAATAAACAACAACGGTAACAGTTGTATTCTGGACTGTTTGTGGGCGAAATGCTTTCAACTAATTAATCCCACTATTCGAATGAAAAACTGTCCGTTTGCTAGGGAATAAGTGGAATACTGATAAATTAAACAGATAGAAGCTGTGTGGAATGTGCTTGAAGTTGGATTCCAGGCAGCGTGAAGAATTCCGAATTCCTAACGTTCTTTCTCCGAATATCACGTCTCGTAACACGATGTGTCTAATAAACTATTTTTGCAATATAGTCCAATTGTTTATTTGTCGTCTGCATTGAACATAAAATCAAAGTTGGGTCGTGTTAAATTTTTAGTGGGTCGCATAATGACAGCTGTCACCTTGTGTCAAAGCAAGGATCTGGCGAAATACTCTTAGCAATTTGATAGTAGTACAACTACAAAGAAATATGATGAGTCGCAAAATGACAGTTGTCACTTTGTGTCAAAGCAAATAACTGAAATAATACTAATACTGAAATACTATAAACTAATACTTTGGGCAATGAAATGACAGCTGTCACCTTATGTCAAAGCAAGGAACAGGTTTTTTTCTCTGTTGGACTAAGTAATATATTCTTTATGACAGTTGAACATCGCATAAAATGTCACCGGCATTTTGAGTGTGTCACAGTGGGAACATTTATTTGCACGTTTCGAAACGCGCCCTTCGCACATCCTTTAAATCGTTGTTTCCCTTCGTGTTCGCCTTCTGGGAGAAGGGAAACGTGTCTGGGAATAATTCATTTCACTTTGCAACGACCCAAACCTCCTCCCTTTTTTCCAGAATGCGTAGTTATATTACATAATGCGGGGCGAACATTCATCGCACGCTCGCATAATGGAAGCGACGTCCGGGGAGCAAATAATAACAAACAAAAATAACTCGCGAATATAAACCGTGAATAAATGCTGTAAATGTTTTTTTGTTCTTCACTGAAAATAAAAAAAATCTATTGGGAAATGCAACTAAAAACTAAAACAATATTCAAATTTTATTGCATATTTTTCAATTCGAAAATCGTTTAGGTTTCAATTTCAAATAAGTTTATTTTTCAATAACAACAATTTTAATGAAATATATTTTCCAAAACCCATTGTTATAGCATAAAATAATAAGAAAAAATATGTATGTAATTTAACAAAACAAAGTTTTATTTTACACATAAAATGTACAAAGTTGAACTATTTATCACTATTTAATATGTGATAAGATTTGTATAAATATGAAATGTTACATAATTTATAAATTATGTAAAAACAGTTAAAAGGCAGTTTTTTTAACAAGAGCAGAGTGGCGCAGTGGAAGCGTGCTGGGCCCATAACCCAGAGGTCCGTGGATCGAAACCATGCTCTGCTATAATGTTTTACTGAATTCCAAATATCTTTGTTAAATTGGTTGTCTATATTAACAAGTTACACAATACATAATAATGCTGATATTAATTAAATTATTATATAGATATGTTTGTAATTATCAAAAAGCAATTACAGCTTTTAGAAACCAGCAATAATATTGTTATTTAACTAATACAATTTTATTATTACATAATACTATGCAACCATCAACGCAATTAGTAATTTTCATTTGTATTTGATTTTTAATTTTTGATTGTATTTGATTTTGAAAGTTTCTGATGTGTTCCCATTTCAGGCTTCCCGGGACATCCGGAACGTCCTTTTCCGGACGTCCTTTTTTTGAGCTGTCATTGTCCTAATTTGTCCTAAATTTTATCATTAGTCCTAGAATTCCATTTTCAAACATAACAACTATAGTTAATGTCATCATCAATAATTAATGTTATTTCTACTTATAAAAATTCGGTAAATTTTATAAATAAACTTTTGTATATACATATAAATTATATTTGATCAGAACTTAGGTAGTTTGTATTTTGACAAGGGTCGAATTAGTGATTCAATAGAGGTGATGATATGATTGTTTACTCACCCTTTAAGCTTCAAGGATTAAGTGCGCAAAGTCCTCGTGGAAACTCTGAAACAATGACACCTATTATTCAATTAACAAACAGATTACTGTATTCTCATAATGCTATCAAATTTTCAATTGTTAATTCAATCGATTTATTGAGAGAATTTGGTTTAATACGTATCCGAAACCCATTTAAAAAATATTTACATGGGATTAGTATATGAAAGATTGTCGCAATTGAACGATTAAACTTTCCAGTCTACAAAATCAAACTGTTTTTGATGCACAAAACAATTTATGTTTTCATCCTTAGATTCTTCATATAAAATACAAAGGGGGCATATGAATTTTAGAAAGGTTTGAGAACCACTTCTCTAGATCCAAAAGAATAATAAGTAATGGAAAAACAAAACTAATATTTTTGGAACAACGACAAAGCTGTCAGTAAGCATTTTCATTGCACGGTGTATACATTTTTTTCTCTCTCTGAAATGGGTAAAGCTGATACATGAATATTCAAGTTTACTTTCGACGATATTCTATATTTAGCGTTGGCAGGAAAGATGAAAATTATGCACATACACACACAAATTTTCGATCTCCCAAAATAGAATTAATGAATGAAATAACAAAACTTATTTACAATATTGTTTATCAGACGGAAATATAGGATGAGCTGCCGCCCACATGCGGACGCAGAAATATGAAAATAATTATTGTTATTATTTCAGTTTTATCTGCAATAATTTACTAAAAACTAAACAATTTACTTTAGTGTAGCTAATAAAAAAAGACGGGAGCAGATTTATACAATTTCTTTATTATATATTTATTATATAAAGAGATAAATTGATTGCTTTACGAATTATGTGATAAAAGACTTAATAAAGGTTAACGGATGAATTCTTTCCATCTATTATTCAAAATACATCATTTTTGTATACATCAATTTACTATTTTTTTTTTTACTTAAAGTCAAAAGATTTGAAAGTTTATGAATAATTACACGTATACTTAATTTATAAAGTTGTCCATTACTTTGGCTTTCGTTGCAAATACTGCACAACTGAGCACGTAAACAGAATAGTAAATAGCATCTACCAAGACCTGGAAAGTAAAAGCTACTACTCGGCTGCCTTTTTAGATATATCGCAAGCTTTTGACAAAGTTTGGCATCTCGGATTACTATACAAAATAAAGAAGAACTTGCCATATAATTATTTTAAAATAATAAAATCATACCTCGATAATAGAATGTTTCAGGTAAAAATAGAAGACGAATACACCGATGTATACCCAACAGAATCAGGGGTACTGCAGGGCAGTGTTTTAGGACTACTGCATTACCTTGTATATACTGCAGATATTCCTAAAACTAATAATACTACGATTGCAACATTCGCTGATGACACAGCAATCTTGTCATCCGATGGGAATCCAGCAGCAGCATCCGAATATCTATAGGAAAATTTAGATAAGCTACAAGAATGGCTTAAAAAATGGAGAATAGCAGTTAACGAAATGAAATCCGTGCATATCACATTCACGCTAAACAAAGACACCTTCCCAACTGTAAGACTTAATGAACAAGATCTGCCAAAAGCAACAACAGTCAAATATCTAGGCATGCATCTAGACAGAAGACTTATCTAGAATGATCATATTCATGCTAAGAGGGAGCAATTAGAAATAAAGTTTAGAAAACTCTACTAGCTTCTAGGGAAAAGGTCGGAATTTTCAGTGGAAAATAAATTACTTATATACAAAGTAATACTGAAACCAGTGTGGACGTATGGCATCCAATTGTGGGGTGCGACCAGTAAATCGAACATACAAATTATACAAAGGTTCCAATCAAAATGCATAAGAAATATTATTAGGGCTCCATGGTTTGTCAGGAATAAACAAATACACGAAGATCTTCATACAGATATGGTTTAGCATACAATACTAATATTTAGTAGTACATACAAAGATAGACTGGAGCACATACTAATGTTCTGGCTATTGGCCTGCACGACAACAGTGAAACCACAAACAGGCTGAAGCGTTGCAAATCACTAGATTTAGTATATAGATTTAAGTAATTATGGTGCTCACTCTAGCCCGCTTATATGACGTCACCTACAAGCCCGGTATGGTGTGCCCCACTCCAACTCGCAGCTGGTATTCCGGGAAGGTCTGATAAGGGTACTACCTGGTTAGAGTATATAGGCTGCAACGTATCTGTACCCGGCCTCTTTCCTTTTATTCTCTTATTTTCTCTTGTCTCTTCGTGTGACTTAATAACATGTAAGGTATCCTGTATTATCTCGTGTGTATTCTCTCGGGCCTCGGACTCGTTACACTGTAAGAAACCTTTGTATCCTATGTACCTCTCTGTAGTGTAACTAGCCATGATATACCTAAATAAACATATAAACGAGCATCTCCAAATAATTATTAATGTTCAATTCTTCATACTGGTAACTATCCACCGGGAAAGATGATTATCCATCTATTGTCAACCGCGATCTTAAATTTACTCAATGTTCACATTATATGAAAATTATACAAAAAATAAAGTTATGACAAAGTCTCCAATGGTTTCAATGGATAAGTTTCCGTCCATCAAATTTTAGTTCTTGCATAATATTCAGTATATTTCTATTGAAATAATAGTTCGCTTTAAAGTTGATCCCTTTGCGGACGTGCGGCATTTTTATCCGCCATATCCTTTACACAGGATAAGCAAAGCCATTGTGATAAAAGTTTTGACGATTCACAAGTGTTACCGAAATACGCAACAAAATACTAGGATTTTGATTGATATTTTTCTGATATTAATTATTATTTATTTGATGAGTCTTCAAATGATTGATATGTCTTTTATTGCGTAATGTAAACAATTTATATAAAATACAAATATTATTGCTGTTCAACTCTTTGAACTAATTTTCTGTAGATGAATTCCGTTAAAATGTATAAAAAACGAAATACTTAATTGAATTCGATGTAACACGAGAACTGGTGACGACGCTTCGTGAAATTCTATAACTTATTTTCGATCCGGACGTTAATTAAAATTGCATTAGGTTGTTTTCAACGTACATCATTTTATAGAAGAATCCAACGTATGAAACATGAATATCTGTAGTATACACTTGGTATGAATTTACGTAGTTTATATAGAAAATATTCTCCAATCTTCCAAATTTATTAGTAGCATTTGCATGAGGCCTCGCTCACACGGAATTTCCATACATTAAAATTTATCATTATCTAAATTAGAATCGCATTAAGTGTACAAAGTTCAGAGAGTTTCCGTTACGTTTTTCTCGTACATAATTTTTAGGTTAATTGTAAATTACTTGAAAACGTATAATTTTATAAGTTTGATATAAATTATGTAATATATAATATGCTTGAATCATATTGTAATATGTTCATGCACAGGAAACAAGTATATCCCAGGATTCTTAAAAGATCCCTTGCTGTAAACTTGCTTGAATAAGATAAATTGGAATAAACTCCTGCGTGAACACCTGCGTTTAAATATTACATTCTCATTTAGTCCGGTTTCGAACAGTCCGGTTATTCAATTTGATTTGATCGTTGAAAATTGTGGATACGCCGGGTATATTGAATATATTTTGTAATAAAGTCAGTCGCTTTAGTCGATAAGATTTATGGTGTATTCGGATATCTATCTTCTAGTAATATAATCCGATTAAGACGCTTATGATGCCGGGGTTGAAATTAACCGGTATATTGTAATTGTTTGAGATGTGGATTAGGGCGATTGGTCAACGGCCCAAAGGGGCACAAAACAAATATTGGATATGCATTAGGTGCGGCAGAGGAGGCGTTGCGTAATGTCTCGTAACAGTTTGAGGATTGAGGGGCGTCGGGAGGCGAGCATTCGCTACGTGCATTTATAATTGGGCGGAAATCGTAAATTTCCCAGCGCACACACTAACAGTCAGATAAACTTTAATAAACCCATGAGATTTATTATGCACAGAACCCGTCGAGAACACAATGCACCCACCATTCAACGACTAACATTGTTTTGGAATTACTTGCTGCTCGTGTCGCCTTCAACTTTATAATTTCCAACAAGAATGGTCGTGTTAGTTAGTACGCAAGCTTAATTTTAAATGAAAACATTAACCTGTGATTATACGCCAAGAATTATTTATGTAACGCAAAACCTAGATGTAACATATACAAAAAATATACATTAATTTTGAAACATTAAATTAAATAAATACTTCTATAGATTACTTTAACACAGAGAGTCGAACCGAAATTAATTTCGTTCCGGTATACGGTTACGTTCCAAGTAAATGTTTATCGTTCCAGATTCGGTTTTGGTTCGTCTAAAAAATTTCGGTTCAGTTCCGGTTCAGTTCCGATTGAAATTAAATTTTAAAATCGAAAAAAAAATCAATTTAAATTGGTTAGTTAAAATATAAAATTACCAAATTTAAATTTATTTACCAAATTCTCTTATTACTGCTGTTTTCAATTATAATATTGAAAATACAAAAGATCAACACGTGCACTTTGTAATGTTTCTCCAGTCATGTTTACAGTAATATTCTTTTTCAATGGAGCAATTTTTAGTTCCGGTTATAATTACCGTTCAGTGAAAAATTCCGGTTAATTTCGGTTCGGTTCCGGTTTGACTCGCTGCTTTAATACTTTGCTTATATTTTGCTAGAATTTCTACGTGTTAATTTTTCATTTTAACAACTTTGAACGCAAACTACATTACAGCTAAATGAATGAAAACACAGCAATCAATATATACATCTTTTGGGTCCATTCAGTCTATTATAGTTTACAACAATAACAATAAACTGTGTTAATTTTTCATTCTTTCAACTTACAACCAAATGGACAAATTCATTGCAATGTATGAATCATCTTTACATTCCCCAAACATCCAGTTTTCATATGCAACTTTTGGATCTATTCAATCTATTAATTTTCAAAAAAAATCACTAAAATACTTGAATACGAAAAACATATTTATTTTATCACAATTTTCTATGTATTTTCGTATAAAATGTTAATTAATTATCATTTTTAAT